TCTTCGATGCATTTCCTGTCCCATGGTTAAAAAAAAAACAAAAAAAAAATGATAAATCGCTACCTCATTCTTTGCGCATCGACATATACTCGGGCGGGCAATAAAGAAAGGATTACCCGCATGGCAAAAACGTGCGGGAAGGGACGGGGGCAGCTAGCTCGAGAAAATATAAAGAAAATTTAAACCGCGTACTCGGTATAAGCTCTCCCGCTTTCGTATAATACGCTGAAAATTGCTCTTTTGCGCCCTATCTCTCTGCAGCAGAAATAGCGACATTTAATCGGCCCCCGAGTATATGTAATATATATTGTACGTGGCCGCGCAGCGAACGACGCAATCAAGCTGGAATTTAATACTTATTATATAGAAAAAATTAGAAAAAAAAGAGAAAAAAACGTACGAATAAATCATTAAAAATCTGTACGTTCAAGGCAAATGCACCGCGGCTCCGGTTCACTCAGGATAGCCCATCTGCCGTACATACATTATTATTATTGATATTATAAACGCTTAAACATACACAACGCGTTTATGCATATTCAGGCATGGAGCTTTTAGCCTAGAGAGAATACTAAAAGCTCGGATGTGTGTGTGTGTGTGTGTGCAAGTCGTACCTTGACCTTAGCGCCGCACAGCTGAATTTGGGACGCGCGCGAGTCTGGTTTTCTGGATGATCGATTTGTCGGGCCGCTATATATACGGCTGTAGTAGTACTAGTAGTAGTAGCAGCAGCAGCAGCAGCAGCAGCAGCAGCAATATTAGTTATAGTTATAGTAGTAATGTTCAACTTGTACGTATACGCTAGTGTTATTGTGACTGGCCATCGAGCTACACGCATACACACACGTAAACACATTCATACACGCGTACACCAGCACAGCGAGCGTCCGTGTCCTTCGCCTGCACTTTTCGTCTATGTACACACGAAAGTGCGCGCGCGAAAAGTAAGCTCGAAGGTTAACCTGCTCTCCCTCCGCTGCATGTCTATATAATGATACGTATATATGCATTACAAACTATGTAGCAGAGCTGTTGCAAGCATCCTCGAGGGCTGTAGCGATCTTTTTTACATTGCCACGCGGAAGGGGTGTGCGCGCGGCCGCTTAGCCTTCGCGTAATAATATATGTACACAACAAACGCGCGCGAAACTTTCGCGCTACAGAGAAAAATACAATGTTTCGCGCGAATTGTTGTTGCTGTTTACAAGAGAGTCGATCGTTCGCTGTATACTCGCCCATTATGAGTGCTCGAGTGCTTTACGATGCTTTTTACATATACGCAGGAAACATTGTCGTTGTGCTGCTGCAGTGCGTTTGCTGTAAATCGATGAATAGTTTACGCGCGTGTACATTACCTGGACGTATAATGCGTGCCACGCACGCGTGAGGAAATCTCATTAGCAGCGTAGTCGTCGTTGCTGCGTGCAACGCGATCTTTACATCGGCTCGGAAAATCAATGAACGAAATCGAAATTCTATAATATTGTATATTAATAAATAACCGCGCCACCCTTGATAATTATATTATTATTAATAAATCTGCAAAATGCAATCTATATATCGGGGATGAAGATTAACGAGGCTGCATCAGCGAGCGATGATGCAATTATTACGTCATAGATGACGAGAAGGGGAGGAAGTGGAAAACCTCAATGGCTCATTATGTGATATGGTTTCAGGTCGGTTTCGCGCAGGTGTCGCGCGTCGAATCCAATCGTTTGAGAGAGAAAGAGAGAGAGAGCATGGCCGCAACACGCCAATGCATTAGCTCGACAATGACGTCGATGCGAGCACATTTGATTTTTACAAAATATAATATATTTCGTCACTATCAAACTGAGGGGTTTTCTAGATTCTCGATAAGCTCTAACGAAAGGAAAATTGAAGAGACAAATTCATACGAGGAGAGTTAGGCTTGCCGAAATTCTGCTAGACACTTGCTGCACGAGGCTTCATGAATTACATCGTGCGAGAAGTCGCGAAAGTTGACTTTCAAAAAAGGGGTGGGCGAATCTGCCGCCGCCGCGCAAGTCCAAAGCAATCGCGATTCAGTACGCGCGTAAATCTCTTTGGGAGACACCGAGAGAGCGGGTTGAGATTTATAAACGAATTGCGGAGACGCGAGTCCTCGGCCACGCGGAGATACAGCTCGAGCTGGAAATTGGACCGGATCCAAAAAAAGTGAGCCAGCCGCGGAATTATATACGTATTATATATATACTTATGTAGCCTTTCGGCTGGAAGAGGAGCAGGAGCAGGAGGAGGAGGATCGAACGCGTACACACAGGCGAGTGCAGGGAGATGCACAGTTATACAGTACGTCCTCCCTCCCTCCGCTGCACATGTGTAGGAATGCATGTGTGTGCGTGTGTGCACGACGTCGACCTTGACAGCAGCAGCAGCAGCACAAGAAGCTCGACCCGCGACGTCGCGCCGTAAAAACTAATCGCGTTTAGCACAGCACACGTATATATTTTTCTACTCGTGACCCTCCGAATAATGTACATTCATATATGTCATTTCATATTATATACACATCGGTGTGATATACGGATTCTGCAATTTCCCTGAGGCTGAACTGGAGCTCAAGGAGAGAGCGGGAAAGCTGCTTGGAACAAAAAAAATAATTGGGTATACGTATTTTCTCGTGCAGAGAACGGGTGAGCTTGCGCAGCTGCTATCTGTGAGCTGCGTACCATACCGCCGGAATACAGGAAAGCTGATTACGCTATGCACGAGTGTGTGCTGCGTTCGCGAATGCACATTATAATAAGGTCGTCGTCGTCGTACGTGTACCTGTGTACATTATTATACGTGTCCAGGCGTAATGCACACAAGGCATATATATTCGTATATATCTTGGCGCGGCCTGATCACGTTTCCAAAGTGTACACAGGAGTTAATGCACTCGACGTACGCCTTGATAAAACAACGACTGCTGCTGCTACTACTACTATTATTATTGTATGCGTGTACGCGCGCGTATCGCGTGGTATTAGATGCTGCATATAGCTATATAAACGCGTGAATTTTTAATCAAACCTCTGGTCGTGTGTATATATACTATATTTGTTATACGTACTCGCTCGGGCGGTTTATCGAAGGATTTATATTTCGTGATTGCATATAGCTGTTGCTGCTGCTGCGAGCGGTACTGCCGCCATCGAATTATCGTCGCTTCGTCGCTTTCATTAATAAAAGCTGTTGCGCTCGCGTATACATATACCAAGCTACCCCAGCAGCTTACAGGATGTGTATATGAACCTATATATACATACGTGCGCAGAAGGTGTGCAAAGCGCGTTGATTGCGCGTTGACGAGAACATTATAAACCCGAATTATTGCACCCGCTTAATTTTCGATATCGCACACCCTTCATCGGAATTGCAGCCCTTTGTGTGTATTGCAATTATATCGTCGCCCCAGCGCAGGAAGGTATTTATTCAAATTCTGTAGCAAGAAGGATACTTACTCGCGCGCAGAGGCAAAAAGGTATCTAACTCGAGCGCAGCGTCAAAAAGGTATCTAATTCGAGCGAGAAGCAAAAAAGTAGCTTATTCGAACGAAGTGGCAAGAAAGTTTTGACGCGCTGAATTTAGGTTGGCAACGGAGCCGTAAATGATAAAATTTTGTTTTAACATTCAACATTCAACATTTAATTCAAAGCTATATGTAAAGCCGATAACTTCTACTTTCCTTTCATAACATACAAAGTTCTCCATAAGTGGCAAACTGAGTCGAAATCACGGTAAGATTGATTTGTTTGCTCGCATTTCAAATAGATGGAACTCATTACACTAGCTCAAATGTTTTTCCTCTTTTTTGCTCTAATACAAAACAAAATTTTATCATTTACGGCTCCGTTGCCAACCTAAATTCAGCGCGTCAAAACTTTCTTGCCACTTCGTTTGAATAAGCTACTTTTTTGCTTCTCGCTCGAATTAGATACCTTTTTGCCGCTGCGCTCGAGTTAGATACCTTTTTGCCTCTGCGCGAGAGTAAGTATCCTTCTTGCTACAGCTTGGAAATAGATACCTTCCTGCGCTGGGGTGACGATATTACAATTACGAACGTCGCGAGTTGATGATCGCTCGCGTCCTTACGTTTACTTCGTGTTTGTGAACACATCAAAGTTAATGTGGAAGCGGGGAAACGTTTTATTTCACATATAGTATAGAAGAATTTAATTTCAAGTAGAAGCAGGAAAAAAATTAATGAGATTACAAATGAATCAAGAGTGGTTTTTTCAATTGTATCTAACTAAATTTTATGTAAAATTCTTTAAATCTGATTCAAATTTCATCAGTTGTTGCTTTGCGGTCTTTGTATTGTAAAAAATACATTAAATTAAACTTTAATTAAATTACAGTATCATTAATGATTACTCTTAGAATTTCATCATTTTTCGTTCACAATAATTAAAGAAATAAATTAAGACTGAGTGAGGAAATCATCGTTTCGATGTTTCTCTTCAGTTAGGGATGATAAAACAATTTTTCGTGCATTTCCAAGAGAATACATAACCACATAACACGAATAATGCATTTGTTTATTTATATAAAATTATTTTTACTTAATCACTTGCAGATTTATAGAAAAAGGTACTTGCCATCTAGTGGCAAAGTCTAACATAAATTTTGATTGAATAAAAGTCAGTTGCGATTTAACATCTGGTTTTAGATTGAATCTGCATTAAGTTTAAGTTTTACTTCACAGTTACCAACAGTATAACTAAAGACGAGGAAAAATTGAATGTGATCAATTTCTACAAAGCAAAGTTTTCGAGAGCAGAGTAGATGTAGAATAATGCAATTATATGTAGGTATAAACTTTTAGCGTTATCGAATTCAAAACAAGTTGAAAATTTAATAGAAGAATCGAGCGAGGACGCAATGAACTCGAGCGTATGATAGCTATTTTGAGTCGACACACACGCACACCCGAACTACCTTTCGGTGCAACTTTATACTAATTTATCTTGTATTCCGTGTGTACACAGGTGAGGAAGTGGCGCATCGCGGCACACGCACGCACGACGACGCGCGACGGCGATGCATCAGAATCAACTCGTGCAGTCACGATGAGCGAGTCGCCGAGGCCAACGAGCTACGAAGACGCCCGCACGAGCTGCTGCGCTATTTTGCGGCCAGTGGCTGCAACGACTTTCACGCCGTCGAGGAAAGGAACGCGGTGACGTCGTTCCCCGAGCTCGATTCGCATTGTCTTGTAAACTCGCGCGTGAGAGTCGTTGCACGAAGGCAAGACATCGACTCGCGCCCTCAACATGGACATGCAAAAGAAGTTTCTGTGCCCGCGGCTGGTCGATTACTTGGCCATCGTCGGGGCCAGACCGCCGCCTCAGCCACCGGCTAGGCAATCCATACAGGTACGCGTGTGTGTATTGATTATATATAGTATTTAAGCGGCCATTTACCAAATGCATGGAACTTCGCGTCCAAACTTTTTTACCTAAAATTGATAAAATTCGTAACCATAATCCATTGGTAATATAGTCATTTAACCGAGCGTTGGTGAAGAACGTCACTTTCATACTTCAGAAGGTGATCAATCAATTTTAATAAAACTATCTGCGACTAATTGTAAGATTATTCATGTGTATTTTATTTTTTTTATCTGAAATTTTTCTTTTTGAAGATGAAATATCACTCTAGTGATTTCTATTGCAAGTATCAGTCAATCAAAGAGTTGGTTTTTTTTGTATCGACTTGTCTGCTATCGATATTTAATCACCGAGATTTGGTACCTATTGGCTGATAACTTTTGATTTTGATGGATGACCCGGTTGTTTTAAAAGTTTTTTAAAAAGTTTATTTATTATTCCATTGGATGAAAATTTACAATTTAATGCAATCTTCGGTAATGTTACATGTATAGAATTTAATTTGGGTTTTCTCAAAAATCTGATAGGTAATTTAGGTTGAATTTTGTTCCATCAAAAAGCTCCTCTTTTGAACTTCGATTTCATTTGAATGATTTTTATTCATTTAATTTTTTTGCCAATTAAATCATCAATAAGGAAATCGAAACTATTTCAACTTTTGTTTAATTTAATTTTTATTTAATGAAACTTTTTTTACATTTATTTTATTTTAATAATGTACGATTAATTCCTCTATATTCTTTTAAAATAAGAGTTCTATAAAAAATTAACTGCAGCATACTCGAAAGACTTAGTCTTCAGTTTCTGAAAAAAAGTTACCTCTAATTGTAAAAGTGAGAAGTAGAGACTGATATAAAAAAGTATGTACACAATACACAACATTTGCGATATGAACAGCCGCTCGACCGTTGCTTCGTCCCTGCAAACTCCTCCTGCTCCTACTCCTCCTCCTTCACCTCCTCCGCCTCCTCCTTCTCTTCGTAATAGGTTACGACGAAGTCATCTTCAAAGTAATCATCTTGATCAATCGAGACGAAAATGTCATTTATAATCGGTTGTGCACCTTTTCTCAACAGCAGTTCGATCAAGTTTCTGCGGCTGCGTAATGAAGCCAGCTCCATCGGCGTCTGATTCAAATTGTTTTGGGAGTCGACCTGTACTGATTTACGGCAGTCCTCGATTATTTTGAAAAAGATGTTCGCTGTGTCATCCTCGTCGTCGGAACTCTGACAAATAATATGTAGAGGGGTACACCCTAAATTATTGGCCAAATTAGGATTGGCGCCATTTTCGATCAACAATTTCATTATTTTCTTGTTGTTGTGGATCAAAGCTAAGTGTATTGGTGTTTCGCCATCTTCATCTTGGGCATCGACTTGCACCACCTGATCGATTTCTTTGTTGATGTTGAAAAATAGCTTGAGCAAGTCGTCGTCGTCGTGATATCTCTGGCAAACCAAGTGAAGAGGCGTCTCTCCAAATATATTTACTACATTAGGATCAGCTCCATTTCTCAGTAGCAATTCAACCGCCTTCTTGCTTCCATTGAACATAGCTATGCTTAGCGGCGTTTGACCCGTCTTATCCTGAGCATTGATCAGCTCCAGCCGATGTTTTTCGTCGCAGATCTTAAAAAACAACTCCGTAAGGTCATCATCGTAAAGTTCACCGCAAATACAATGCAAAGTTGTCCATCCTAGGTAATTAGGCAAACTTGGATTGGCGCCTCTCGCCAGCAGCATAGCGGCCATGTGTGTGTTACCGCAAATCACAGCCAAGTTCAATGGTGTCATACCCAACTCGTCCTGGGCGTCAATTTCCAACTGATGATTTTCGTTGTTGCTGCGGAAAAATGATTCGATCGCGCTGCAATCTCTGTATCCCTTTTTCGCGCACATAATGTGCAAAGGAGTCCATCCCTGATCGATAGCCAAACTTGGATTGGCGCCGTGTCTAAGCAACAATTCGATCGCTGCACTTTCGTAGTCGAACAGAGTGTTAGCGGCATGCATGTCAGCCAATTGGGTCCAAGCATCGGCTTGCATCCTTTCAAGGTCTTCGTCCCATCTCTTTTCTATGAACTCCTCTAAAATTTCATCGTACGATTTTTTTCCCACTGTATTTAAGCATAGCCGCGTTGTCTCATTAGCGCAAATAATGTGCAGTGGTGTCCATCCTTTAACGTCAGCTAAATTTGGATTGGCCCCATTTCTCAACAACAACGAGGCCACCTTCAAATGTCCGTTCTTTACTGCCAAAAATAGTGGCGAACAACCTGCCACGAATCCAGGGCAATCGGGATCTTGACCAAGTTCGAGAAACTTCTCAACCACATGTTCAATGCCATACTGGCAGGCTGCATGAAAGTGCGTAAAACCGATATCGTCGGTGTAATTCACGTCACATCTATTGAATATTTTAAATAGTCCACGAATAATTTGAGGCCACTTATTATCAGTGTTTTCAATTATATAATGAATTGGCGTTTTGTAATGCAACAAAGGCTTGCCGACTTCACCAACTTTAGGTCTGTTCTTGATATCATTCGCGACTAAAACTTTGATTAGAGATTCTGCTTCATACGGATTGTTGCTTTTGCAGCTATTTTTCACAGCCTTCCACAGACAATTATCAATTACTTTCTCTAATTCTCGGTTGTGGGGACGTAATCTGGATGTATCTTTTGACCATGCAAGCAGTTGGTCTAGCCATCTCTTCTCCGAAACCTTTAATTGCTTTCGTTGATCAACGTGTTTTTGTTCGCAAGCGTAGCTGTGGCAATCGCTGCATTCGTCACCAGTAACGTCCATAGTGTAATAGGATTCCTTTTCGTTCTGGTAGCTCAACAGTATGTTCACTTATGCACAGCACACAGTCACTAGAAATAAAAAATAATGTTTATAAGTTAATCACCTGCTGCAGTCGATATGATCTAAGGCGTACTGACTGTACACATGTATTGTACACATGGTGATGGAGAAAGAAAGGAGAATGGAGGTTGAACTATGGAGAAATTATGAAGTGCATGAACCAAACACAGGTGTGGTGAAAATATCAATAGGAAATAACTTACAGATCTATGCAGTGTACAATCAAGGAGAAAGTGTTACTGGTAATTTCATTGAAGATGAAGAGTGAATGTGAAAAAATTGTTGAAACATGATTTTTTATATGAAATTTTATGAAGAATTCAGACTTGTTGTCAAAAATCATATTCATAAGCTTCTGCTACATTAAAAAGTGAAAACAGCATAAAAGTTAAAAAATAAACGTGTTCGTATCCAGCGATATGGCCAATATTGTAATATGTTCATCGATACATCAAAATACAACTTTTGATAAATTTTGGTTATGGGCAGACAAACAGACTTCTTTATTAAGCATTGTAGGAGTCAAAAACCATAGTTTTTCTTTAAATATATTTGATTCTTGACTTATACAATGCTCAATAAAAAAATCTGTTTGTCTGCCCATGACCAAAATTCATCAAAAGTTGTATTTTGATGTATCGATGAGTATAATACAATATTGCAGACCTAATCGCTGAATACGAGCATGTTTATTTTCTGACTTTTATGCTGTTTTCACTTTTCAATGAAGCAGAAGCTTATGAATATGATTTTTGACAATAAATCTGAATTCCTCATCAATATTTTACTTGAAAAAATCATGTTTCAACATTTTTTTCATATTCACCCTTGGGAAGCTGAATAAAATTTGAAAAATAAAATTTCAACTTTGATCTCCTAAAGATCCATGACGGATGGACCTATAGGGCTGAAAATTTCAGGATTTTATTTTTTTAATGAACTCTTTAAAAGTACATAATTTAAGAAAAAAATTTTATTTGATCATCATGCTTGACATGGCTTTGCGAGTAATGTTAAGGAATATGAATGTTAATAATGGCTTTTGTAAATGAGTTTGAAAGGTAAAATTGGTTTTTGTAATTGTTTATGAATGTTAACAAGGGTTTTTGTATTTTTGTTTGTTCTTCCCCCTACGGAAATTGAATGCCACATTAAGTCTTTAAAAACTCTTTAAAAGTCTGAATAAGTCTTTAAAATTCTTATCAATGTCCGGATTTCGTACCATGATTTCAAGATTTAATAAAACTTTATATTAGAGTTTCAATTGATATAAAATTATTTTATAAATTTATGCGAAACCGGATATTGGGTTTCTAAAATGTTCAGAAAAAAAATTAAAACAATTTTTACAAGTAATTTTAATTGTTTTAAAGAGTTATAAAGAGTAGGGCTGTGCGAGTATCCGATTTTTCAAGTTTTACTCGACTCGAACTCGACTCGAACTTGGCGAGTCGGGAAAATTCGATTACTCGAGTTTTTTCGAATACTCGATTTTTTTTCGAGTACTCTAGTTTTTTCGAGTAATCGATTTTTTTCGATTACTCGCAATGTATTTAAATTTTAAGTAATTAAATGGTGAATCAACAGTCTCTAGACCCCTCTCTTTGCTTGTATATGCTTATAAGTATGACATTCGCAGCGTCTAGAATTGGAAGAAAAAAATAATTTAATAGTTCCACACCTCATCATACTTATAAGCATGTACACAAAGAGAGGGGTCTGTTGATTCATCATTTATTTACTTAAAACTTGAATATATTTCGAGTATTCGAAAAAACTCGAGTACTCGACAAAAACGCGAGTACCCGAAAAACTCGACTCGAACTCGACGAGTCGAGTTTTTTTGGGTACTCGCACAGCCCTAATAAAGAGTTTCGAAGAGTTATCAAGTGTTTATAAGATTTTTTAATAGTTTTAAAAACGTTTTTGATTAGTATCAACGCTCATCAAAAATCGTGGTGAAAAAACTATACGGGCAACCAAAGAACAATACATAAATAAAAAATAAATGAAAAAAAAACTTAACACTTTGGCCAAAAAATCGAGTTTCCACGAGGTTTTATGAATTTTCAAAAACTCTTATTAACTCTTTAAAATAATTAATCAGGTGTACGAATTTCGTACATTTATAAGACTTATAAAGACTTTAAGACTTTATAAAACTTTATCACGAGAAAAATTTCCGTTGGGGTCATATATGAAGGATAACATGAATGTGTAAGGAATAAGTAATTGACTGTGTAAATACTTTTAGAAATAATATAAACCCAATTATAATAGGTATAAAGAAGTAGCTTAAGTACTTTAGTAAGTAAAAAATGTAAATATTATACCAGAACATGTAAAAGTCTATTTCTTGGCCTATAAGGCTGAAATAATTAAATAAAATAAATTCTCTGAAAATGACTTACCTCGTGATAATAATTCACACGTGCTTCGATCAAACATGTGGTCGTCTTGAGCTGCGAGACGACACTGTGGGTTGTGGACTGAATTTAACCGTGATGTAGAATCTACTGACGAATTTTCCAGTATTGGAAAGGTTTTGAGCTGTATAGATCTTCAAAATGAGCTCCAGCCGCGACTTTCACTTCCTCAAACGCGCTTTTTTCAAAATTCCAAATTTTGAATAAATAAAGATTACATATAAAACATTTTGCAATTAGGTTTAACAATGTTTTTTCAAGGGTTATTTATAAAGTTTTAATGCAGTATTATAAGAAAAAAATTTTTTAAATAAATTTCTTCTCCGATAATACTTAACCCGCGAGCTTATGTAGGATTTAAAAGTGCTAATTATTAATTCTGTATAATTTTTTGCTCAAAGTAGTTGTTTAAATTGTTTATATTACGAATAAAATTGTTCACGTTAAATGCAAGTGAGACGAACTTTTATAGACTAATTATAAATTTTTTAATGCATATTGAACAAATCATTTGTTTAAATAATTTATTTTCTTTATAACCTTTTGGAAATTTTTATTCTAGTACATAGGTACGCAATCGTATAAAGCCTATTTATCATCATCATAGAGTAAAAAACACGTGTTTGTATCTTTGGGAAATCATACGATACCGTAGCGTATTTCAGTATTTAAAGTGAGCGTTCCATAAGAACTAGAAAAATATAGTAAAGACAGTCGTACCCTGTTCCTTTTATAATTTAAAATCGTGAATGCAGCGTAGTAAACGCATTCGGCCTATACCATACCCATAAATATAACATATGGCTAGGCATGAGCAAGGTTCCTACTTCGTCGGGCTTCCACTTTCTATCACTTTCTAATTATTCAAAAACTGAATCTAGTAGTATATTATGTGTCTAGGGAACGGAAAAATACTGAAAACCCAAAAGCACGAGGCTAATAAACGTGTGTTCTGAGGCTTTTTTTCTTCGATTCATAGATTCGTATACTATTTTTTATGAATCCTCCAGCGGGAATTAACTTGTGATCGCAGGAACGAAAAAGGCCCGTTGTGGCAATGGGCCGAGATTAATTTAGCGTGAAACAAAATTATGTAGAACTCAGTGAGCGAATATTTAAAAATAGAAGTTAGAACAAGAATTTTAATAGAATGCACGAAAATATTGTTTTCAAGCCAATAATACCACATTCCTAAATTATCTTGAAAAATAAATCTCATTATTTGATATTTTTGCATTCTTCATTCTATTTTCTTAAATAATTTCTTCAATAACGTTTGCGTGATGTGTTCTCGAAATCATTGGTATATCTAAAATCCGTGATCATTTCGTGTAAAATTGAAATTATCATAATTGACATAACCAAGTCGATATAAATGAATCTTCTTTGGGTGAGTTTTAAGTATTTCGCTCCGTTCGTCACCCGTAGCACCCGCCTTTGGAAGTTACTTACATGTTATTTCCTATGGGGAGAAATTGGGTACCGTGGCCGCCACTGCCATAACTGGAAGTTTTTTCCATAAGAGCACATGTTAAAATCGACGCCAGTGCTGTAATCTCCTCTATCCACGCGCACACTGCGAATAGTAATCCACTCGTGATGCTTAAAAGAAAAGCCTTTCATCTGTGAGTCACAGATCCTTACCAAACTTGTTCGGGGGTATTATTGTACATAATAATGAAGCCCCCTATGGTTACTTTATTCCAATGGGCCCTGGAAACCATTATAAAGCACCATAAAGTATAATAATATAATACAATACGTATAAAATACCATATATTAGCGTATAATGGTATCAGGTTTACACAGTCAAGTCTAACTGACTGAAAAGTATTTATACTTTGAGTTTTTAATGTCCAAAACACCTTTTCAATCAATAAACAATTTAACTCAATTGGTTTACTGAAAAAGTCTCGAAGAGCGAACCAATTCAAGCTAAAATGCATGCATTTATCAACTAATATTTATATTAAATCATGTAAAAATGTTTTCATTTATAAAACGTACTGTTCTTTCTTTCTCACCTATTTCTGGCACTCAAACGATATGTAAATTCACTCCAGATGAGTGTCGGGAATAGGTGAAGAGAAGAGATATGTGAGTTATACAAATAAAAACATTTTCATATAATTTACATCAATATTTATTGTTTGGTACGTTCATTTTAGCTCAAATTGGGGCGCTCTTTAAAATTTACACCGCAAACCAATTGAGTTCAATTGTTTATTGTTTGTAAAAGGGTTTAGAATCCATAAAAGTTCATGTACAAATATTTTTGAGAGAGTTAGACTTGACCGTACAAGGCCTGATACCAATAAGTGGTATTTTTTAATATTATATTATATTTAATACTTTTTTCTGCTCTATAACTCTTTCCAGGGCCCATTGGAATAAAGTAACCATAGGGGGCTTCATTATTATGTACAAGAAGACCCCCAAACAAGTTTGGTAATCTGTTTTGGATCTGTGACCCGCAGATGAAAGGCTCTCCTTGTTAGTTATTTCTCGAATCCGACAATTGATAAAAAACAAAACAGAAAATCCGAAGAAAGAAGAAAAGCGCAATCTCTATCTCTCTTTGCGCGTGAACAATATTGAATTACCCCGCGTGCAGTATCGAGGACTCCGATTAATGATGCAATATGCGCCCGTGTTACATTGTTACAGGTACCCGAGCTACTGCGCAGATATCCAGTTGACGATCACAAGGATTTCCCGCTGCCGCTTGACATGGTGTACTTTTGCCAGCCCGAGGGCTGCAGCAGCGTCGGCCCCAAGCGCACGGCTCTGCGCGACTCCAATTCGTTTACCTTCACGCTCACCGACAAGGACTCGGGTGAGACGACTAGCCGTTTCATTATTATTATTATCATTGCTACTTCTACCTATGGTTTAGAAGTTTTGCAAAACTCGTATACGCACGTAAATTTCTCCCTCTCTCTCTTTCTCGGCATCTAAAAGCCAACGCGCAAACTGGAAATTCACCACTGTATGATACGCGTGCGGGTACGATACTCTATGCGTATGTGTATATTCAAAGTGCGGTCAGAAACTTACGGTTATATATCTCTTGGGGGTGAACAGAGCCAATGCCTGTCGCATATCCTTAGACCAGTCCGAGTTACGCTTCGTATACGCGTGTATTATATTTATACGTATAGCGAGTCACGGTACGGCACAAGAGCTTGCAGTGCTTTCGGGAATATAAAGTTTAAATTAATTTCCTTTCTATGCCCGCTCGTTCGCTCGGCGAACTGCATTATATCCTATATTTACCTGATGTGGCTCGCCGCGACTAGCGTAATTTTTTATACTCTTTTGATACTTTTTCTAAAACCCAATCGCACAGAATTTGAATTGTAATCTTGACAATGAATGACGACGTGTATACTCGTAAAACGTAATTTCATCGTATCGCAGCTATATAGTAGCACGGTATATATCACAAAATCAGCTCTCTCCGATGTGCTGCTGCCTCTGACGCACAATTTTCGCGCGTGCACATTCCACGAGATGAGGAGAGAGAGAGAGAGAGAGAGAGAGAGAGAGAGAGGAGAATCTAATTTATTTTGCGTATATTGTATAATCGCGCTATAGCTCAGGGCGCAGTAATCCACCTGTAAACGTGCGCGCGTGTATACCTATACCCTATTATACATCTCAATCGATACGTGCAACAATCAACGCGCAGCTAGCTAGCTCTCTCACTCTCTCTCTCGACGCACCGTTAAATACGTTCAAGTTTTACTTGCCCTATATACCTATATCGTATAGCAGTGGCAAATATATATACGAAGCGAAGCAATTAAAAGTTATACGCGATGTATACATATACACGAGTGGTGCCCGATAAATTCATTGTTTACTGCAAGTACTACGTATATAGGTACACGTCTTATACCATGAATTATTATATACGCAATAGCGCAGCATACGTCAAGTAAATTGTATATTGTAAGCGCAATCACGCGCCTATATACGTATATAATAATGCAAAAATAGCGCGTAGTAAGTATACTCATCCGGCGCTGCATTGCACGCCGTGTGCGTTGTCTGTTCAACAGGTAAAACTCGTTACGGCGTGTGCGTGAACTTTTATCGACCGGTCGAGCGAGCCGGAGCCAACGGGACAACGTCGCAAGCTTCGGCTGCGGCTGCGGCTGGGTCTGCTGGTGGTGCTGCCGCCGCTGCTGCTGCTGCTGCTGGCAATGGAACATCGGCGCAGCCCGGGATTGGCTTTCGCGCCAAGCAAAACACGAATTTCCGCAGAGAGAGCTGGAGAAAGAGCATGGAGAAGAGCTCGGACTCGGCATTTTCCAGGTGAGAGGCAGAGAATAAGAGCTCGCATTTTTGTACGTAATACGGTGCATGTGCGCGCGGATTTTTATCATATCACGAGGATGGGCAAAAAATGAGATTCGTAGCTGATATTGAATTCGGCCGATGCGGGGACTCGGAAGGGAGAAACGAGGTGCTTTCTCTCTCTCGATTTTTCTTTTAGATATATGGAGAAAATATATATATCATCTAGAATGGCAGATTCAATTTAATCGGGAGGAAAATGTCGAGGAAAAAGAGAGCCGAGCTTTTCAACGTAGAATTTATATTCTCGACTGTAGAAACGTACAAGCGCGCTCGCGTGCTTTCGCTCCTGCGCGACGCTAATTATATATTGTTCGTCGCCGGCGCGCGTTGGGGCTTTTCATCGCGAGCTGTTCCGCGCGTACAGTTTCTTTTCTTTTTTAATTGTTTTTTCGCGGAAAAAATCAATTTATTCACCCGCGTACACGCGACATTTCTCGTTCGCAGCTCGGTGAGCTTTTTTTTTTGCGCAGAAACCATTTCAATTAAACTTCATTTTTTCCTCATCCAAACTATAATAAAAATAATTTGCCTCTGCTTGTGTGTGTGTGTTTGTATGTTGCGCGTTACGATCTCGTCTCTCTCTCGTGCCACGTCTGGCAGTGACTATCGAAGCAGCGTCCTGGGCCCGAGCGACTCGGAGAAGGAACCAGCCAGCAGCGCCGGAAGTCGTCCCTCGGATTCGGATCAACATCATCAACATCAGCAGCAGCAACAGCCACAACAGCTCACGGCTCAACACCCGCCGCGTCTGGGCGTAACGGCTCCTTCGGCCGACAGCGAGAGCGGCGGCAGCCATTCACCCTCGCCCCGTGCCTCGCGACGACGACAGGTACGTACCCGCGTCAAATGCACTTGTTTCGACGTATATTATATTAACACCGTTCGTTTTGAAAAATTTTTTTAATATTGGAAGCACCGGCCCTATACTCTAGTTAAACTAAAAACATGAAGTTTTCCATTCACCCGGTGTCGCTGGGCGCCCTGAATCTGCTCTCGACAGATTGTTTAAGTTTGAAAAATTGCAAAATCAGGTATCAAATCTGTGAACCGTTAAAAGCAAAATCGTCACTTGAATTTTCAGAAAACCTTTGAACACCTGTAACTTTGGTTCTAATGAACATAGACAGGTTTTACTACCATCAAATTAAAGGTAATTTTATGCTTTTTCAGATTGTAATACTTTCAATACAGCTATTAAGGGCATCTATAGCGTCACCAGGTAGATGTGAAATTCGTGTTTTTAGTTTAACGAAAGGATTCTGCCGGTGGCCCCAATATTGAAAAAAAATTTTTTCAAAATCAACCGGTCTCGTATACATCCTACTCGTAGCTTTTAACGTAAATCGATTTCGCGGACGCGCGCAAAAGGTATACGGAGAAAGTAAAGATAGTAGAAAAAAAGGAGACAAAAAAGAAGGAAAAACACGTATATCCTGAAGTTATATGGAACTGTACAGTATGTATATACACACGCGAGCACAAGCTCGTATATACATGTTTATTATTGTGTTATGTCATTTTTTTTCACCCCCTTATTTTCTGCCCACGGGAGACCGATGATGGCATCGTAGCGTACAGGGGTAAATAACTACGCAACGTTGCGAAAGTTTGCTTCCTTCCTTTTCTCTCTCTTTGCTTTTATCACCGCGACGATGAGGTTGTTTTTCAACGAGCAAACTTTTTATTTATTTTATTTTTCATTTTTTAATGGATTTTACGCGTTATATGCTTACAGCTGCGAGCCGATCCGACGCACTTGTATATAATTTAATCCTGTGTGTGTTTTTGTAAACAGCGAATACGCAATCACTCGCTCACCTCGCTCTGCATCATCTCGCATCATCCGTTCTTCTCGACGTTCCGCGAGTGCCTGTACGTGCTGAAGCGACTGATCGACGCCTGCAACGAGTCGGCCCTGCCCCAGCGCTGCGGAGGCTCGCGCCAGCAGTACCGCGACACGAATGTCTGGACGGTGCTCTCGGGCCAGTCGTTCGAGGGCGCCTCGTCCATAGTGCTGCACGACGTGCGCGAGATCGAGACCTGGATCCTGCGGCTGCTGAGCGCCCCGGTGCCCGTGCCCACGAGGACCCGCGTCGAGATCGAGATACTGTCGCCGCAGCTCCAGCCCCCGCTCTGCTTCGCTCTGCCGGATCACACGCGCTTCAGCCTCGTCGATTTTCCGCTGCATCTGCCGCTCGAGCTGCTCGGCGTCGATATCTGCCTCAAGGTCCTCACCCTCATTCTGCTCGAGCACAAGGTGAGTGAGAGCAGCAGCTCTTTTTATTATTGTTCTTGATTATACGAGGCGTCGTTTCTCGAGCATCATTGCGATCGAGGCAATAAAAGAAGAGAAAAAAAAAACCAACTATAAAGACTGCTGATCTCGAGAGGCGCAGTTAAACGGCTCTACTCGACACCCTCCGGAGAATAAACATTTTTATACTTTCTTTTCCCCTTGATCTCTCGTCCACACACACACACACACATAGGTACTGCTGCAATCTCGCGACTACAACGCACTGTCCATGTCGGTGATGGCCTTCGTCACGATGATCTATCCCCTGGAGTACATGTTCCCGGCGATACCGCTGCTGCCCACGTGCATGAGCTGCGCCGAGCAGCTGCTGCTGGCCCCGACGCCCTTCGTCATCGGCATACCCGCCTCCTTTCTCATGTTCAAGAAGAACTTCCGCATGCCCGACGACATCTGGCTGGTCGATCTCGACAGCAACAGGATCACGCCGCCGAGCGGCCTGGGCGACTGTCTGCCGCCCCTGCCCGAACCCGAGGGCTCCATACTGAAGAATCATTTGGCGCAGGTGGGGGCTCGTCCTTATTATTCTTCTATTTTTTTACATTATATTATGCCTTATTTATACGTGCTCTCATTGTCATCTCTTTTTTTGAATATATAATAATATAAGATTCTTGAGATGAATTTATATATGCTTCGCTTCGTCGTGACGTCTTTTTTTGTTTGTTTCTTTTTTTTTTTTTTTGAAATATCAATCAAACGATATACCAGCGGATCCGATATAACTTTTGACTTGCTTCAAATTATATACAGCTTTTTATTAAAAAAAAAGAGGAAAAAAAAATCATCATTTTCAACTTTTATTCAATCGATGTCTCCTTTTCAATAATAGAACGCAATAAACAAGTTTTATAATTACTCCCTTCATTTTCCATCGCTTTTTTTTCGATCCACATTGAAAAAAAAATTTTTAAAACCAACGTGTCACTAACTGTGTCTTTTTTATCTGTCTTTACTTTTTAAAACTCTACCCCACTTCTACGCTTCTACAGGCAATGCAACTAATGGATCAAGCCGGCACTGGTGTAATTATCTTTTCTAATATTTTTTACAAAACACGTGTTTATCTAGCAGAAGGCCTAATAGATAAAACGTTGTGTTGGAATATTCTTTTTTTTTTAGCAGTTTTGCATGTAATACATGTTTAGTACGTAAGAAACGAAATGTTTTTTTCTACTTTGTTTTTCTTAACTGTACGTTCCCTATACATATAGAAAATGTGTAGTATCGTAGACGTATAGTAGAGAGAATGAAAAAACTAGGAGAAAATTGCAAATTACAAATAAAGCTCCTTGTTTAGAGTAAGCACCTCGTGGTAAGATTTATTATGTACGTAAAAAAATACCAATCCAGTAGAAAATATATATATATGCGCACTCGACTTATTTTCTTAATGAGAGAGCGAAAAAAAAAGATAGCAGCCACGTAACGTTTTATAAGAGCAGACTGATAAAATGCAATTGATATCCCTCGCACGCGGCACACGCACGCACACAGGCCATGGGAAGTATGTCAATACCGCAGCCTCATCTGATGACGCCCCAGAATGCGGCTCAGCAGCAGCTTCACTCACCCCAGAGTCGCAGGGAGAGCAGCGCGTCGCACCATTCGACTCTGAGGTATTTTACTTGTTCTCTCGCAATTTTCAACTCTCTGATGGAAATTCGCGATGAAATGAATCATGATTTTCTTCTCTCCGCGCGCGCAGCGTATCGTCGGCCAAGCATCGACCGAGCTTGGACCACTCAGCCATGAGCCCGGTGAACTCGTCGGGCCAGACGTCGCCCCGTCGACCATCGTTGGCCATATCGCACGTGAGCTCCACGGCTTCGTCGCAGCGTCTACTAGCCTCGCCGTCGACGACCCATCACCACGCGACGAACAACAACGGCTCGATGATGAGCGGCCAGGGTGGCGCTGCCGGTGGTCAGGCTGGCGGCGGTGGTCCCTCCAATCCCTTCATCTACGGAAACGACGTCGACTCTGTGGACGTGGCTACGCGCGTCGCCATGGTGCGCTTCTTCAACTCGCAAAATCTCCTGGCCAATTTCACCGAGCACACGCGCACCCTGCGACTGTATCCCCGGCCCGTGGTGGCCTTCCAGATCAACTCGTTTCTGCGCTCGCGGCCGCGCGCCAGCCAGTTCCTGGATCGGTTCGCGCGCACCCAGGCCGTCGAGTTCCTGGCCGAGTGGTCGCTCACCCCGAGCAACGTCGCCTTTCTCCGGGTGCAGACGGGCGTCTGCGATCCCGCGCAGATCGGCGACAAGGCCAAGTGGTTCGCCAGCGAGCTCGAGCCCATACAGTTCCCGATCTGGAACGGCGGCAACGGCCTGTCCAACGCCCTGAAGGCGATGCGCGAACACGAGAGCCAGCCCACGGACGAGAGCGGCAGCGACTCGGACGCGGCCGAGAGCACGAGCTCGTCCTACTCGTCGCTCAGCGACTTCGTCTCCGAGATGGCGAGCTCCGACATGTCGCACAGTGAGTCCATATACCATATGAATCTCGCTCGAAAGGAGACCTTCCCTTTTCTCCAGGTCACAGCTTCTTATCGGCATTTTTTTTAGTCTCCTGGTACAAGATAGTAAAGTTCTCTATGCTAAGTTTGATACAACGGACCTTAGGGAATCTTAAAAAACGAACGACTTCAAAAGAAAATGCTGCGAAGAAAATAATCGTAGAATTAGTCAAAGAAGAAGTATGAATTTTCCAGAATTTTATTAACTCCTCTATAGCCTTTTTTCAGAGGCCTTTAAAACCTGCCGGACTCAATGAGAACAACGTCAAATTTCCTGGTAGGAATTCTCAACATTTAGTGGTTAGTTTTTATTCAACAATAAAGTTTTCAGGCAAAAACCGGTAATGTTCGAACCAAAAGAGTGACGTTTTTTCACAACATTGAACAATATTGAAGAACCAACAACGCAACGGATCATAAAAGTTCAATATAAGGGTTTCGACTTGTACAATATTTTTTACTTTGCCAATTGCAGATTTGTAAATGAAGGTAATCGCCATCTAGTGGTGGAAGCTTAAAACAGTTGAAAACTGGTCTAGATTTTTAGAAACATGCACTCAATAATTATAATATAATTTTAATAGAAAAATCGACAAAAACAAATCTGGAAAAAGTTCATTAAGTTTTTTTGACTAATTTTAAGTCTTTTTTGTTGGCATTTTATCTGACACATCGTTCCTTTTTGAGTTAAAAAATCGAAAAGATTTTTGAATACAAACGAAAATCATTTTTCAAATGGTCCATATAACCCATCGAATGAAAATGAGTGTAGAGGGCTTCATTATTGATTACCAGGAAATCTAAAAAAAAGTTGGTAAGGATCTGCGATCCAGAAGTGGTAGAAAGTCTTTTCGTCAGTAGCCGAGCTCAATGTACGATCGGACGCGCACGCATACCTAACCGCTCGCCTTCTGAATATTTACAGGCTCGAAAGTAAATCCGCCGCAGATGCACCTGTCCATCGATCCCAAGAGCATCTACAATCCGCCGAGCTCGCTGCAGTATCCGGGCGCCGAGGAGGAGACGAACGAGCGACCCGAGAGCCCGGCGAGCAGCTCATCGAGCCACAGCGACCTCAGCAGTCCGAGCATCAATCGCGACTCCGAGGTCGAGATCGCGGCCAAAGCCAAGGAGGAAAAGGAGTCGGAAAAGACGCCGCCCAAGAGCGACAATGTGAGTAGCTTCACTGCATGCATCGTCGCTCATTTTTCCTTTTTTTTCCGTTTCATGTACTACTTTTCTATGAACTATATACTATTATTTTACTTATCGATATACGCTTAAATTTTATATATTTATGCACTGTAACAATGGACATAAATATATATTATATTGTGCAAAATACAAATTAATCGAACCAATTTTCGATGTATAAAAAAAACTTGATATAATTCAAAAAATACTGTGCACTCCCCTCATTCTGTCATTATAGTGCGTCATGTTGCAATTTCATGAGAATCGAATCATGCCGAATCAAACATGACAAATGCTCCAAATTGATATCATTTTACAAATAAAAATTGCTCGTGCTCCATTTGGCTAATTGGCAAAATCATATGCTCTTCCGATTAATGAATAATTCACATATACGTGTTCATCATGATTAAATAACTGCCAGATATATATTTATATGATTACTATTATACATGTATATTATTTATGTATATATGTATACGATAAACATTGCACCTTTTCTTATATCATTTTATATATACTTATTATATAAATCGCAAATATAATATATATATTGCTTCGCATTTACTTTTTTTTTAATCGAGTAATTTTTGAACTTTTCTTAAACATATATTCATTTCGTTTATCATAACTTTTGTATCAAGCGAATGAACCTTGCGACAACAGAGATCAGTGATATCTATCTACTGCAGCGATTATTTTGACTCTTCATAGCGCTCCTTTTTTTTTTCATTGTACCAATGATCGTAAAAAGCCCGATTATTTTGACGTTTTTCTCGCTGTTGTTTTTTTCTTCAAATTGGTGTGTCTGTATACACATATGATGATTGTTATCGTTGACCAGCTCTATACTTATACTATTGAAAAAAAAGTGTTGATCTTACTGACCTCTCTTTTTTTCTATTTACTTGCATCTTGGCCGTTTTTGTATTATGGAAAAAAGCGAATTGAACGAAAAAAAAGCTAACGGGAAAATTTTACTTCTTTCATCACGATAATTTTGTACGTCAATGCACCACTTTTTCAGCTTTAGTTCTTCTATATCATTTCTCTTTTATATATTTTTCCTTTCTCATAGCTGATAATGATTAATTTTTCTGCGTTTTATAATATATAATACTTGCTATTACACGTTGATTAATTTGCGGCGCGAAATATACCTATAAGCGACAGAAAAAGTGCAACTGTAAACCAATCTCTAGAATATGGCAAAAACGACGGACTGATAAACTAACAAACCAACAAAAATAAAAAAACGATAATGAGCCAGGAAACAGGAGGGTGCTCAGAAAAAAAAAATACAAAATAAAATTAACAAAAGAAAAAAAACCGTCACGCACAGAGTTGACAAAATTGCCTTTTCTGTATTGTGTGTCCACAAAATTGACAAATCCAATTCAGGAGAAAACGGAGGGCGGTAGTTTCGAGTCGGACTCGGCCGCATCGCTGACCACGCAGATAGCTCGCACGACCTATCTCAGCGAGCGTAGACTGTCGTCGGCTAGCGGTCTGGATCCACGTACGTACGTCGAGACCGAGCGGCCCGTCATCAGTAGGAGCGCGCGACGATTCTCGAGAACGATTACACCAGTGAGTGCAGACAAACCCCTCTCTCGCCACATACATTGAGCAGCGCCTCGAGGAAGGGCCAGTGACGTTAAAAAAAATAAAATAAAAATACCAAAACAAGACACAAATTATTATTATACATGTCAGCTCTTCGCGTCAGTCTTTAATACTCTGTCTATAATACTTTCTTACTCTATCCTGTATATTGTATACATCAAACTCTCTATTTCTTTTTTTGTTCTTTTTTTTTTTTTTTTTGAAGAATGAAGTTTAAAAATGCACTGCGATATGAATTATTTCGTTTTTTTTTCCTTATTTTTATGTATACATTTGAACGCTACCTACTAACCCCAATTAATTGTTTTGAACGTCGCAATATTATTCCTTTTTTATATTCTTTCTCTCTGGTATATAGCCTGTGTGCGATCAAAGTAAAAAGGAGTTTTTCTACCTGCTTAAATTGGGTCGCTTTCGTTCATGTATATTTTTTTAAACATTTTTTTCCTCATTCGATACATGGCAAAACAAAAAAAGAATTGAGAATAAAACATGTAAAACGTGACACACATCGCAATGCCGAGGCATCGCTCGAGAACGAGAGTATTTATAATTGTATTCTCGAGAAAACTTCTTTCGACTTTGAGCTAAAAAAAAAGGGAGAGAGAAAAGACAAAACTCACCCGCTACTTGTACTTCAAAGCTCTACTGGATGGAGCAGATGATAATCTGAGAGCCTGTTCTGGAAAATTATGCATCTCTAACAATGCTTCTTCGTACTTTTTACTTTCTACTTTTTCTCAATTTATCTAGAAGCAGTATATATTTGCATCCATAAATGCGAATTATGATGGTTATTAATGCGTAATATAAGCTTGCCCATATGCCACGCTTTTTTGCCTCTCCCTCTGTACGAATGATTATTTATCTTTATTATCGTTAGAATTTATTTTTTTCGTTCAGGTAGATTATTTTCTACAGACTGTACGAGCGAAACATTGCCGAGTATCAATATCCTCGTACATCGATTTGCATTGCTTACGAACTGCATCGTGTGCATCGAAAATTTCAAATGCCTTGTAGTTTTCTGCATCTTACATTTTACATTTTATCGTAGCTTTTGATAACTGTATATCTCTTCATGAATCGTAAAACAATGTGACACGCGAAATTGCAGTCATTATGCGATATCATATTCCACTCATTTTCCGCACCCGAAATCAAAATAATGAATTGTTATAGATTGTTAAAAAGTAAAAATTACACGATAATATGCAAAATGAAATTAACAAAGATTTATTGGTTAATTTATATATCATAGATATATAATGTTAAAAGTTTCTGTATTATTATAGCCTATACAGTTATGAAGATATAATACACTTTAGCTGACTTATTTATTTTGCTTAACTTTTTAAGTTGATGTAGTTGTATAAACCCACTGATATTATCGATTCGTTCAATATATTGAATTTTTAATTTATACATTGTGAATTACAATTAACACAGCTTACAATGTACACCACATAATTAATAGCACTGAGGCTCTGGACACCACGAAGATGAAATAACAATCGCTTACACATCCAACAAATTTTTACAGATACAAAATATACCATACGAAATTTTATCATGTATACAGGACAAACGATACACGTGAAAAATTCAGCTCTCCACGACATAATGCACACCCCCACACACATACACACGTACAGCAAAGCAAACAACGCAACGATTTCCGAAAAATTAACCCATAACGATGGTTTTTTTTTCTTTTCTTTTTTTTTCGTCATGTTGACAACATAATACAGGTACCACCGATCAGTCCGACGGGTCTGCAGCGCCAGCCGAGCGTCGGCAACGTTCTGGCGCGCGCGGGCAGCTTCAGCGCCGGCTCGGGCTCGGGATCGCCGACCGTGGTCAGCAATCCTCTGCTGCAGCGCCAGGCGACGAGCACCAGCTCCGACGGATCCGGCACAGCTTCCGCCGCTGCGACTGGATCGCACAGTCTACCCAGGCAGGGCAGTCTGCAGCACAGGCAGCAGCTGCAGCAGGTCGCGCGCCAGAGTAGCGCCGGCAGTAACGGCGGCGTCCTCAGGCAGGGCTCGCAGGGCTCGATCTTCGAGCAGATCGCTAGCCAGGCCAAGGATTTAGTTAGAGAGACTACGAGGCAGAGCAGCCAAGACGGCATACTCGCTCATATGGACAAGGTGTGAATGTGAACGATTCTACTGTTTGGTAAAAAAAAAACACACGATCGTTGAGAGTTGAAAACCTGCAGAGGGTCGGTGTTTTTTTGTGTTGAAATCGTTCTTTTCTTTGCTCGTTAACTTGATGTTTGGTTTTTGATACATGAGTTGAAAATTTTATTGATAAATTTATATCAGCATTGACATTTTGATGCATGACTTTTTTATATATCTCTTTTTTTCATTAAAGTACCGATGTTTTCTTTCTATTCGGGTTTTTTTCTTCAAATTTTTGCGCTACACCAGGAAAAGTCGAAACTCGGACGGTAATTTCTACTACGAGAACTTGTACATTATGCGTTTTTGTAACTTTTACCATTTCGAGGATTATGTAATTTCGTTCCAAGACCGTGGCATGAAAAACTATGTTCCAAACTACGATCGCAACGCAAGTACTACTAGCGAACTAATATATGATTTACGCGCGCGAAACTCGTGTAGCGAACTTTCGATCGAAACTTGTAATATAATCTTTCGAGGCGAAGCAGCTCTCGCGACTATTACGCTAGATAAATTCAATATAAATGCTTTATACGATCTACAAGTTGAGGCTGCTGGGTCACGCACGTAATGTATGCAACAATTGGGCGCGTATTACGATATACATCTTCTTTTGTGTGTGTCATTCGCATTCACATCGAATTTTGCAAAAAAAAAAATAAAAATAATAATAATAAAGTCTCTACTCTGCCTATGTTCGTAGCGCTCTTTATACTATCTTCACTTTGCGCTCGCAACAGGGCCAGTTGTAACAAATATATAAATTGCATGTGTTATAAAACACGCATCTGCCTCGATAATACACGCACCCACTCACACATACGTGCGTGCGAATTACGTCTCGGATCTGTGCGTGGGTGCAAATGGACTTTTTTCTCGAGTCCTTTTTTATCTCTTTCATTGTAATGTGGTTTTACGTAACTGCGCAAAATTGGATTGACAATGGAGACTCGACGAAAAAGTACCATCCATTATTTTCTATATGTGTGTGTAATAATCAAAGGGCCATTGAATTTAACTACATATCTTTTCCTTTTTATACTCCGTATTAATAGAATTTGTGAATATTATTATATACTTAATTTTCCATGTGACATCTTTTGTATTCTCCCACAATGTCGATCGATGTTATATATATATACTCTTGTCACCTTTTGCCTCGATATATCTAAAGCAAATGTTATTTCAAATGTATATAATTCGATTTTCGCACGCAGCTCAAGCACCAAGCCAAGGAAAAAATAACCGAGGCCGGCGAGGATGGCCTCTTCGCCCCACTCGAGCAGGTAAATAATTGCGTCGATCGATTCGACGAGAGAGTGTCAAGATCGTCGCTAATTCGATTTTATTTTATTATTATTATTAATTCAACACGTGATATTACGTTAACGCTCGTTATTTCGTGTAACGTTGATATGTATTTTTTTTTACGCAGCTCACTCAGCAAACGAAAAAAGCCATGGGCGAGGCGAGCAAGTCCATGCAGGAAGCATCCAAAACAGCCCTCGAGGCCAGCAAGACGGCCGCCGGAGTCAGCAGGAATACTCTGGACGATCTCACGTACGTCGGCAAGAGCACCCTCGGCGACTTGACCAAGAGCGCCAAGGAAGCCGCGGCGAAAAAAGGATTGATCAAGGTAAGGATCGCAGCTGTTGCTGCTCGTTCCTAATAATTCTCTCATGGAAAAATTCAACTGTATATTTTTGTTGGCTTTTTCACACAGAGCCTCGGCGATTCGCAAGACTCGCCACCGCAGTCGCCGCCGAGCTCCGTGGTGTCGAGGCGCGAGTCCTCGGGCTCTCAGCTCGCCACCACCGACCCGGCCCGGGCGGGTCGTCGCGAGCTCGGCCGCGACTTCTTCAGCAATATCGGTAGCGACTTGAACGGCATCGCCGAGTCCACCAGCAGCATGTTCAGCGGCCTGTTCGGCTCCAAGAGCTCGATCCAGCAGAAGGGCAAGGAGACGAAGAATCAGCTGTTCGGCAAGAACAGCAAAGCCGCCGCCAACAGCAGCAACAACAACGTCGAGCGCTCGTCCCTGATCAAGCACACGTCGGCCAAGAATCAGGAGGAGCTGAGGCGACGCGAGAACGCCGAGAGGACCAACACCAACACGGACAATCAGGCCTTCTTGACCGACGTGATCAATCAGGTGATGGTTGGCGAGGGCGTCGGCTGGCTCAAGCTCAACCGGCTCAAGAAATTGATGGAGGACGAGAGCTATCGCGACTTCATGGTCACGAAGCTGAACAAGGGCCTGAACCGCAAGATCAGTCCGGACGATCACATCGACGACGTGTGCATCAGCAAGCCCGTGTACAAGGGCATGCTCAAGTGTCTGCAGGCGATAGCCCAGGGCTTCGCCGTGACCTACGGCAACTTCGGCCTCGGCGGCATGGCCTCGGTCTTCCAGATGATGGAGATCGCCCACACGCACTACTGGAGCAAGGACCTGTCGGAGAGCGGCTTCGACAGCTCGCTCATGTCCCAGGCCTCGAGCCCCTACGGCAGTCGCGAGAATCTGGCCGCCATGTCGTCGTCGTCGCCCCAGTCGCCGAATCACGCCGCGCAAAGGAGTCACCACCATCACCAACAGCAGCAGCAACATCATCAGGGCGCGGAGCAGCAACAGCAGCAGCAGCAGCCGCCGCAGTTGAGGCTCGAGAGGCCGCAGTCCCAGGCGAGCAGCGATGAGAATCAATCGACCACCGACATGTTTCTCGACATGTTCAATATGAAGAATAAGAAGTTTCGCCTGACCAAACTCACATCGTCGGACGAGGTGACGTATAACTAGCGGAAATTTTTATACATACTTCTGTACAATAATTATCTTATAGTAATTTGATACTTTCGTTGGGATTTGCAGAAGGGTAGTAACGACGCATTGTCAACCGACGGCAGCATAACGACCAATCCAGCTTTCCGTGGACCCCATCAGGCCTCTTTCCGGAGTACCGTGTCCGATAGCGAGGTCGAGCAAGGCAACGTAAGTACAAAAATAGATCCGATAATCATCCGATCGTATCGAAATCCCCGCGCACAAGGCGTGCACGCGATATAGAAGTAGATATAGACTTTTCACTCACTCGCAAAATTCTCCTCCTCGCCATTCACGTTCCATCCATCGCACGTCATGGATAAAACGCGACAATAAGCAGTTTCCGCATCAGGCCAAGCAGCGCTCGGGCAGCGTCTGGTCGACCAGTCGCTCCTCGCTCAGCAAGTTCGGCGGCGCCGCGGGCCAGGTCTTCATACCGAGCGCCACCAGTCCGAGCCCCGAGACGGCGCGCACCTACCTGTTCGAGGGACTGCTGGGCAAGGAGCGCACCAATCTCTGGGACCAGATGCAGTTCTGGGAGGACGCCTTCCTCGACGCCGTGTCGCAGGAGCGCGACATGATCGGCATGGATCAGGGCCCGAGCGAGATGATGGAGCGCTACAAGAGCCTGAGCGACAGCGAGCGACGCCGCCTGGAGCACGACGAGGACAGGCTGCTCTGCACCCTGCTGCACAATCTCACCGCGATACTGGTGATGCTGAACGTGGAGAAGAAGGATATCAGGCAAAAGGTGCGCCGTCTGCTGGGCAAGAGCCACATAGGTCTCATCTACAGCCAGGAGCTGAATCAGCTGCTAGATCAAGTCAAAGATTTGGTAAGAATTCGAGTTCAATAAAGACCCTGAAAAATGTCAACGAATCTTCTTGTTTTTTCACATTTTTAATATCCAGAATGGCAACGACATCGACTTGAAGCCGCTCACGTCGCGCCAGATGCATCGGCAGTCGTTCACCGTGCACTCGGGCACCAACGCCGAGGGCGATCTGCGCTTCCTCGAGGTGCGCCACGACGGCCTAGTGCTGCGTGCCGTCAACGGGGTGATCGTCGAGCGCTGGTGGTACGAGAGGCTCGTCAACATGACCTACAGTCCGCAGACCAAGGTGCTCTGCCTGTGGCGACGCAACGGCGGTCAGACTCAGCTGCACAAATACTACACGAAGAAGGTAACCGATTTCCTTTTTGTTTTTGCGCAAAAATTCGGTCGAAAGTACTTTTTTTCCACTAATCCCCAACTATTTTCTTCGCGAAACAGTGCAAAGATCTGTATTACTGTATAAAAGACGCGATGGAGAAAGCCGCGGCTCGCGGCCGAGGTGCCAACATGGACGCCGAGCTCGGCGGCGAGTTCCCCGTTCAGGACCTGGTCACGAATCAGGGTGGCCTCCTGCAGGTCTGCATGGAGGGCATCGGCCTGCTCTTCGCCAACAGCAAGGTAATGTCTTTTTACTACCCCTCAGACTTTTTCGATTCGTATATATCCATCTTCCTTTATATCTTTTCTCAAATATGATACTTGACTCTTTTTTTCTACCTCTCTCAATGATCATTATATCCTTGGCCTTGCCGAAAATACGTCCTCCTTTATATCCCAGAGATCGAACGTGACAATGACGTGTTTTCAATAACGACAAGTTACTATGGATTTACGAATGCGTTACTAATCTTATTACTAACAGACGATTACTTTCGACAGTTTAAGACTTTCAATTCCTTTCCCATTTTCCCATTTTTAATTGTCACATAAATTCTTTGTGGTGAGTTTAATAGTATGAAACAAATATATACTGGACTGTTTTTTCTAATCATATTATAGCGTTGTACACGACGTGCAATAGACTATGTTAGCTTTTTTTTATTACAAGTCTTTATGATCGTTATTTTTTTACATGCCGAGCTCCTTTTATTTTTAATTAGGGTTCAGTGGTTGAGGAATAATTTTTCTCATTATTTTTTTTAAATTACTTTTAATATTAAATAAATCGTACGTTAATTATTTTCTTTTATTAAAAATTTTCTGTTGGAAAATTTAACTTTTTTTCTGCGCTATCGAGTTATTATTTCTACGTTATACTATATTTTAATTATAATTGCCATTGATGCAAGGACCACTCAATAATTATCTCCCATCGCTAAACTACTACGAAATCTGCTTGATTATGTATTATGTATACGTACTCTCAGCTTTAATAATGACTTTTTAAAGTATCTCCTTTCATTGAATTTTATCATTTTGTGGTTGTCTTTAATTAAACAAGACACCGCAGTTTTGATTAAAAATTTTAATGAATCATAATACATTCGCATCACGTTTAGAGTACACTAACTTTTGAAGGGTATTTAATGCACAGTATATGGACCTCGTTTGTTCGTTAATAATCATGATAATAAAAATTCAATTCATGTCCTTTTCCGCTAGCAGTTATATTTTTCACGAAGATAACTTTGTAGTTTCATTCAGTCGCGTTACCATCAATCAGCATTGATATTGCATTAGTAAAATTTATTCAAAAATCTCTAAAATGAAATTTTCTTATGGCAGGAAACTGATGTTTGAGGCAAAAAACTTCGAATTGTCTCTAATAAATATTATTATATATATTATCAATTATTTTCTGTTTAATTTTTTGAATTGATACAGCAGTTAATAATAATAAGATACTAATTTTTTTATGTTTATTAAATTTTTTTCGTTTTTTAAGATAAGCATTCCTTCAGTGTCTTTTTTTGCATGGAAATCGATGTGCAGCTACAGTCACTTCTGTCTGTTTTTTCATAAATTCTAATTATAAGATGAGATAACATGATACTATATTTCATTGCTATACGTTATATTAATTTTATGAATTTTTTGAAAAATATTTATATTTTTTCATGCAGTATTGCGTACAAATTAAAATTATCCAAGCTGATTTAGCTTTTCTTTGAACGATTATTTTGATTATTATCAATTTTTTATTACCAGTGCTATTGATATTTCCTTGATATAAAAAAAGCAACAATTTTTGGTTTCTCTAATTTTATGTTTAAAATACTGGTGTCGTTATTTTTTTCCAATTATTACGTACTTTATCTTGTTGCATCAATAAAAAAATATGATAAACGTTCGGTAAAATTTGTTTTTCAGTGATGTATTTCGAAAAAGACTTTTTCTATTGTACGTGAATGAAAAAAGAGAAAAGTTTATCAACGGCTGTTATTTGTGATTCGCATAAAAATGAACACAATCTAAATAATATCTTCTTATTGCAGATGTTAGTTGATAGGCTTTTCTCATTTTGGCTTGGGAAACTTTTGAGATGGTCCTTCAACAATGAATAAAAAAGTGTGAAAAAAATCAGGTTTTACTAAAAGACGTCGCGGTTTTCATTTGATGTAATGACTTAGTGCAGTAATTGAGAAAATTCTCAGTATTATATGCATTAGTGATTGAGATAGCGCCACTTTTTAACGCACTTTGGATTTGAGTACTTGACGAAGTAAAATCTTGGTAGCGATATTCTAAAACTTAGTTTTAGCAGAAGAAAATGGTAATGTTCTCTTCGTCAGAATTAGTCCTGTACTTTTTACGATCCCCACGAATTTCCTTGAAAAAAAATTATCCCCAATACCGAATATGTAACGAGATGTGAAATGGAAAATTGAAAATGTATGAATTGTGTTACGGGACCTAAATCTCTATCTAATACATGAACGTTCGTTTGTTTTTTTTTGTCTGTTCTCTTCGACATTCGTCGGATCAATTGTCCCTCTGGCTGTGCGCGTGTGTGTGGGCAAATCAGGATTTCGAGGTACTGATAAAAAATTTTACTTTCTTCAATAGAAAAGCATTTTTCATACCAATGTTTTAGTTTGTTTCTTAGTAATAAATCAGTATTGACTATTATGACAATGTTTTTATTAGCTATGTACAATGTTGGTCATGACCACAAGTTACAATTTTTTTTACAATTTTTTTTAATGCATTTTAATTGACTGCTAATTTTAACAAAGTCTTTTGATTATGTTTACTGTTAGACGTGTTTCAGAAATTTTTTTTATAATTTCTTAGCAGTAAGCTGCTTCTGATCATCATACACTCGGTTTTTAACGATAAAAATACGTTCATCCATGAACATTTACACTGACAGAATAATCTTTCTTGAACGATCACTGTAGTCTTATAAAAAAATACATCCTAAATTCATATGAATTTTGTGAAAAATACGAGTATATTTACACAAGTATTTCTTTATAATTATTTTTCTCTATGAAAAATTGATGTAATGTGATTTTAAATGTTACCGTACGATGTATCGTTCGGCTAATTTATGATGTTCTATTGTCAGAATGTTCGAAACGACTAAATTTTTTGTATGTATGGCTAAACTTGTCCTCGTTTACGATCTTCTGTCTCTGAATATTCTCATCATAATTCGAAATAATCGATGTTTTCGTGTCTACGTAAAAAATTATAAACTCTAGATACAAAATTTTGAAACACGTCAAACTCTTAAAAATGGAACATGTTTAGAACTTTAAAAAGTATGAAGTTTGAAAAAAAATCGGTTGTTCTGTTTATAGAGCTAACATTGCTGAACAATACTACCAATTGCTACACTGAATGAGCTTTTGTCGTTGTTATAGCAATCATGCAAATTCAAAAACTAACACGATACTATTTCATAAGATCGTTTTGCATTAAGCGCCGAGTCTTGGATCTACATTGATTTCTAATGGACTCCTCCAGCACTTACTTTCAAGCAAAATTTATACCTAGAAGCAATGATTATTATTTTGCACGAAATTCCTTGAAGTTTCTGAATGAATTGCTGAATTCGTCCATCAAAAATAATCCTTTCATGATAAGTAGTATAAAAAAAAAGTTATGTATACCCTTCTTAACCGGGGATTTTTGCCGATTCATACATACTAAACAATCAAAAATTATTATAAACATAAAATTCATATATTACAAGTAAAAGATGTATATTAAATATAATTTATCTAACATGATTCATCCTTACCAAAAAAACCACCAAATATTTCATGACCCATATTATGAGCGCAACTATTGAAAACCACTACGTCTCATTCACTTTATATACTTAGCACTCGTTAAAATGAAAAAAAATCCATTTCAGAATAGACCTTTAGATGCACAATTATGAGCCCTACATGAATTTCCACTTATATATCCTCATGTTTAACACCACAAATGTACGATGATTCTAGACCATCTCTAGAGTTGCCTGCATGCTCTATTTGGCTTTGCATGTTAACATTTTTCATGATTACTATGATGTACTTTGCAGGCGTTTTTTCTGACGTTTTCTGTAGTCATTGAATTTGCATGATTTTTTAATGCATGATTTTGTTTTAGCGGCTTCTTTGAGTTTTTTTATTTTTTTTTTTAATTTTCATTAACTCTAGGCGTTAAGCATGGTTTGTGTGAAAATTTAAATATTAACTTTTCAGATAACACTGACAATATTAGTGCAATATAAAACTTTTTGACTATTTATACCTCCAACAACAACAAAAAAACCACGATAGCTTTTTATTGCCCGTAGAGATTCAAAATAAAATTTGTGGAAAATTCAAACACGTGCACGTTATGCTTAGATTCAATTTGAAAAATTTTTCATCGAACGAGTACTAAGAAATATTCTATTTTTCAGTTTTTCGTAAGACTCGAGCATATCCGCAAGTGCTTTACTCAGGAGGGTGGAATCTTCGTTTTGGAAGAATTCAGTGAGTGTAGCATTTTGTACCGAACTGTATACGATAACCAAAAGAGCGAATATTTTCACACGTGTATCTTATTTTTCAGATCCTAAAACTAGACAAATAATTCAACGTAAATATAAGTCCCAAATGGTAAGTGTCGCAAAATTCCTTAAAAATGAATTTCAATGTGAACTTTTTAATCGATGTGGAAAATGATTTTTTTTTAATTTTTTGTTGTTATTTCTAAATAATCGTTGTTGTTCTTCTTCTGAAATTATCATTTTTATACACGTGTAAAAAAGTGAAGCAACTAAAATTTTTCTGAACGAAACAGGCGAGCGAGGCTGTTCATTGCATGCACAGAATATTTTCTGTTGCGCTTACCAAGCAGCTATCAGCAGAGGCTCGTAACGCCGAGCAGTCGAAAAAAAGAAATGCATGACTTCGATGTTTTTCTCTTTCTTTTCTTAAATATTCTGTCTGGAAGTGTAAGTTGTATCGATGTTTATATTTTATGCTTGCATTTAATCAATATTAGTTTTTAGTATATACAGCCTTTGTATCCTGATGAACCTGAAACACCGGTGTACCTTGTTGCTAAGCTGGAGCTTTACTAAAAATACTTTGGCATTGCTTATTTCAATTCGCACTTATTTATTCTTTTCTTGCACACTTTTTATGTGTAAATATGACTTTTCTACAAATAGAGAGCAAAGCTAAATTACTTGAAAATGCACAAGGACGGCCTTTTGAGGCAAAGATATTTAATTATATCTTACAGCTTAATGGAATAATTAATCGCGTTTCGCAGGCGGATCAGATCTGCTACTCCGTGCTCTGTCTGTTCTCGTACGTGGCCACGGGCTCGGAGTACACGAAAAAGCAGAGCCAAACGTCGAGTCCTCGGCCCTCGTCGGCCGGCCTTGGCAGTCAACATCAGTCCCCGCAACAGCAGCAGCAGCGTAGAAGCTCCCAGGCCGAGGCTTATCCGCGACACCACTGACGAAGAGGCAGGTACTCTTTGCCGCTGGTGCAGACTTACGCTTGTATGCCTTGGGCGTGATGATCGTTCGCTAATGGCGAAGAATGAATTAACGAATGAACGTGAAAAAATTAAAGAAAAAAGAAAAAAATATGTATCAACGGGTGCAGCTATCAAATCCATGTAAGCGGCACCCACAAACTAATCATCTCCGTCATATCTCTCATATGTACCTATCATGATAATGTGTAGTTTATGAATATGAAAAAAAAAAATATACATATAGGTATATGAATATACGTTTTTCACGCTGCATACTTACTGTCATAAACAATTTTAAAGACATATGTGTGATTTTTGTTTTTCAAAGTGTTCGTATGAATATTGTCTCGTTGTTATATAGTCAAAAAATTGTGTGACTACTATAAACGTAAATAGTTCAGATTTTGTATAGTTACCGAAAAAAAGTTGTAAAAAACGAATTTTTTATGTGATGTTTGAAGTTCAAATAAAAGTAGACGAATTATATTATCTGTTTAATCCAAGTTATGGTGTTTTGTCGTAAATATATATATATTGGATTGAATGTTATGTTTATAGAACAGATCACTTTTAGTCGCATTTATGGATCATTGATATAATAGTTCTAGCTGTTGACAAAAAAGTTTACGTATATATAATTATTATCAAGAGGTGCAAATTTTAAATGAATTTCATAGATATTTGTTTTAACTAGATGATCTCAAAAAGAGAGTAATTTTAATTAAGAATTTCTTTACACAAAATCGTTCGATGTGCACAATATATATACTAAGTATTTATTTTATCAAGTTATTTGAAACTACGACGAATGTATGAGCAAATATGATTGGAATACACGTATACAAGCATAATATTGCAAAGAGCTAATAATAAAAGTATCGCTGGAAAAATTAATACATTCTAATAATACGACTTTACTGTCTACTTTTTCGAAAAATCAACGAGCAAATGAAACATGGGCGCGTAATTTCAGAAAAAATCAACACACCTTTATCGGAAGACAAACCGGTGCATTTCTAAAAGTATGTTATTAAATATAATCGATAATAACCAATGTCATCTGTTCGGCGATCGAAGTTTTTTGGGAATTTACAAAACAAAGCAATACTGTTCTTATTGATCTAGCTTTACGTGTTGTAGATAAAAATTAAACTGCTGTGGAAAATTAATACCTCATAGCAATCTTACGAATTCGATAATAATTATTGAAAAAAAATAATATTAAAAATGTGTAAACGTGTAAAGCGTAAAAAAAAATTACAGGCAGTTTTAATAAAAATAAAAAGACCCGACCGTCGTATTCAATACGATACGAATTAACTTGTACTACGTTTAAGAAAGCAAATCTATATATTTTTGCGGTGAAATCAATTTCACGCACGAGCAAAAAGATTAGTCGATACAAAATAAATAGAAACATTTTCTCACCGAACACACGTTACGATCATTACAACTCGTCGATGAAATGTATTATTATTAAAAAAATTCGAATCGCCTAAAATATCATACGCATTTTTCACTGGTACTTTAACGTAAATCGGCTGTATTCGTTCTATATGAATCAAGCGAGTAAAGGACGATTGAAATATCACTTTCTAAAGCTTATATAGAGATGAGATGTAAAAGGATTTGAGTCGAGCCCTCGTCGATCAGCGTGCGTGCGTATTATTATTTTGAGCTTGTGGATACGCGTGTGTAAATATGTATATTTTCGCAAAGTGTGACGTACTCAAATGTTCCGTTGTGCGTGGAATGGAAATAATTTTTCATTGTCTTATGAATTGCGCATAAAAATGACACTCATATCGCCTCAAACGAGAGACCAAGAATCCTAGTGTATATGATACATTTCACTGTCTTGCATCATTATCATGAAGAAGTTACAAATAAGAATAAAGATAAATTATTAAAAAAAAATTTGCAACTTTTACCATCATTTCTATCCTTGAACCCCGCTTTATGATTTATTTTACGAAAATTAAAAGTTTCTATGCACACGCTTCATTTTGAACTTGTAACTTCAGCGACCGTGGCGACGTTTTTTACACATGGCGGCCTCTGCGCGCGCACGCAACTGAGCGTCCAGAACAACGTGCGCGCTCAAGATACTATTCCGTTTCTTTCTCGTGAAAACACAGACCGAAAATGGTACGTATTTTATCTGAATTTATCTCGAAGATCCTTGATTAGTTATTGTTTATAACAATTAAGTTGAGATTTTCCGTTCTTTAATGAGTATTATCAATTTTTCAGGGTGCTCACAAAACGTTGAGGATCAAGAAAAAGCTTGCCAAAAAGCTAAAACAAAATCGCCCCATCCCACAATGGGTGCGTATGAGAACGGGTAACACCATTCGGTAAGTTTTATTTATTTATACTTTTTTCAATCGCACTTTAGCTATATCAGTAAATTTATGTAAACTATTCAAATTGATAATTTATGTTTTGGATTTATTCGAGTAAAATTGAAATAATATCGCGGCATTCATAAATCAATTGCGTTGAGGTTATGGAACATGTGGAGATGACATGCGTTCTAAAGTTATCCAGACAGTTTGAATAACTAATTATGTTGATTTACAACACATCTAATTTTTGTCATTTTATTTATTTTACAGATACAACGCCAAGAGGCGTCACTGGAGAAGAACCAAGTTGAAGTTGTAAATTGTCACAACTATTGTATACTTTATATATCTTAATGATGGATAATAAATTTACATAAAACTATAATTTTTTGTTTAACTTTTTTATTTAAAAAAATGTCCAACATATTCGGAACCAAAAGTTAGTACAACTTTTGAGCTTTATTATAACAAATAAACAAATATTACATTCTATCTGTATATCTAAAAAATAATTATTATTTGCAAACTACAATGAACCATAGACCTTTCGCTTTCGCAAACCTTCTTTCCAATCTTCCAATTGCTGATCAGGAGTTTTAGGATTCAATTTATAATAATCTGTGGGTGGCTTTCCTTCTTCAAGTCGTACAAAATAGTGACAAAAAGTATATCTTATTTCACCTGTTCTTCCTTTAGCGTGTCTCCTTACACCCTTTACGCAAAAAGCCTTACTACAGAAGGATTCAGCTAAAAATTAAAAAGTATATTTCATTAATAAATTATTTTTGTTATATTTTTTATCCCAAAGAATAATAAGAAAATATGAATTAATTTTTTACTTACCAACCCATAAATTACTTTTGAATTCTACATTATGCTGCTCAACTGCCATTTTTTGAGCTTCTAAAAGTGTTTCTTTGACAATGGCTGCTCCTTTTTTACTTACAAAAGATAATTGTTTTATAGCTTCATCAATTGATAATCCTCTAATTAACCAAGCTACATATAACATTTTCTTTGGTGTATATCTGATATTAGTTTTTTGATGACAAACATACTGTAATGTTGTAATAAAAAAATTAATGGGATTAGAGAATTGAAAATATTATCACTTTGACTATTATTAACTTACGGCTGGTCGTCTTGGTTCTTCAGGACTTTGAATAGGAAAAAATTTTTCATTATGTTTAAGAAACGATTGTGGATCTCCCTGCTTTCCATGACTTAAAGATGTGGTGTGAATATTTTTTTGAGAGTTGTTTATGAGATCTGTACCTTTAATAATGCCCAGAAAATTTTCTTTGACAGGTTTAGTCTGCAGAGACAGTGATTTAATCCGATTTGTTAGATTACGAAGCATCTTTAAAATATAGTCTAAAAATAATAATAATATTCATTAATGTTGATTCAAAATAAAATAACCTCAAGGAATATGTAGAGCGATTGACAAGTCAACGTTTTTGTATAAGTAGGTGCATAATTAAAAGTTCAACGTGGCTTACTTTGACAATTTGGGGTGATATTGTTGAATTCGCAAACGAAATTGTTACTGTCTCATAACTGCGCTACAAAATGCACTTATACACCGTCCGGTTGATTACAAGCACTGCGAGCACAAATGCAACGCGAGCAGCAGCAGTAGCAGCAACAGCAGACGACAGTATAGCGAGTTATATGTTTGCCCATTGACGTGAGATTTGCAGATACATCATGGCATGCAGCAATTTTTCTCGACTTTTACAGCTTGGGGCGAGAGCATGCACGAGCACGATTGCATCGAACACAATAGTCAGGCAAAGCCCTTTAGGTAATCATCTTATTAATAGGTGTCATACATTGCGTTGGCTCAAGTTCATTGACATATAAACATATCCATTATAACCCTATAACCCCGGCCGGTAGTAGAACGTCCCAATTGTTTCGTTTTGTTGATTTACTTAAATATTTGTGAACATAATTCGACGAATTTTTCAGTGCCAAAGCTATGGGATTTAAATGTCAGATATTACAGAAAAATGAAGGGTGTGCCCAGGCATTTACCTTGGTTTCCTCCAAAACCTCCAGCGACTCCAGATTATCAATCCGAAGTAGTTGATCCATCAGAGGAAAATGAAAAACTTATAACAGGTATAATTTTACACTTTTTGATGAATTTTTTATTTTTATACAGATAATAAACGTTTTACTTTTTTTATTTTTCAGAGGTGTCAAAAGAAATAAATAAACAAATTGCTGAAGACAAAACAGGACGTTTATTCGCTATAGTACATGTAGCTGGAAAACAATTTAAAGTTACAGAGAGTGATATTATTATTATTCGGGGTTATTGGCCTCCAAACATAGGGGATCAAATAAAATTGGAAAAGGTTCTTCTGTTAGGAAGTAAGGATTTTACACTTGTTGGTAGGCCTATTCTTAACAGAGAATTAGTTTCCATTGATGCAACTGTAATTGAAAAAACACTATCAAACACGATTACTCACTTCAGATTCAGAAAGAGGAAACAATATCGAAGAATACATTGTAAGTATTTATTAACTATTTTTTGTTATATTGCTTAAACTATGATGATTCATAAGAGCAATTTTTTAATAATTTTCAGTTTACAAGTACCAGCATACATATGTTAGAATCAACAGCATTACATTGAATGGTGAAGTCGATAAGAAATTAGAGGTTGAAGGATTAGATAGAGTGTATTAAATACGAATGACTCATTAAGTAGCTTTTGTACCATAGGGCAAAGGCTAAAAAAATTATACAATATTTGTTTGAAAATATTTATTAAGTATCAGTTTGTAAATAAAGAAAATGGAAAATACATTTGATCAAATTGAAATAAAACACGTTTTAGTTTCAATAACTTAAAATAATTTTTCAATTAATTGCTATATACAATTTCAATTACATTTTTGTAATCATAATTACAAGTCTTTGTGTAAGTTCATGTCATACTTGCCTATCAAATAGAAAAAAATCACTTCATCTCATACAATACTTTCATGAATTAAAATATTCTTAATTAATTTTGTCCTCACAATTACAAGAGAATTGTGCAATCACATACATTTGCTTTTCTGTTGAAGAGGTCTAATTTTTCCTTTGGTTATGCAAATGCTACTAATTAATTCTTTACTTTTAATGTGCCTAAAGCATAACATTTATAAATATATTTTTCATGTAATTAACTTTCATATGAAATTTTTCATACTTTTTCTTTTTTAGCAGCGTAAACTATATATACACTCTGGATATTCTTATATATCGAATCTATCAATATATTTAGTTCATGATTTCAAGAAATGGACATTTAGCCCTAAATTTTAAACTACATATGTATATACTACAATATTAAACTTAAATATTGAAAATTATGAATCTATCAGTTAAAAAAAAATTGTATTTGCACTTGACCAAGTTACTTAGTATCACTTGAGGTCTTGAGATGACGTAATCCCAAGCTATCACCCATTTTCACACATTGGAAGACATCACCAACGGATATAGCAATACCATTAGTAGTGTCTAACTTGTATATTACTTCTTTGCTATCACCCACTTGGACACTTTGAAGGCTTTTATCAGAAGATATATTATTGATTTCCAACTTGATTACTGGTTCCTTTGAAACTTGCATTTCTTTATTTTCTTCAGTCTGAATAACAACAGATTTTTCTACAACCGCATTAGAAAATTGTTCAATTTGTCCTTCCACAGATTTTTCTTTAAACAGTTGAATACTTTTTGGATAAGTCGTTTGCTGCAATTTAGGTGTGATGACTAGATAATTGGATACAGTTGATGCTACAGAAGATGGTTTTTTTATAACAGGTGTAACTTTCTGAACGTGAATAGAGCGCAATGAACATGGAGTATTCGATGGTGTTGAGGGCATATTTATCAGTTGCACTGGTGATGATATAAATTGTGAACATGTCGAGCTTCGACTTTCTGGTGAAGTGTCTTCATGCTTCAGTGATTTGATTTCCGATTCAACAAAATCAGTAGCTGACTTATTTAAAATCTCATTCAATGAACGAGATTTTTGAAATAGTCTTTTCTGAGATAAGTCATGTGGTTGGTTCCTACTTCCCAAATCATCATCTATAATATAAGTTGTAATGAAAACCATCGGAGATTTTTTTTAAATAAGATGTTCAATTTTAAATAAGAAATGATTCAATGTTAAATAAGAAATTTACCTGAAGTAAAAAGTTTTCGTTTCTTTGTTTCTGTATAGCTCTCACTTCTGCAAGGTCTAGGATGATTTGATTTAAAAGGCAAGCATGAAAAGGACCTTTTTGGAGTACTTGAGTAAAACGGAGAATGATTGAATCTATTTTGCTCATTTTCACCTAAAAAAAAAAAAAAAAAATACATAACCAGAATTTTCAAATTGTTGCAAGTAAGTTAACATAAAAATAAAAGTTTGGCTATTTCTGAAAAAATTTATGCACAAAAACTTTTTCATTCTTTCTCATAAAAGTGTTCAAAAAATATTTCGTACACTTTTCACTCCTGGAACAGACACTTTGGAAAAATAAACTTAATGTTTCTAGGTACCTGTTTGCAAAGAGTCTAAATCGGGTCCACAGTATCTATAAATTGGCTTTTTTATAGACCAGGCACTGTACATGTCAACTTTTTCGATTAATCCAATTGCAAGTAGAACATTAGCAATATCATAAAGTCTTCTTCCTTTGGATGCTTTAGATTTAGCATTTTGTGAAGAATTTGAAGAATCCAGTAAATCTGATTCATTTATGAGAACTTTAGCTGCTATGTCTAAGTTAATGACTCCATTCTACAAAAATACATTAAAATTATGATTTCCAAAAAAATTACTTTTCATTAATTATGACAGTGAAAAAATTCTTACTTTCATAGATACTAAAAATAGCATGAGGAATTTTCTGCACATTACCCCTAAGCTCTTATCTTCTTTATCATTGTTACTACTCTCTGGAAACTTGAAGTTTACAATTGGACTTTGAGGTACCATGAAATCGTTAGGTGAGAAGTTATTTAACTTGCTATCATTTGATATAAAGGCTCTGTTAACTCTTTGAATCTCCTGGATTTTTTTATCTAAACCTAATCGAATTGCTGATGCTCTTAAAGTAAACAATGTTGAGTGCAAATGAGTTTCCCCATACCAATAATATTTATTTTTACAAGCTCTGGAAGCCATGTCCAAGCTTTCCAAAACATTTATAATGTCATAGAGTCTTCTTTTTTCTGTTTTAAGTTTATCAGTAGTTTCATTCAAACATATTTCGCAGTTTTCGTCCAATTTCAAAGGAAATAAATTTAGGAATCTGTAAAATTGAATATTTACACATTAAAGTTAACTCTGATTAATAATTGTTTTCTTAAAATTTTTCATGACAAATTACTTTTTGCATAACTCTGTGAGTGATTTCTCTTTTCTGGTTTTTTTCACATCTGAACCACAATCAAAGGGCGATGGTGTTTTGTATCCTTCTGCTGGCAACTGATTGCTAGAAGCAGCTGCCTCTGCTAGACATTTTAAATTACTAGTAGGTGAGAATGGAATATTGTTGCCCAGGTCCCTGAAGACAATTCTCTGCTTTTCTGGAGTTTTCAAAAACGCCATGTTTGACTCTGCACAGAATCAAGCACACAAATGATTTTACTCATGAATTTTGGATTGGTAAAAAAATTGCATTGATTGTTAAAAAAAATAAAGCTCTTACCTCCTGCTGCACGACCTGTAGGAAACAAAAGTTTATCTCGGTTTACGACAAGTCTGGGTTACCTATGCCTGCATTTTCCAACACGTGGACGCGAACGAGTCGTATATGGAATACAGCAACAACTCACACGTGTGCCCTTTTGCACCTATACTACTGGGCTAATTAAGATCGTCTCTTGCACTTGTGATCGCCACCAGCAGCGATCGTTCGAGAAAATTGAGTGCAAGTGCAGCTAAGAGTGTCCTGTGTTTTGGGCTCCAACGTGTGCGTTGAAAAAACGACCGAGAGAATCGCGCAGACGGCGGGTGAGTTACGCGCTTAATCGGTCGTACGCGGGCGCGCTACGTGTATGGCTCCACACATGAACACATGTACACAATACACGTTTAACAATTAGCGGGCGAAAGCCTCCCACCGCACGAGTTGTAGTAATGGCGTTTCATCCAATGCGTGGATGACGTGACGCGGCGTCAATTCTACGCGGCAAGATACAAGTTACTTTTCAAATCTAGAAATACTACGGCTCGCGGGGGAGGGGGACAGACGCTATCTATAACTTGTTTTGTTTTCAATGTATAAGGTATATCTTTCGGCGCGATGATTGTGGGATCGAGGAATACGTGTGTATGCAACCCGAGAGCTGTCTCGTGCGTTTGTGAATTAGGTGTGCCTGGCTATTTAAAATTCTGGCGGGTTCACGCGATTTCCTAGAATTTACTTACACGAGTACACATTTACATGTGCCGACTGCCTAGGCCTCGCGTTCTATCGCATTTTTCGAATTTAAAATTTGAAAGAATGAATGTTTACTGAATCTCTGGCTACGGTATTAGATACGTTTTATCATGGGTATTGAGCGACTTTAAATTGTATTGCGAAAGTTGCAATATTTTTTCAAATAAACGATAAAAACTTTAAAACCCATCCTTGGTAAAAAACCATTAATCAATTTAAGTAATATATCTGTAATCAACAGTCACTAATCGGTTATCAGCCACTTTTGTAAAAATATGAATAGAATTTAGCGTCGAAGTTTGGGCACCTATGCTTAATGCCAGTGCGGCCCACTCGTGCACTTGTCTCGCTCCTGCCGGCGAAGTAGAGGCGGGCCGCGGAAGGCCCCCGATCGAGCTGACGCTGGCTGCTGGCACAAGGCATTGTAAGTTGTAACAGTCGTCGGCGTCGGTTTCATTTTTCACCACGCGTGGCGTCTCAATCTCGAATTTCCCGTACCTACTAGTTACTACCTTTAGACTTTTAGAGATCCGCGCTTTTGTATAGTGTGCTGTGTGTGTTTACCGCCAGTGCGCTGAACAAAAGCAGGTTAACTCAAACTAAAATTTGTAGTTGACCTTTATAAGTAAGGGTTTATTTTAGGTCTACTGTAGGAAGATCAACAACTTTGAACACAATGAACGGTAAGAATTCAACAGAATAATTCAATCTTTAGTATAACCAAAGTTTTGACAACGTTAGATTATCAAAATGTACCTGTTTTTACTATATAATCAGTTACAGAACCATAACCCTGCCATCAAAACATTGCTGTTTATAATGTTTATTCCATATAAATCCCTTACGTTATTGTAACAATAATTACTACATTAAGCACTTAAATTAAAATATCTAAACCTGATTATATAATTCTTGCTTTTTCTATTCAGGAGAAACTGATGATCAACAGCGTATGCGATTCCAGGTGGAATTGGAATTTGTGCAATGTCTAGCTAATCCTAATTATTTAAACTGTAAGAATTGTAATGATAGTATTTTATTGCTCCTTTAAAACACGTGAAATTACCAAAAAATACTTTTTTAGTTCTAGCTCAGCGTGGTTACTTCAAGGATCCCACTTTTATCAATTATCTAAAGTACTTGCTTTATTGGAAAGAGCCAGATTATGCCAAATATTTAAAGTATCCTATGTGTTTATACTTCCTTGACTTGTTGCAACATGAACACTTCAGACGAGAGCTTGCTAATTCTCAGTGTACCAAGTTTATCGATGACCAACAGATACTCCTTTGGCAGCATTACACCAGAAGACGCACCAGATTGTTGCAAACAGCTCACGAATCGGTTCAGCAACATCCACAACAGAATAATGGAATCGCTCAACCAAAGGTACTCTAACGCGAACCATTGGTTAAAAAAGTCTGATATGCATTATCTTGTATAGTGCTTAACTAATGATGTAAGATACACATTTTTTTAAGATAGGCATTATTTTGTTCCTAAGTGTAAATGACTAGTTGCCGTTATAAAATGATATTGTGATAGTTCACTCATACAGAAATTTTCTTTGTACAATTATCATTACTTTGCTTCAAACATTTGCCTGATTGTACAGTTTTCAAGGTATTTTAGTTATGGAAAATGTTCATTTATATTATTTCTTTCATACATTCATATGCACTTGAATGCATACTAACATTTTTATGTTCATTAAGAATCGAAAACTATTTTTTGTTAACTTAACTTAATTTAAACTATAATTACTTATTATTGTTTAATTTAACTTGAGATAAATTAAATTAATCAATCTAAAACTACTGCTTATGATTCAGAACCTATTTTATTTGACTTATAAAAATCAAAGTGATACTAGAAACGGCGTTTTAAGAAGCGCAGAATTAAAAAATGTTAATAAATGACATCTTACATTTCATACAAAGTTGAAAGAAGGGGTGTAAGGATGGAAGAGCTTATTTTTGTTAAAACAAACTTTGTATGTTAATAAATCTCAGTATTATATTGAAATCGTTCGATCATTTATTTCAAGACACATTAATTAATCTTATTATTATTATTATAATACACAGTTAAATTGTTAAAAGTCTATAGTGTATATGTTTGTACACTTCAGTTTCTCAACTGTTTATCGTTCATTCGTTTATATTATTGTGTCATAATATTATATTTACAGTTCGTTATTTAAAAGAAATACTTTTCAGAGTCAATTATTATTATATTATATCATAACATAAATCTCAAGATAAAAATTCGTTACGTCAAGCACACACCTGGCTTGACACATCGCTCGCGTCTCTGTCATCATTACTATTTAATACTTATTCTAAAAAGCAGGTGCGATAATTTAAACGGGACTGTCTTCCCCGCTGGTTGGTGGTGATGCTGCTGCTGCTGCTGCTGCTGCTGTTCCAGACTGTACCTCTTCCCGTTGCTCGTCTTCGCTGAACACTACCTCGTCGCTCGCGGCAACGTTCGCCGTTTCGTCGTTCAGTTCGGAGTCCTTGTTCATGTTGAAGGGGGTGACGTCTTCCTTCAGCAAATCCATCAAGATCATGTCGCCGGTCTCGGGCATGTGGGCCGCGCAGTAGAGAGCGCCGAGGCTTAATATTCCCACGACGACCATCGGCAAGTGCTGCGCATACGACAATCGCGAAAATCGTATTAGAGAGCAAAGTAAAAAAGCAAGCGAAGAAAGCAAAGAGAGTCGAGTGATACTCACGGTTTCGATTTTGGCGCTGGTTCCGAGTGCAGTGGTGGCGAATCCGCCCAATATCTGGAAGAATATGCAGAATCCCAGACCGGTGCCACGCATGATCGTGGGGAAGATCTCTATGGTCATGATGCGTAAGAGGTAGAAGACCGCTACGTTGGCGAGTTTTCCAGCATGGGCCAAGATAACTTTGAGTATTGCTGAAAAAAAAGCACAGGACAAATGATATAGCTTCCTGTGAAATGACGAAAAAACGATCCCCCAAGCTTCTCTCTTACCGAAGGTGTCTTTGGGCGTCGCCGCGAGGCTTCCCAACACGAGGACGGCGCCACCGGCCAGGATCTGGGCGTATATCAGCGGCTGAACTCGGCGCTTTCGGTTGACGAGGCAGTGCATTAAGAAGCAGACGGCGATCTCGAAGGCACCGGAGAGCGCGACGTTCCAGTGTCGGCTCTCGGTGAGTCTGCCCGAGGGCGTCACCACGAGCGAGTGATAGACCATGGCGGAGGTGAACCACAGGCACATCAGATTGTTGCGTGCCTGGCGCGTGAAGGCGTCGCCCGGAAAGACGAGTCTGGCCAGATTGAGCTTGATGCCGGGATAGTGGTTGATGTTGAAGTTGGCCATGCCCTTGGGCACGAGCTCGCCCTCGGCGTTGCGCTCCATCTCGGCGGTGGGATTCTCCACGTCGACGTTGCGGCTCATCGCGCCGTACGCGGCGAACTCGGCGGTGCTGGCTTGGCGCTGCTCGACGGGGACGGCGTCCGGGGGCAGAAGTCGTTCCAGGTCAGCGGGCAGAGGTCCTCGGCCGCCACCGCCGCTCTGGTGAACCATCGAGTCGCACGTCTCGAGGGATTGGTCGCTCATGCTCGTTGGCATCTGGCCCTGTTGCTGCTGCGCGCCACCCACCTGCTCCGTCGAAGGTGCGTTGGAGATGTTGCGCTGTCTGCCGAGCCTCTCGAAGCTCGACTCCGAATCGGTCGACAGGACGCGGCGCTCGAACATTTTGCGCAGCATCGAGCCGGCTCTCGCTCCTCGGGTTATCGACACCGCGTCGTCGCTCTCGGTGTGCGACGAGTCGCGACTGAAGCGGCTCGTTCGGCTCGCGGCCGTCCAGTAGGTCGAGCTGCCGGTGCTGCCCTTGGAAGATTGTCTGGACACGTCGCCGGGGGTGGCGACGCCGCTGTTGGTGCTGCCCTTGGACGCTTGTCTGGAGACGTCGCCGGGCGTGGCGACACCGCTGGCTTCTCCTGATTCACCGATTTGGCTCATCGCCGGTCGCTCCGACATCGCGTTACGGGTCGAAACCTCGGACACGGTCGACAGATTCGAGGGCTCCAGCCGCGTTTTCATGTCCTCCTCTCTCTTGCCCAAGTTCTCGGCGGTCAAGACTCTGGGCACGCGTTGGAGGCGTTGCGGCCTTCCTCGCCTCTGTTGCTCCGTCTGCTCGGCCGAGACGTCTTGGTCGTCGTTGGCCGCCTGGCCTTCGTCATCGGCAGCAGCGACCTCGGCGGCGGCGGCGGCGGCCGGCGATCTTCTGTCGTTCTTGATCTTGTGAATGTTGCAGATACGGTCGGCCTTGGTCACGTTGTCGACGGTGTAGAGGTATCTCGGCGATTCGTGCATGAACACCATGAACGAGATGGCGCCGATTGCGGTGATGGCGGTCGCCGCGAGCACGTCGCCCTTCCAGTGGCCGATCTCCCAGTCGATCAGGGACATGAGGCAGAAGCCGAGCGCCCGCGCGCACAGTAGACTGGTGGACGCTCGCGTGCGCAATCGTTTGGGCATCAGCTCCAAACCGAGCACGTAGGTACCGATCTCTATGCCTTGCACCGACAGGCCTTGCATGAAGCGCATGAACATGTAAATCTCTATCGACTGTGGAGTGGTAACGAGAAAACAAAGAAAAACATATATCGCAACGATTCGAAGCGCCTCGAAGATGCGTATAGTATCGGAGCTAGCTTACGAATGTCGTCATGTATGCGATACCGAAGACCATCGTCATTATGAGACAGATGGTCGTGGAGTATTTGCGGCCCACCCTGTCGACTATCGGAGCCATAATCACAGCACCGACCATCAGTCCAGCAAGGTAGATCCAGCTCATCCAATTGGTCATGCCCCTCTTGTCGCAGATCAGCTCGTAGTCCGTCGCGACCGTCACCAGTTGACTCGAGTTCGGCGTGAACTCGCGAACCGTGCAGTTTTCGGAGCAGGCATCGACGGGCCAGTGATTCGCCAGCAAGTTGGTTCTCTGCAATTGACAAACGCACGATTTTTTTGCGTAATCTTTCGACATTTTTCGAAGCGAGATCGGTATACGAGCGCGTCATGTCGATCGAACGCGCGCGATGCAAAAGAATAACGAGCCTTATGTATATCAGTCAGTGAGCGATTGACGAGTCGGGTCACACACACACACGCGCGCGTACTCGGCCGATTGGAATTCGGTGCGACGGCCCCCCCTTGCGCCTCCCTCGATTCGTCCATCGCGCGCATACCGATCACCGTCGTTGCGCCGCGAGACTCTTTGCGTCGCGACGCGCGAAAGACGAGAAAGAAAAAAATAGCGATGATACCGATCGAGATTGAAAATTCATGGTAACGCGCGCCCATACGTACGAGTAAGTGTCGTGTGTAACACGCGCTCGAGCGTCTGCGTCGAGCGAATATAAATGTCGAATTTACTAACAGAGTGACGAGAAAATGTTTATAATTTTACAAGTCGTCAAACCGACGACGAGACACGATTCATTAACATACACACATCTATGTGTACACACACGCGCACTTAGCGAGATAGCTACTTATTTCGCGCGATTCCCAACGTGCGTATTACGTAAATAAAGCGAGATTACGAGCGCGCCGGCAGATCCGATGTAATTATTTTTCACCGATTTCGCGAAAAATAATACTCTGTTTATTGTCGTTATTATTTCGGCTGCTGTTTGTCGCGCTGTTGCGACTCGTCGTATCGCGCGTCTTTAAGGAGGTAAAGAAAATAAAATTTGAGTAATTAAAAAAATAAAATTACCGTGCACTCGACCGGCGGTGTGTATCTGGCGAAGATGCCGAACGAGTGGCTCATTCCGACGCCGATAAAATTGATCGCCAGTATCGCGAAGCAGAAGACGGTGTATCGGCCGATCGCGATGTCCTCGGCCCTTATAGACGGTGCCATCTTGCTACCAGTTCCTTCACTCTCTCTTCTTTTAACGAACGATTTCTTCTTTACTCTTTTACTCGCGTGGATTATTAGCGTCAATTAATTTAAAAAAACGAGCAGCAGCAGCAGCAGTCCTATTTGTATTGACGAGAGGATGATTGACGTGACTGGTCCTTTCGGGCCCGAGGTAGTATCGACACAGAGCCGGGATCGAGTCGCAGAGACATTGGCAAGCCCCCTCGAATTTTCACTCTGCTCGGCTGAACTAATCGTCTCGCTGTCTCTCTTTATCTTGTATTAGTCGAAAATCGGTCGTTTTTGATTCGCTGAGATCGATGCCGAGCACACCGACGAACACACAACGACACGCACGATTTGGGGCGAAATCGCGCGCGCAAAATTACTCTGTCTTCTCACACACACTCGCACAAAAAGAAACAATAACACCGACGAATCTTGATGCAAGAAATTTACGAGTATAGCTATTGTGTGAAAAATCAAAATACACATACAAGTAGACAAAATTTCTGCTGTCATAAACGAGCGTAAAAATAGTAATATTATAATCCGTCGTTATTAACCGGGTGAGCTATGAGAATTGCGCGCAGCGCCTATGCAAGCCGAACCGAGACTGCAGCAGTCGTCTGGAAAAACTTTTGACTCGGCGTGCGGCACCTCGTGCGCTTCTCTCTCTCTCTTTCTCTCTTTTTCTCGGATTGGAGGAGCTGTGCGAAGCGCAGCAGCTAAAACGCACGTATATTTATGATATATGCGCGCACCGAGTGTCCTGCTGTTAGGAGGACTCCGTGTACTGCGATGCGAGCGCAGTACGTCACAAACTCATATACCGATATCTATCGGCATTACCGGTACTTGGAAAGAAAAAAAGTATATATGTATGCTACGAGTGTCCTCTCGGCGTCGTATGGCAAACGTACGTCTCCCTCTTTTTCTCGGCAATCGTGATTTCATTATATGTATCCATTGGCGAGATCCTTTGGTGCAGAGATGCACGTAGAGAAGAAAATCTATGTGAAATTGTTAGATAAACGTAATTTAGAAAATCCTTTATCTAGCTAATCCCCGTGTCTGTCCCTCGACGAGACTTCCTACATGCCACGCAAAAATCATCAGCTGTTACCGATCGATCGAGATTTTCCCAACGAAAATACAAAACCATCCGCAGAAATTCTCTACATCGACCACGATATACACTCCTCGTAAGTTCGAACGGTGCACGTTGTGTACATGTTTACACGCTCGATCTCTCTCATGGACGTACGCGATTTCGTCACAATAATGATCTAACTATTTTATAATGCCGATCTCGATACATAGCCGTACCATATAGTGCGCGCGTAATAGATATATATGTATGCGCGCCAACTACGCGGCGACTAGATGCGGCACACACACACACACACACACTCGTGCGACTGCAGTCCAATTGTCAATGTAAATGCGCTATACGTGCCTAGCCTCACGATAACATGTGTGTGCGGCATTAATAGAGATCGATGAAAAATATTTAGTTGTAAAGTCGCGCGTATATAACATCGATCGAGATTCGATAAAGGAGCGAGAGCAGCATGAAAGGACCGGGTGCAAATGTGCAATATCGATCGATCGTGAGAACAGCGGCTGTGTAAATCGGTTTGATTTAATTCTTTTTTTTTACGAATATGATCGACATCATGATGTCATATAACCACGTGCGAACTGTAATAGAAAATTATCGATATACGTAGATGGTGTATTTTTCAATCTACTGCCCATGTATACATCAAGGGCATCGCTGATGCATAATATCTTCGACAAAAAATTGTGTCACCAGCAACACGTATACGCGCACCAGCAAACGTAATTGCAAAAAATCAGGCGCCGCAAAATAATTGTAGCGTAAAATTTTTGTTCTCGCGGCAAAAAGATATCGACACGATCGCGACGGAAGACGATCGAGCTTCCGACTTACGCGCGAGGATATACGTGACGAGCCAATCGCTGCTGCCTGCGAGACGCGATCGCGTCCTTGAAAATCGGCAAACGAGCGAATAGCGCGCGGGGTAGGTGCATCACACGGTATATATAGAAAGTCATCTATCGACGAGCCTCGCCTTTTACAGCGAGTTTATACATCGTACCAAGGCGCAACTTGAAATTTTGTGACGCGCGCGCCCGCCCGCGCTCGGAAGGGCTGATCGGTAAGAGGCCGCCTATAAATGCATTATCGTGGACGCGCGACAAGCCACGTGGCGCGATTGCGACTCGCGAGGAGGAGGGCCTTTTACCGCGCGCGTGCGTATTTCCTCCTCCGTTTCTGGAACTGCTTGGCTATTCCTCGATCGTCGCGTCCGGTATATATGCGCGCGCCTCGGCAGCATATACGCACGACGATATTATATCCTGTCTCGTGGGCATACTTTTTTGCGTCAATGGTACTTTTGAGGTAATAATATCGATCGAATCTACCGGGCTCGATCCACTGACGTTGGAAGAGCGAGAGGCGCGCGAGACCAAAATTTAATTATCTCTATCACAAACTATGCCATACGATCGAAATCTCGGCTTGCGTTTACCGAGACATGATATTATTTTACCGAAGAACTTGGACGTATCCCCAGATAAAGGAGCTTCGCAAAGTGCCGGTTCGCGTAAAATCTGCATACTTACACGCGCGCACACGTGCAGCGGGCAACTTCACTTTTCAAGCGAGTTCGCCATGTATTACGCTATTCACTACGTGTTTGCATAGACAAAAGTGCATTACGAGTAGAAAAATACCTTCTCTCGCGACGGGATAAACATTTCTACGCGCACGTGTGCGATAGGCCGGCTCTGCTGCTGCTTTAACGATGTATTTATTTATTACACGCTCGTTTATCATTGGTCAAAGGAATTTTAAGTGTCGACCGGGAAACTAAGTATGCGAAAAAAAATGTGACTTTATATACGATAATGCGTTGTTGAGAGCTATAAGCTCGTCCTTTATCTCTACACAAAAGTGTATTAGGCGATTATTTTCGGAGAGAATTGATCTACTCGAACTAATCTTCGACGGAGCTGAGTCAGGAATTATATACAAAAGGATTTGTCACGATGCATTTTATCATCAATTTTTCGACGACAACAATATCAATCGCTGCTTCTTGCTGCGATAGAGATACATGAAAGAGACGGAACACATCTTACAAAATTATCGTAATTTTTAAAGCTTTTTCAGCTTAGGAGTCATACGTGAAAACTCAGAGTCCATGAATTAAAATGTTTATGGTGACAAGCTTGAAATACAAAGAGGATAATTGTAAGAATCGTATGCAATTATAAACGATGAATTGTTTGGTAAAAATAATCATCTCGTCCTGTTTTTTTTTTTTTCGAAACCAACCGGATCATTCCCAACTGGTTTTGAGTCGTAAAAAAAATATTCTATTTTTAAAGTGCCGTATACATTGTATGAAAATTCGCAGCGGCGCACTTATTTACCGTTAAGCCGCGCTCGGTGCTGTGCACGCGCGGACGAGCTCGCGCCGCCCGTGAATTGTGTGCAGCCCGTGTACGTCCGAAAGGCGTCGTCGCGTGACTTTTGCGTTCGAACCTTTTTCTCTCTCTCTATCCGTTTCTTTCCTTGTTATTGCTCACCTCTTCGAGCATCGTTTAATGTCACATATAGCATGAGCATTGCTTTCTCTTTCTCACTCCTCTTCTTTCTTTCCTTCTTTCTTTCTCTCTACCTCCTGTTTGCGCCTCGCGCTCGAGTCAATGGGGAAATGAGAGGAGCGAAAAAAAAAAAAAAAACTGGAATGGACACGCGTGAAAGAGTACAGTAGTAGTCGGTACGTGCAATCAGCAAGTGTACGACGACGCCGAGACATTATATTATACCATCCGTGGCAGTCGTTGAGTTGCGTTCGAACGACGACGTACAAATATACGATGCTACTCGGCGCTACGTGCGCATTACGCGGCGTTACCGATTTCTGAAGTGAAAATATCGCGCAAGTCTCATATATAGTTGCGAGTGACGGATTATCACTTGGGAAGATAGTAACAACGTCGAAGACTCAAGATGATCTCGAGAGTCAGAATCATCGGCTGCATTGTTTTTGTCCTCGGTGTGAGTATGCAAATTTTTCTTAAATGCACTGCGCTTCTATAGATTTTTTTTTCACATCACGAACTTTCTTTGCGATCTAAATGTTACAATTTGTACTAATAAATGCTTTTATTGATATCGCGAACGTTATGACTACGATCGAGTGACTGCATATAGAGCAGGCGGAAATTTAGCGCGAGTGCAAGTGTCGTTCGTTAGTAATACGCGACGTTCCTTGCTCCATCCAGGCGTAAAAAAAGTACGGAATTAGAATGGAGTTTCACTTCCGAATTACGTATTCACGTTACTAATACGAATTCCCTACATCGATTCGACCGTTACAGCATACTCTCTCTTATTTTTCTAAAAATTTCCTAAAAATAATGTAACATTTTTTACAGTTGACGTGCGCTACGACGACGTCCGCCGTGGGCAGCAGTAGAGAATCCTCGACCGCCGTGCAAGCCAAGGAGACGAACTCGTTCGACTTCGTGCGACTGCTGATAATGAGGATGATCTACGGGATCGCCTCGATGATGGGCTACGGCGAGCAGGTCTCGGAATTCTTCGGTGGCATACTGGTGCCTCCGGGCGCCGAGGATCAGGAGGACGATTTCGACTTCCTGCCGGATTTCTTCTGAAGAGAAATATATAATGTAAACACACGCGTATAGTAGCCTAGATTTCTCCGACGAAAATTGACGATTGAATTAGTGCTCGCGCACGAAAGCTAAAAAGAGAGAGAGAAAAATTAGGATGCGAGTTCTATCCTCGATTTTTTTTACATTTCGGGCTTCGTAATAACGGCTGTTGCGATGCCCGGTGTACCGTTAATTTATAGAGAAGTGCTTTTTTTGTCGCGCAGGAATCAAAAAATTTTCGATTCATCCGAGTAGCGACACAGCGATGCTATGCTGCTTTTCAATCGTTTAGATAGTAAACCGTTATTATTATAAAAGTATGTATCCGCAATGATGCCTATGAGTATTGAATTAATATTATTGTATTTAAATACGTATAGTAGCCGATGGCTATTTTGAACATATTGTCGAAGTCGTCGTCACAAATTGTTACCGAAAATAATTGTAAATATTATTGTTTTTCATTCGTACATCCGCGTTGTATAAAATAACTCGTACTACATATTATAATACAAAGAAACGCAAACATGGATTTTACTTAATTTTTTCCCCCTGATTTCTATTCTACGTATCCATATAAGCGCGCTCGCTGCATTTGGCGATTCCGTTATTACCCATGTATCGTGCATAAAAGTACAATAAATACGCACGCAAAATTAGCCACATGGTCGGTATGTCGCATTTAATTCGCGCTCGTGTGTGTATACACAAATTAATAAAAGCTCGGCTCGTATATTAGCGCTAAATTGAAACACGAAGATGCGTATTGAATACACACAGTACACACAACTGCGGCGATCGGCCGATAACGGTATAACGAGCGGCGCGACGACAGCACGTTAGCCACCTGTATATATAATAATAATGCGCGTGTCCGCACCAACCGCGGCATGCATGCATGTGCGCGGTATAAGGTCAGCGAAAATACGCGCGCGCGACCTTTCAACGAATCGCAAACTCGTACGATACTTTAACAGGTGTACGCGCGTGACACCCATTTTCTAATCTTTTATGAGATATCATCGCGAATTATGACCGTTGCGAGCGCGTATACACAGAGGTGTGCGCGGATGGATAGGCACATTTAGATGGTGTTTATGCGGTTCGCTTTCTTCGAGTAGAGAGTTTTCTCGCGCGCGAGCTCGCGTCGAATGCTGGAATTCGTTACGATGGACAATCGTAAACGTTAGTCGCTCGTAGTAATAATCGCCGAAAATTCAATTGAGTTGGTTTTATTTTGACCAAAATAAATTTTTATCTGTCTCTCATTTGATGCGGAGATACAAGATATTTACATGATTATCGTTGCATAAAAAAATCAATAAACTAATCAGTCTCTCGTTCGTTTACAAACTTAAATGCTAATCGTATGTACAATGAAACGATATTACATCAATCGTCGCTCTGATAATCGTCGTCTTCCTCGCTAGACGACGAGGACGAGCCTGACTCATCGACGTCGGCGTCGATGTGCAGATTGCAACCGATCTTCTTTCTGATCAAATCGCCCCAGAGCAGGTCGGTGGCGCAAATCGGGCAGGAGCCCTCCACCGGCAGTATGTCGCCGCTCTCCTTGCAAAACAGTTTGGCCAAGCAGACGAGATGCGCGACCAGGGCGCAGTCCGGCTTGATGCAGTTCACGCGATGATCCGGCACCACGGGTTCCGAGCACAGCGAGCACTGCTCCATTTTTTCCTCCCTCTCTTCTTCCTGGATTCTCGGTTCCTCGTTTTTCTTGGCGCGTCGTTTACCCTCTTTGGCCTTGTCATTACTCGTCGTCGTCGTCGTCGTCTTCTTCTTCCTCGAGGTGACTTTGCCGTAGGTGATGGGCATGTGGAGCGGCGGCGTGAGGTGCGTCGAGTATTTTTGGCCGAATTCGTCGTCGAGCCAGCGCACCGTCAGCGGCAGCTTGTTCCAGGGTCCGCAGTTGAGCATCGCCGAGCAGACCTCCAGCAGGTAGTCGAACGTCTTCTGGCGCGCTCGCTTCTTGCCCACGTGCTTGAGCCGACGACTCAGTTGAGGATGCTGCCAGGCCCATTCGAACTTTATAACGAACGATAAAAAGTAGAAAAATATAAAAAAGCTCGTGTTCAAGTTATCGTTAGTTAATAGTTCGGATAAATTACCCGCAAGGCAGATGTAGAATTTGGAAATCCATGAATGATCAATACCATTTCCCTGCACACATACACGCACAATAATAAATAAAACTTAAAAAAAAGTCATTTTGACATTGTGATTGAATCAGCAAAAGGTTAGGTGTACATGTCTCTTACCATGGGCCACGATTGCTCGTTCGCCAGGCGCCGCCGAATTTCTGGCCGGCATTGTGCTGGTTGATGCGCCGTCTCGGGTCGACCGTGTAGCCGATGTACGTCCTGCCCTTGTACTTGGGATTCTTGCAGTAGAGCAGGTAGACGCCGAAAAAGTGCTCGACCACTTGTGGCTCGTTGGCCATTATCTGCGCTCGTGCACAGCTGCAGCTTTGCTCCGTTTTTTAAGCACTTCGATGTTTATAAACAATTCTCAACTGTCACGCTGCGCGACTGTTACGCATCATCGTGTGTATACCGGCGACTCCGAAATTTGCAATCTGACGGCATGTCCGAGCGCTATGTGGTCTGCTTGTTTATAAAGTGACAGCAGCGCCGCCAGCGGTATTTTTTATTTTGAAAATGAAGGTGCACCGCAGCAGCCGAGTCACCTTTCAACTTTGTCGCGCGCCGCTGCGGCGAGTGCAGCCGAACTCGCTAGGCGCAGGGGAGATCACATCTTGGGGTGCGCGTGCACTCGCTTCTACACTTCTATGATGATATTTGTGGTGCACACGAGTACGGCTGCACTCGAGACAGCACCGAGTAGTGCTGCTGCGCTGCGCAAGTCTCTCCCTCCTGAACCCATCGATAGGACAATAGCAGCGTGTTTATTTCTTACTCGTCTCGTGCGTGTGCACTTTATACGTAGAATGTATAGTTAGCTAAAAGATAGCCACCGCGAGCGAGCGTTAATAACTCGTGTTATACAAAGTTGTCGCGTTGCGAAATTATTACACCGCTAGGAATAATTTTAATTTAATAATTGTATTACGTTTTTTTCTTTTCTTTCTTTCCTTTGAATCGATCGTCCTAAGATTATAATTTATTCTTTCTCGCGCCTGTAATCGCGCACGAATTCTCATTATTACGGTAAATATATTTGACACAGTGATGCTATTATGTACACATAATTCACGATACAGAGTCTCTCGCTCTAGAAGCTTTACGCGAGCAGTAGATCGTCCGACTTTCGAGTGGATAGAAGTGCGAATATTGTTTTTGGAGCGTCGGCTAGAAAACGAACAAAAGTTATCCGTGAAAACAACGCCATAAATTTATTTACGATTAAATAACCAACTTGCACTCATAACTCGAGGAATTTCGTAACATCAGGCTGCTGCTGTCGTCGCTGTTGGTGCAGTGTCGAGACAACGTGCACGGAGTCAAGGTACGATTATATATGAGTCACGTATATCTATAACTTTATCGTACCTTAGTGGTAGTATACACATTGTGTCGAGTGCGCGTGTACCCAAATCTCGTTCTACTGCCCCATGTGAAGTGCATTGAAGCACGACGACCGATGATTCAAAAATTTTTATACGCGAATGAATTGTGGCCAATGAGCTATTTATCGGAGTTTTTTCGCATGTGAAATTGAGAACGAACAAGAAAAAATTACAAGATATTTTCTTTTCGCAGATGAAGAATAGTAATTGCTCGTAACTTTGATCACGAGGCATCGAATTATCATAATTAATCAACGGAATACGTAACGGAATAAGGCGCTGGTGGTGAGACACAACTTCTATGCTCTTATTTCTCGAAATGATTTTTTTTCCTCATACTTTCCTTTCTAATTCCAACCATCCTGATTCGATAAAGTTACAAGGACGATGTCTCAATGGAGTCAGAACAAGAACGGCCAGTCAGCTGCAGCCTGCAACGCGGCATCGTCGAAGGCAGCTTACGCGGTCGTCACGACTCAGCCCAAGAGCAATTCTTGCTTCGGCAGTCAGAGCTCCAACAGCTTCAGCGAGAGCAAATCGCTCCTCGCCACGAATAATCAATCGTCTTCCGGCAATAGCAAGCCGATACTGAGCAGCTCGAAGAATCGCGCGAGCCCGAGCAGCTCGAGGCATTTGTTTAAAATGGGCAGTTGTTGCAAGTCGACGGGTTGGTGCTCCGACGACAGTGACTATTTGTGATGAGGCTATCTACGCGCGAGGATGGGGTCGCACTTGCTGGAATGTACAATATCTTCTATAATGACACTTTTTTGTATTAGTTTTTAAATGAAGAAGTTGTGATTATCTGGCTTGTTTTGTAAAAAAAGCGATGTTGTGGTATTTTAGTAGTGAGATAATATACAAGATTTCTTATATTTTTTCAAATATTTTCGTGTTTATTGAAAATTAATCCTTTTTGTTTAAGTTAGATGTATATTTTTCACAAGTACTTTACAATGCATAATTATATGCTCATTAGAGAGGGAAAAAAATGACGAAAAAATCTAGGTAGCATTTTTTGTACACTTTAACTTGATAACTTTTTTTTATCTAACATGATTTTATTCAACTTTTGTAAAGCTATTAATTGTCAACATTTAATAGGACTCCCATATCTGACGACATCGTCTTAAACATTAAAACAACGTGAAAACAATCATTAAACAGTCAGACATTAATGAAAGACAATAATAAATTTTGTGGTAACGTAAAAGTTGATTTTTTTTCGCTTGAAGTGTACAAATAATATAATAATATATAATAATCAAATCATCGAGAAAATTCACAATAATACATCATACAAATATCAAATGATTTAAACTTAAAATTTTTTTTAAAAATAAAGTCATACACGTATATAAATAGATAATTTTTTTATGTATACATTAATAATAAACGATGCATTCCGTCGGGTCTCGTATTGTATCACGCGATATTGACAAAATAATACAATTTTTTGGAACGTAAGAAAATACGAGATCGAGGGTGCTATCGTTGAGTTACTATACTCTTTGCCATTGCCAACGAGTGCAGTGTTCGTAGATAACTCGATGGAGGATTGTTATTGTTGATTTTTTTTTACAAGACCGTAACATATATGGTTAAAAAATATTCATTCGTCTATTGCACGAAACAAAAGGATCGCTTCTATACATGCGTTCGAAAAATTTAAAAATAAAATAAATTGATCAAAGCAAATTAAGTTTTGCTCGTAAAGACACATTGATATTTGATATTCGATGATAATAATTTTTTTTCATAACATCAAATGTCTCAATTATCGCAATCCTTTTCTGTTTCTTCGTTATTATTTTTTCTTGCTTTTTAACGTCATATCCCAAAATTCAGCGATGTCGATAGAACTTCGAGATAATAACTGCAGTTAACATTGAGATGCATCAAGATTTAATAAGCATGATTGGCGACGAAGAGTGCCGTATCTCCGGCAGCTCCGCTGACACCTCCGGCGTATTTGCCGAGCGCTGCTTCACTGTTGGCCTGCAAAATCATCAAAATCTCGTTAATCACAGTATTCATTTGTTAAAAATATTTTTTTTATGTTAATCGATAAGCTTTTTAAAAAAATTACTGAGCAATAAAAATGTTCAGAAAAAATTGAGCTACAAGTTGGCATAGTACAGTCAATAAAAACTAGAGAAAATCGTTAAAATGTTGAAAGAAGAAAAAGAACACAACATGTATACTTACTGGATTGAAATATAGGGTCATGCAATTTTTTTGACAACATTGAGATTTGCAATGGTTGAGCGTGAATAAATTTGTGTGTGTGTGTGTTTTAAAGAGTGAATGTATTTAGTAAGCGTGAGCTTTGACATGGAGCGAGGTTTTGCCTGCTAAGCTGCTGACACTGCCGGGAACGTATTTGCCTTGACAGGCTGCGCCATTGGCCTAGAGATAAGGTAAAGAGTAATAACAAAAAAAAATAGGCATGCAACTGTAGGTATTACATTAGAGGTAATTTACAACTAAGAGGCTTTTAGCTATTGTACTGATACGAAAGATCGAGACGTTGGCTCATTTTCTCTCTCCATTGGATATGGAAGGATTTTTTTAAAAGTATAGCACACAGATGACTTATGCAAAAAAATAATAGGCAAGATTGTTACAGACTCAAATTGTCACGCAATAGCAGAAAAATATTTACATAATTGAAAAAAACTACTAGAAAAACTACATGACTTAAGAAACAAACACAAAGTAAACTCATTAGTTGTAAAGAAAAAAAAAGGAGAAGGAAAGAAGGAGGTTCGTACCTTTGCTCTCTTGATGAGTTCGTCCTGCGCAGCCTGGATCTGTTCCTTCTTGCCGCCCCAAGCCTGGAGCACGGACGCCTGGAGGGCGCGACCGTAGCTGAAGGTGAGTGCCCAGGGCTTCTTGCCGGGGTACTTGTTGATGGCGTCGAGGTTGACGGAGGCCTCCTCCTCGGACTGGCCGCCGCTGAGGAAGGTGATGCCGGGCACCGCCGGGGGCACGGTGCGCTGCAGAGCGATCACCGTCGCCGAGGCGATCTCCTGGGGCGTGGCCTTCTTCGGGCAGCTCTGGCCGGGCGTGACCATGTTGGGCTTGAGCAGGGTACCCTCGAGGTAGACGTGATGATCGTTCAGGGCCTTGTAGACGGCGGCGAGGACCTCCTCGGTGACCTGCTGGCAGCGGGCCAGATCGTGATCACCATCGGGAAGGATCTCGGGCTCGACGATCGGCACTATCCTGGCGCTCTGGCAGATCGAGGCGTAGCGGGCCAGAACGTTGGCGTTCTCGAGGATGGCCAGCTTGCTGGGGCAGTCCTTCTTGATCTTGAGGACGCAGCGCCACTTGGCGAAGTGGCAGCCGTCCTTCTTGTACTGGATGCAGCGAGCCTGGAGGTCGTCCAAGCCCTGGGTGGTGCACTCGTCGTCGGTGCCGAAGAGGGGCACGACACCCTTGTCGACCTTGATGCCGGGGATGATGTTGCGCTCCTTCATCAGCTGGGTGAAGGGGGTGCCGTCCTCGGCCTTTTGGTACAGGGTCTCGTGGAAGAGGATGACACCGCTGATGTGCTCCTTGATCACATCCTGTACAGCAACAAAGTTATTATGTTAGCTTCTTTTATCGAGAGAGAGAGAGAGAGAGGGACAAGAATTTTTATGTATATAGAGAAGCTGACCTTGGAGGTGGAGAAGAGCAGCTGCCTGTAGGCCTTGCGGTTCTCCTCGTTGTTCTCGACATTGATGCTCTGGAGGCGCTTGCCGATGGTGGCGGTCGACTCGTCGGCGGCGAGGATACCCTTGCCGGGTGCGACGATCGCAGCGGCGATCTCGGCCAGCTCCTTCTTCAGCTCTGGGTCGGCTTTCAAGTAGCTGTCAGCAGGCATCTTCTGCAAATTGGCCAATTGGCGCGGGGCGCTCGTGAAAATTCGTCGCTTCATACGCGTCGGTGAAACGATCATTTAATTCTATTATAGTAAAAAATAATAACTTGGCAACGACGAGCGGCCACGACTATGCGTCTCGTCGCGCGAGGATCGTGAATCGGACAAGAGTTAACCATCTCGTCTCGCCCGATCTTACGTAATTCCGCGTAAAAGTGCGCGATGGTGTATCAACGGAGGGGCCCGACTCGCGCGAGCCTACGTGACAAAGTCCGAGGTTATTAACCTTTGCAACGGATGTATCGCGCGAGCGCGCGTGGATGGAGCTGCTGATCAGCTGGTGCCGTGTATATTGGCTGCTGCGTGAAAGTTCGCCGATGCTATATATAGACATTTTCGAAAATGTTGTTGTTGTTGTTTTTTTTTATGTGCGTTTATGCGAAGTGCAGCTATGTATAGTTGGAGTTCATCTGATATTTGATGAACGCGAGTGCATACGATGATTGATTACGTTGGGTGTGCGGCGCGATTGTTTAATTATCGATGCGCGCGTGCAAGATGACTATAGCGTTATATAGTTAGGCTCGTTACGATTGACCTTGAACAATTGCGATTTTTCATGAATCATTCGCGTTCGTTTTGTTTTTTGTTGTTAAATTTTACGCTTCTTGTTTACACACGCTGCTCGAATGCAATGATTTGAAATTCATCAGCGTGTCGATTTTACTTTCAAGTGCTGTCTTACACTCGATTGGTATTAAAATGAGACTCTTTAAAATAACTTTCGACGCGCTGATAAGTTAAAGTCAATACGTTGCATTTGAAAGCTTTTAATCAACTATTCGAGCTTTTCTTTTCGTATTTATCTATTTTTTAAATTCGTATTAAAGCGCCATAATTTTGTAATTTTTTAAAAATGAATCTAACGATTTTTTCCCCATCGCTCAAGGTCGCATTGTAAACATATTTTCTCGTCCTCGAGTCAGGCAGGCTGCACGCGGCATATGCGGCACCACCGCGTTTCGGAGAAGGCCGAGAACGAGATCAATGAGACGCTTGCGCACTGCAGCACGTTGTGCTGCTGCTGTTCTGGTATAGGCCATATATATATGCAATATATATAAGTGCTAGGCGAGGGTTGTTAAGCGTGACGCAACAGTCTGTGCGACTTGCGTTTATATATAGATTAAATAACCATCTGCTGCGACTTTTCCCGATTATCGTGTGTACTTTCGATTACTTTACGGAAGAAAGAGAGGTATAAAAGTTGGAGTAGCAACGAAGAAGGAAAAAACCGAGAGAAAGAAAAGTAACGGTTACAGCAGCTGACACTAAAATAGGCATCTCTCTTTCGGTGAACTTGACACAATGCGCGTTGTCGATTGCGCGTGTGACATCTCGTGCGTCTGATTTTTGCCGCTGCAGCTGCGAGAGATGAGATGAGCACGGGGCCAATCTGGACACTGGCCAGAGAGTTTCGATTCCGATCGATCGATGCGAGAGAGAGAGAGAGACGTTTTTTTTCTTTTTTAACAATGAAGCTATGAAAGATGCGAATTCCATTAAGCTACGACGTCGCGCGAGCTTTTGCGAACGAGAGAAATCACGTGCAACGGACAGCTATATCCCCGCGCGTCGATCTGCGCGCGGCACACATGAAATATATGTATCAAAATAAAAACTTGACGAAATCACCGAACACGTCGACGAAAAGAAATGAACGCAATTGCAGACGATCCGAAGTACTGGCAGCCCGTCAAATATGTTTCAATTTTTTTTTGCTCACAGAAGCTATCGGTTCATTTCATAATTCTTGTGTAGATAGCGCACGTCTTCACAGACGTCGCTCACAAATTATGTAGCATTTATTAGCGCGCGGCAAGTCGATCTCGAGCTTGCACAACGATCGAGTCTTGTAATATTTTTGTTTAGGGGCGCGCATTTATTATTATATCTAGTGACTCCGAGGTCATATCGAATAAGTATTTATCGAAGTCGCCTCGTAATGTACATTTATAATAATAATTTACAACGATAATAGCGTATGAAGCGTGTAGATATTTTGAACTATCAGCAGAGCTCGACGGGCGGCAAAAAAGCTCGATCTCTGAATGTAACGTAGAGAATGTACTACGTGCCATGTGGCGGGTCGTCGAGGAAAGGTCGAAAACCCGCCAGTCGTTATTACATTGTTTTTTTTACATTAAAAATGATAAACATGTTTACAGCTTCGGGTGATAATAACGCTCGTAATACGAAAAAAAAGCAGTAACAACATCAACGACGTCCGAGGAAGAAGATGCTGCGCGTGCATGACGATGATTATATGTATCACAGACAGCAGCAATGATGCAACACTCGCAACGCGCGTAAATAGGCTTGTCCACGTATAAACATACACTCGGGGCTATCGTTACATTTTAAGAAATTGCCGAGATATAAAGACGAGCAAACAACGCGTAGTGGTATATTTTGACGTGCTTCGTAGCTGCTTTTGACTTTACTATATTATATTTTACAATATACGTCCGCGCGCACAGATAACGGGAGCAAATTAATGCGAGTTTCTCCGAGGAGGCTCGTTTTCTGCTGATAATCGAATTTATTATATCTCGTTTTACTTCTCGCGTCGATTCGATGTGAAACGTTTTCTTTTTGCCGAGTATTGCTCAAAAAATTGGGAATTCGTTAACTAAACGATATGTAAACTCTTCTCTTTTTTCAAAAGTCATCATTACAAGACCGATGGCTTTAAACATTCGTAACGAACAGGCGAGTTTCACTTTCACTAGAAAACATGTTTGCATCGATTTCGTGGCAACACACGTGCTTTTAGCTTATATATATCGACGAAGAAAAATTAGTAACGGGTTTTATCTAATGTACTTGGCGTCTAGCGCTTTAAATTTACACGATCGCGAAGCGGATTACGTCATGCTGAAAGCGCAAAAAAGTTGCGAGCGCGTGGAGATTTTCGATATTTTCACTCGCGGTTTCTCGTGTATACAAAAAAAAGTAATTAGCTTCGGATGATAACAGATTCGGGAGATCTTATCGTACGATTTTTTTCCTTCTTTTTTTGATTAGCTACCGAGTTGTATTTACCGAATTCACGTGCTTAACGACACTCGCGATAATAGATTGTAGAATCAAAAAAAAAAATCATTCATATTTCGTTTTTATCTCATAATACAAATATAGACAATGCATTAGCGCGAGTAGAACAGTATATTTTGCGACGATCATAATCTAATTAAGCCCGAAATTCTCACGCGTCGTTATTATTGTGTTATAGTGTGTCTCACTCAGTCTCTAGTTATATCGCCTTACGTAACGTCACAAATGTGTATACGTTTGCGCGTATTTCAACAAGCAGACGAAAATTTTCACGCTGCCTCGCGCGAGGGACGGAATTGCTACTTTGTATGATACGAGTCCCGCATACGATATATACTCGCGCGAGCGTGAGCGAACGCACGTATAGACTCATACATTCAAGCATTGTAACGAGGAGTCGAGACGATCATTTAAATGCCCTTTAATCGCAACGTTCGCCGGGTTATTGTTGCATGTAGACAAATGCAGCGCACTTCTACGATCGTGTCCCGCGAATGTCAGTCAAGGTCACGCAACTGACACGCGTCACGGTCGCGAAATCATCCTCTCGTGCACTGGTGTCTACACGCGTGCGAATCGCGCAGACCTTTGTACGAAAGCTCGAGATCGGAGCTTTTCCGCGAGGTACTGCGATATTTTTCCATCGCGAGCCGTGTATATAGATCGAACGAAATCTCCGTGTCGTCCGCGTTGGCTCTACGTAATATATTATTATTGAAACACTGACAGCTCGCGCGATCGAGGACAACTCGTCGAGGCGAATATTATAGTAAAAAAAGTGTAATATTGAAAATGTACTTGAGGCTGCTTACGTTGGTTGAAGTTATTATCGAGCGACGGCGAAGAAATAACAAGTAGCGTGTCGTTACAGCTGTAGAGCAGGCGAGCGACTGAATGCTCTCTTCTCTCGCTTTCGGAGCTCGCTCGCCAATCTATACTCTGTACGCTATATATGCGTATTCGCGGGAGGTGGTCGTTTACGTGGTGTGTGTGGTAGGTACGTGTTTATACGTGTGCGTGGCGCACCCTGACTGACACTCGGTTCTCGTGACCGAGCATCGAACGCGACTTTGTCAAGTCATTTTCAGTGAAATTAACGATCTAGGAGACGATTTCGAAGCTTTCCGAGCTTCATTTTCGTTCGCGGAGCGTCGTGGTTTTTTTGGAAGGGAAAATTTCCAATCGTCGATCGATTAGCTGTGCTATGGAGCTGACCGGTCGCTCGACTTGCGGACGATCACGTGAGAGCTGCGACGACAACGACGACGACGAAAATTCGCTCAACGCGCATTGGTTCGGCTCGAAATCATCGCGGACGAATCGCGAGCCGCGTCGAATAGAGACCCTATATCGACGGTATTTAATGCAGGCATTGTATACCTATAGGGGACTGTCCTAGGGTCGCATAAATGCACAATGCACAACACAGCGCAGCGTATACGAATGTGCATATGTGGCGCGTCCGAACGAGCGCGATACTGATGATCGCCAAGGTCAGCCAAGGTCACCTTCGCATCGTTTATCGTGCATCGTTTTATTTGGTTGATACCTCGTTTGATTATTTTCATTTTCAACATGATTGACCGGTCCGACAAATTTGGGAACAGATCGTTCGCATTTGCGATACTTGCACGTAATAATATTTTTTTCGAGAGACAGAGAGAATCAACCGGATTTATTGCTTTTGCATTGGCGAGCAATTGGCTCTAGGTCAATGTCGCCTAGTCCACGGATGCATTCGTAGCTTCGATCTGTATAAATATATAGCACCAACCGCTTATTGATCTCGATGTCATTGTGTTACTTCATATTTTTAGCTTCAACGAGAACGCGACGATAAAAAATGCATCAAGCCTCGCATTTGCATGAGTTTTTTTTTTAAATGACGACTAGAATAGCTTTTAAACCCATTAACTCCGTTTTATACGAATGCAAAATGTATTTGTGGATCTTTAGAGTTGTCAAAATCCGTCAATTAGTCTCGGAGATATCGCGACGAGCGAGGATTTAAATTTTGGCATTTAAACAACACTTTGAATGTATACAAACAAAAAGTCTACCACAATAGCAGACACAAAAATATTTTTTATATCATACATTTGAGAGTAAATAATATCTGGGAAAGTTACTGGTATGGACTGTTGGTAAAGCAGTTCGAAAGCCTCTCTTGGCGAGCTTGTATTCAGCTCCGCGTTATTTGCAAAGTAGTATACCATTGCACCGCCGGTTTGACTCCGTATTTCTTTAATGTGTATGTGTATTACTGACATCCATTGTGTGTGCTGTGTGAATATAATATACGTGTTTTTTGGGATTTCGTTTGCACTCGGTGGACGAAAGTCGCGCTGATTCGGCATCCCGAGACTACTGCTCGAGCGAAGTTGACTTCGCAGTTCGATAAACATCGCGGCGACTTTTCCGGTCTGCGCTCCGTTTACTACTCAACCCGTTGGAATGGACTCACGTCGAGGATTATTCGATCACCACTGAGAGACCGCCGCTTCGATCCACTTCCATCACAGCCACGGGGGTTATGTCGAGTAAGTGCTGCCCATGAGTTCTCGTCGGGTTTTTATTATTGAAAACGAAGCGGACATTGTTGTCAATGTAATGCGAAGCATTGAGCTTTGATCCCGGTGTTGATGTATCAAATCGTGTGAGTGAATTACAATTTTGATTCGAGTATCACCGAGAAAATATTATATTTAACTCTGAAATGCTCCTAAATTTTTTGGAGCCTTGAATCGACACTCTATGAACGCGTGCAAGTAGCCATTTCTTACTTTATAAGTTTTGAAATTGAAAAATGATGTAAATGCTTAACTGATGCATGAAGAAAGTACTTACTTTTGCTGAAAATTATGCAATTTGAAATATAGTCTAATAAATAAATTTGATAAATCAGAATGCATCTATGTATTTCAATAAAAATCTAAATCTAACTAGGCTTGCCTCATATAAATCATATAGAGATTTTATAATGACACTTTTTCTAATTTTTGAATGTAATATAAATTAAAATGTTGAGAATTACTTAATATTTTGCCAATTGGATTTTAGTGAACCAGAAATACTACATTTGTTTTGCTTATTCACTATTAGTTAATGAAAATTGAACTACTCCATGAGTTTATTCAAAGTTACTCCAAAAGTTGCTCTACTCTGTCAATCAAATTCTGAAATAGATTCCTTTACACATATGATTGATCCATTAAAATTGTGGACTGAAGCTTTAAAAAACATTTTTTTGTCATTACAGGCTGTTAAATAACTTGAAAATAGTATTGTATCTGCATCAACATGAGTTCTAAAGTTGGACATGTGTCCAGGGCTGATAGCTCTACAGAGAGTAAAGCTCATAAAAGGAAACAAACATCTCAGGAGACCAATTCGCAATCTAGCCGTAGTAAAGAATCAGACACTTCTTTTAAAAGAAGAGTTATAGACAAAAGTAAGCAAATTCGAAAACGTAGCAACTCGTCTAGCAGCTCCAACCGCAGCAGAAGTCCTATGGCAAGAAGATCACCTCATAGAGGCAGAAATTATCAGAATGGTAATAATTTTCGTATGAATAGGGGAAATGATAGACAACAATTTCAACCGAGAAATCAAGGTAGATTTCAACCACAACAACAAAACAGGCCTTTTGATAACCAAAGGTTCAACAACAGGTTTGATAACAGAAATAATCGCAATGCTCCCCAGCGCAGGGACAGTAATCAATTCAATCGTTCTTTCGGTGACAGAAATAGAACAGGAAGAACTTGGAATCAATCTAATGACAATAGGAATAGAATGCCTATGCAGCGTATGCAAGGAACTAATTGGAATCGCAGAAGCGATCAAGGTGATATCAATAGACGACCACAAGAGAGATTCCAAAATCCTCGCCCTGTTGGTGAGAGGTACTGGAAACAGAGTTCTCCAATGGACAGGCCGCGCAGTCGTAGTCATAGTCGTAGCCGCAGTCGTAGCCGAAGTAGGAGCCGGAGTTTCAGCCCAAGCCCTAGCCACAGTTATAGTCGTAGCCCCAGCCCTGTACCATCGCCCAAAAAAATGATACCTTTAGATAAAAAGAAGGAAATAAAAATTACAAAAGAAGTCAAAACTCTTGCAGTTGAAAAAATGAAACCACAAAAAGCTGTAGTACCACAGAAAGTTATACTCGCTCCAGTCAAGCATTTACCTCCAGAGCCAAAACCCGTAATGCAAGACAGGATTCATATACCTCATATAGATCTAGAGAAACCTGCAAGTGAGAAAAAGAAAAAGAAGAAGAAGGTGCAGTCATCGTCGTCATCTTCATCCTCTTCTTCAGACTCATCATCTAGCTCAGATAGTGATTCAAGTGACTCTGATGATTCTAGCGATGATTCAAGTAGTGATAGCAGTAGTAGTAGCAGTTCAGAAGATGAAAAAAAACGGAAAAGAAAGAAAAAGTTAGCCAAAAAATTAAAAAAGAAGGAAAAGAAGAAGAGGAAGAAGAAGAAGAAGAAGCTAAAGAAGAAGCTTAGTAAAAAATCAAAAGCTAATCTTTTAGAAGATAAAAAATTGAGCAATGTAAAATTATCCAAAGAGCAAGACAGATTGCTCAGCGACATTACCTTAGAGCAAAGTTTGCGAGCTAAGGCTATGGCTCCTATTTCAAAGAAAGAATGGGAAAAACGACAAAACATTATTCGACGCATTTATGATGAAGAATCTGGAAGACATAGGTATGAAAAATTTTTATTTTAATGATTCAAAATTATATGAAAAAGTACTTTTATTAAAATGTAAAATAATTCTCATCACAGATTGATCAAAGGGGATGGTGAAGTAATTGAAGAAATTGTAACCAGAGACAGACACAAGCAAATAAATAATCAAGCAACAAGAGCTGATGGAGAATATTTTCAATCACAATTGAGGAAGAAGTAAATTAATTCGAATTTATGGTAATTGAAATCATATGTTCTTATAGTTTATTGTCATAAATTCATACAATAGATTTTTAAATTTATTGAATTAGGTTTAAATTATATTGCTATTCAGGTAAGGTTTTAGTAAATCATACCTCAATACATAGTGAAGATGTTTTAATTGACTTTAAATCAATTTTCTAACCGAAAGAAAGCTTAATATGTAGATTTTAATTTTAACCAACTACTTTTGTAAAAAGTTTACAAAATGCGAATGTAACTTTATTTATAATAAAATAAACTTGATTTCAACAAAATAATTTTTGAAAAAAAAAAATTATTGATTCTACAAATTCTGTCAAGTAACTATGTACAAATATACAGGACTGCTTCATAAAAAGTTTAAAAAATCGGATACAGCTTAGTTATATGACTTACAGACCTCTTGTCAAGTAAGTACCTTACATTGAATGAAATAATGATTTACTGATGACTTTTAACAACAACCAGTAACGCCGAGATCATTTATCAAATCAAAAGCGGCTGCACCACTCACTCATCTCTGTACAGTTCACGAAAGCTAAGACTTTATACATTTATAAAAATTTATTCGATAAATCTAAATGCTTTATAGCTTCATAAATAAATTCTCCCTCATAAAAGCATTAAATTGAATCACGAATAAAAAATTATATCTTTTTACAAAATATGAAACTATTATTTGCTAGTATTATTCTAATTTAGTTATTAGCACTCATAGTAACAGGTTTAATGGAAGAAATTTAAAGCTACGAATCTTAAAAAAAACTTAGTTACAAAGCACATTAATTTGTGAACACTTAAGTTTAGTTAACTAAGCAATTATGTTAATAACTGTTAGAAATACCTTGATTGATTTTCAATGAAAATTATTTTCAGTTACATTTAAAGCTTCCTTCACACCAATTTATCATTTCTTTAGGTCAGACCACCTGGTGTTTATATTTTGGTAAAAAATTATCAATATATCTTCGTTTAATTATTCATATCTTATACCGAAAATGCTTTTCATTTAATATATAAATCTTCAGTATAATTGAACAAAATGCGTTGTATGACCATCTCGATAAATTGGATCATCCGTTATAGATGCTCTGCACAGCGGGCATGATTTTTCTCTATCCAACCAAGTAGTAACGCATCCTTCACAGAAAATGTGCTTGCAACTTAGTCTAACAGGTAATGTGTACTCTTCATGGCAGATTGCACAACTTCCTCCAGAAGCCACTATTTGCTCTTTCGATGGACATGTTCCCAAACTCTGAAAATAAATTGTCAAATTTGAATTTTAATTCATTATTACTGCTAAGATAATTGAAAATGATACTAACCACATTTTGTAACATTTTTCCCACTGCTATGCAGAAATGTTTGAAATAGTACATAGTGTCCCTTGTTTTGTAAATGCCATACATAACAAACAAAACAATTGCTAACACTTTGTGAGGACCATCATAAACAAAACTTAAATACTGTAACCATAAATATACAGGTGAACCATTACGATATAATTGAGATGTAGCTTCCATCACCAAGTAAAACCTTCCCTGAAAATTAATACAATCATGGTGAGTAAAATTGTATTCACTCTGTACTTGAAAGTATATTTGAATAAATGTTGTACTTGTTTACTTACTCTCTTCTGGAAAGGCACAATTTTTTCTGGTAGACAGGTAAACAGAACTTTAATTGCCACTGTAATCAGTTTTAATACAAAATCTGATATAGCCACAGTCCATAATAGCTGTGCGATGGTTTCTGGTGATTTATATAAATAAAATATTGGTTCTTTGAACACAAAATCAATGAAAATAAAGCATCCAGTAATATAACATAGAATTCCAACTAGTGATAACAGACTTCGATTCTTTTGTTTCAAAATTTCTCTTTTCAAATCATTATTTGCTTGTATAAAAGTAACAACTAGTAATACAAAGTTCAAAAGTTCTGCGCCATTATCATATATAACTAGAAGAAGAAAAATGATCAATCAATGTAATGGTAAGAATAGTAGAAACTATTATTAAATTCAAACTTACATTTGGTTAGAATAATGAGTAAAAATGAGATGCAACTTTCAATATTCTTTTGAAGTATTCTAGTTTCGGCTGTCAAGGTTACCGGTGCATTTGGATCATTGGATTCATTATTGTTATTGTTATTTATATTATTTTGATTATTTTCATCATTTTCTCTAGGAGTGTTAGGGTCAAAATTATCTGAAAATGTTTGAGAAGGACTATTTGAATTTTGTGAAGATTCATGTTCATCCACTGGAGGATCAATGTTTATGACCACATGATTAGTTTGCTCATTATTATTTGGTGGTGGGGCTTGTATTGGAGCTAGCCTCTGATGAGTTGGATTAAGCCATTCCTGCAACGATAATGCTGGTCTAGATCTGGATAAGTTGATAAGTGGACTTATTTCTCCACCTATCGTTGATAGGTTGTTTGCAATGATTCGCCTAGAATCTTGCATTGGATTGAAATTGAATCCTAAGGTCAAGCTTAAACGTGGAGCTGGATTGGGTTCAGGTGTTTGCTCGTTTGCAGTTTGATTTACTGGTTCTGTTGGTGCATTTTGTTGATTACCACTTTCAACCACTGCGGTTCCATTATTCACAGATATAGGTATTGTCACTTGTTCTCTTCCACCATCAACATTGGCCATACTAAGTTTCTAGAATCATAATAAAAAGTAGTTTTTGATTAAATACAATTTAATTTTATCGAAACATCTTCAACAATTAATTATTTATGATAAGGCGTCTAATTAAGCAGCTCATGACACATTCTTACGCGATTACCTTCAGAATTAAAATTCTGTTTTATTATTTCGTCACATTAGCTCACATAAAAGATATTTGTTAACTGGCCCATTTGAAAGAAGGTATCAATGCGGCAGTTGTTCGTTATTAATCGAATGAATGAGTCATACGACACTCGAACAATTATTGACGCAACGATAAGCAATTATCGCATCTGCACGTATAAAAAATGCTCTTTCTGAAGACATTAGCACAACGAATTAATGAAAAAGTGAGAGACCGAGAGATAAATGGACGAAACACAGAGGGAGAAAGATACAGACTAGTAAAATGTACAAATGTCATTATAATGTGTGTACTTACGTTTTGGGCAAGCTGTCACAGCTCGCACGTGTGCTATTAAGCCGAGCAGTTTCGAAACGTATAATTATTATTGAAAAATGAAATGAGAATAAATAATAGCTTTGCAAATTCGTTGCTGATTCGATGGTCGTGTGCCGTGTGCTCGGTACTTGTCGTCGTCGCGTGTCCTCACTCCTCCGTCGTTACACGTATATTCAGTTTAATATGATCGTGAATGAGACACAGTACCTCTCCAAGTGTCGATGTATGTGTGTACATATATGATATACATAAAAAATGTATATACTGCTGCTGCATAAAATAACACGTCAATGCGCGTCAGTGTGTACGTGCGTGTAGTACATACATATATCTATATGTCATAATAATATACATATAATATTCACATATAAAATATAACGTTGTTAAAAGATATGCGTGTTGGTAATAAAGTGCTCGGTAGTAGTAAGCCAATGTGATTGCTGCGTCACGATCACGATATTTTTCCTTCGAGAGGCAAAGAACATCCAGATTACGAACTGTTTACACGAGCACTGTATATTTAGTAGCCACAAAGATACACTCGTACATAAATAATCTATACATTTTATGTACAATTTTCCAATACACGGTCACAGTGTCGACGACGACGAGATTATCTGTACGTGTACAAGCGCTATATATCTATATGTGCCATTTACTTATGAAATGCATCACAGTCGTGTGTTGTTTCGTTTTCGAAATGCTGCCGCTCTCGATAATGCTGTTATATCGTAGGATGCCTGCGAAATAATATCACTGCGTCCTTTACAAAACGACGAGTAGTAGCAGCTGCCTTCGTGGAAATCGATTTTCATAATTTTTGGTAACTATATACGGCTACGAACACGCGCGCACTTTGCAGAATCGATGGACGTTTGTGCTGTGTTTGCAGCCAAGCACGAATCACGATGCCTCCGTTCCGTCTCTGTGTACAATATACTCCGCGATGTTTTTTCGGGGCTCTCGATTCCACGCAGTTATATACGGACTCACTAATAATATAAAAGGCAATGGCATTGGAACAGAAAAAACCACTCAGAACGAGTCCATGGTGTTTACGAGTACGACTCGTGATTGTGTGTTGTATGACGTACTGTATCTGTACATGTGTGTATGTTTGGCTACATCGTATGTGTCAGTATGTAGGTGCACGTTCGTGTCTGTACATGTATGCGCGGTGCTCGACTGGAAACTGGAAGGAGAGAGAGAGAGAGAGAGAGAGAAAGACATCGTCGTCGTCGTTGCAGTGCAAATCAGGCGATGCAAAAGTCGCGTCACCAGCTTCGACGCTTTTTTTAACCCATAGCAGCAGCAATAATAATAATAATAATAATAATAATAATAAGAATAAACGTTCGCGTACTTGCTGGTGCTGCTATTGTATTTTTATACGTTATCTTGTGAGTCATACCCCCGCGCGGCTGGATGTCGGACTTGTGCTGCCATCTTGACCGTCGATCGCGAGGCGCTTTCGTTCAAAAGACAAAAAGAATAACCAAAGTCATCTCATATCGTTGCAATGTAAAAAACGAGGAAAAATTACGACTGATCTGCGAGAAAACCATATTGGCTCTCGAGAAATGGTCGATAAATGCGTCGACCGAAGTGGAAAAAAGTCACGAAATTTCAAACTAATATTCAAATTTTTTATCGCTGCTTTACCGCGTTGCAGTGGTCGTGTCGTTATCACAATGCGAAAAAAAAGTCGAGTCAATGAATTTTCATATATTCAAATGAGCTAGCCACAAAATATGTATTAAGTGTATACCACGCGTTATAAGTGCGTATATGTATGCCAGCATACATATGTCATGCGTATACGTATATGTATTTCAACAGCTTCCGTTCGGCATTATACGAGAGAGCCGGAAACGATCAAGTGCACCGTAACTTTGAATAATAAATACATCCCAGCTTCTGCGAAATTACGCGACCTATATTTTTCGTTTTATGTAATGTCACGTCGACGGCGGTATAATTGCAGCCCGATATTTATAATATAAATTATATATACGAACGCGACTCTTGCCTCTTTGCAAAGTATATATTTTAAAAATGCTATATTATACGAAGCGCGGCCTCGCACTTGTGTATAGCGCGCGCGATTGATCCGGACCGCGCGGCGCGTGGTATGGTCCTCCCGCGCGCGCGACGCGACTCGCGGTAGAGTCGGCAATGCAGATGTGCCCACGTTCTTCGGATGATGCGTGGGTTGCACTCAAATATAATCTTCGTGTCAATTATGTTTCCTTCAGAATCCTTTCGTGTACAAAAGTGAGAAGAGAAAAAAACATCGAGACAGGAAATGAAACGTATATCGCTTTTTTTTCTCTTTCTCCCGGATAAATCATAGGTGTTACTTCGTGACGTATACAAGTGTGAAAAATTCTAGCGAGCTGTAAGATATATCTATCGATGCCGCGCTTCGATCGACACAAAATTGATCGAATGAAATTCGTCGCGTCGATATGCACATAATAATAGCGAGCTCGTACGTCTAGATATATCGGATTTCCAGTTCCTATTATTATCTATAAGCGCTGACTCTGGCCCGATCTGTCTCGTTCGGAGCTCATTAGACAATCTGTAGAGATAGGGTAGACAGGCGAGGCAAGAATAACCATAATAACATTCATGATATACTAGCGCAGACAACTTGACAACATTATCATCATAATGCGAGAAGAGCTAGCTAGGCTCTAGGCAGCGCCGAGGCGCGCATGCGTTCGTGATCAATGAAAATATTGTGATATTTGTGAATTAACGTGCATGAACGGAGGCGCGCGGTACAATGTACGCGATATATATAGCACCTCCACCGATTCATACAGCTCTCGGGCTCGTGTGTCATCGCGCGTGTATATGAGTGTACGTAGGTACACACGCGCACACACACACACACATGTTTGTTACTTAGCTCTCTGTCATAAAGCGCACATACACAGACGCGATATTGTGTACTTATAGACGCGGTATGAATCGGGCACTGAGTTCTCTCTCTCTCTCTCTCTCTCTTGGTGTGAGTGTACGAGTAAGAGAAAGAGAGAGAAGTGAAAGAGAGGCAGGGCTGGGACGCTTCCTTCAATAGCTTCCTGCCTCCACGCGCAAATACCTCGCTTTCTCTCTCTCTCTCTTACTCTCTTACAAGCCGCAGCTATATCTATGTATGTATTGCGTAGTAGTCTTTGAATGAGTGTGCGCGCGAGTAAAATGGTACACACTTACACACACAAATACCACACAAAAAGAGAGAGAGAAGCAGTGGAGGCAGCAGCAAGAAGCAAGCGGATATGCTTATACAAAAAGCGCGAGAAAGAGAGAGCTGGATGTATATGTCACACACTCTCACACACATACACACACACATAGGAGCAAAAGCAGGAGGAGGAGGAGAAAAAGAATAAGAGGATGAAGAAGAAGAAGAGGCAGCAGCAGCAGCATCGATACACGATCCACGTTATGGAGTATAATACAGCGAGACGAGAGTCGAGCTGAGTGCGGCGCACGGGCCGGACGAGAGATTCGGAGCGCTCGTTCGCTCACGCACACGCACATTATTATTATAAAACACACATAACTTTATAATACCAACGCCAGTCACTTACGTCTCGATATTTATATAGAGAAATAGGCGTACTTGCGAATGTGTATTTACCCACATATATAATGTAAAACATATACTGTACGCTCCGAATTTCCTGTCTTTAGCATACGCGAATGTCTAACGTATATATTTTACACATCTCTATGAGTGTATGCGTGTATAACACACACTGTAGAGTCCGCGCGAATCAGTGAGTAGTGTGATCCAGTGATCAGTCAAACGTAAACGTGTATAGTATATTTTATATGCTGTGCTGTGCTGTGAGTGTATTACCAACGGCCAATCGATAAACAAAAAAAGTGATTTCCGATCAGTCATCGCGAGAAACGCATCGAATACATATATAGCGGAAAAGGAGAGATCGCTCGACATAATAATACGCGTACGCACACGCGCCCGCGCGACGCGAGGGGCATTGTTACAAGCGGAGCGTGCAAAAATTTCAAGTGTTTCATTCATGCTGGCTGCTGCTGCTGCTGCTGCTGCTGCCAGACCAGTGCTGCTAGTGTTACATATTCGCACTAGTGTGTGGTGCAGTGCAGTCACACGGACACACCACTAGTATCTGTATTCTTATTATACATGTAGGTACGCGGGCGAGTTCTGCGTTGTGTTAGATGTGTGCGTGTGCGCGACGACATGCATCGTAATATATGTATTATATGCACTGTGCAGGCAGCGGAGCCAGTAGTAGTAGATACAGACGAGGCTGCTGCTGCTACTGCTGCTAACTTATACTCGCGTATACATTATAGCCCGTAGGTAGGTGTGCTACGATCCGATGACAATATATATACGTATGTATTAATGTATTATGAGAAGAGATATACAACACATCCACGTCGTGAGCGAGACGAAAATCGCGCCGTACAGCAGCAGCACAGCAGTAGTAGTATAAAGTTGCGTTAAGAGGCAAAAGAAGGCGGAGGAGGAGGAAGCGTGCTCGTGTGTGTTTCTGTTTCTCTGCGTGTGTATGTGAGTGTGTGCACTCTGTGCACGCAGTTCACGATATATAACATACATAGATATATAATATAATACATAGCAGCTCTCAGCCTCGGAGCACGACGAGGCGGCGCACACCACCAACTGCATCCACAAGCGCGCACACTGCAGTGCAGCACGACGACTTTCTGTGCGCGCGAGGGAAGAAAAAAGAAAGAAAGAGAGAGAGAGCGAGCGAAAGAAAAATAATTATACAACTTCGAAATATGTGCAACGAACTCGGCAAGAGGAAGAAGAAAAATCGCGACTGCCTCGAGAGCGCAGACCAGCAGCAGCGACAGCAACAGCGTGTGGCAGTTGTGAGGTCGCCTATATAGAGATACTCTCGCTCGAGTATATAGGCATATACCTACAACCATAAAGTGCAGTGCGTGGATCGCCAAGTGCATCATCATCATCGTCGTCGTCGTCGTCGCGGCAGTAGCAGCAGTGCACGCACGGAATATAGTGTGCAGTGCAGTCTTCGTCGTCGTGCTGCTGGCAGCCAGTGGCGGACCCGAGAAATTGGTGAAAATTCTGTGCAGTGCGCGATATCGCTTGTATTTTATATTTTATAAAAATACAAATGCATCGCTCTGCAGAACCAGCAGCAGCAACAGTGCATTACATATAGTATACTGTGTGTAAAATCGACGGAAGAGAGAGAGAGAGAGAGAGAGAGAGTATAAGAAAGGGAGAGAAAGAGCATTATTGAAAAAAAAAAATGTAATTCTCAACGATCTCTCTCGCTCGTTGTCTTGCTCTTTCTCTCAACTCGGTATATATTATATACGCACGCAGGCACTTGTGTGTGGTATGTGACTGCTGTATATATACTTATATATACATAATATAGTGGTGTCAGTGTGGTGTGTTGTGTGCAAGCTAAGGGGACGACGATTATTTTATATTATATATATAGAGAGAGAGAGTGCGAGAGAGTGAGAAACAGCATTGGCCGATTGATAAAAGTCGGATCTCTCTTTCTCTCTCTGTCTCTCTTCGTGCGAGTATGCGTGCTGTGTGTATATATGCAGTTGAACTCGAGATACCGTAACATACGAGTTGTAGCTGAAGTAGCAGAGCGACGTCGACGGCGACGAGTAGTGGCCGCCGTCGAGGACAATCGTCAGTGAAGAAGAAGAAAAAGAAGAAGCAACAAAAAAAGTCAACCCGATACAGCAACCGCCGTGGCCAAGTACTGCGTGCGGATGTATGTGTCAATGCTGCGAAAATGGTGAGGTGCAGTGCGCGGAAGTTGACATCAGCGTCGTCGTCGTCGTCGTCGACGGCTCGCCCTCGTGCCCGAGGCTTGAGCAACAGCAAACGCAACAGCAAGAAAAACCTCTACTCGATCTGCGAACGCTTCAGCAGCGATTACTGCCAATTTCTTCAAGTACATTGTCGTACTACGAGCCATGACCGACACTTCGGACGAGTCAGTATTCTCGAATTATTATGTACTTGTATCTTCTTCCTTTTTTCCGTCCTTTTCTCTTCTTTTTTTCTCTCTCTTTGTTACCCGTCATTTCGAATTTCTGCTCATCAAGAGAATTTGCGATCGCGATTATAATCGCACGTGGGCTCCCCTTTTGTCATTCGTCCCCCTAGAGTCGTAAGAATTTTTCTCAATGGAATTAGTTTCATTCTTGCGAGCTGACGTTATGTCAGTGGGGTGGTACTCTCACGCGCGCCAGAGCGAAAATACACTTTTTCTGCTCAAATTCTCGGAACATGATTCTCTTTTCATTACGATCGATTTTATTAATTAATACATTTGCCAAAATTTTAAATTATCATTTAATTATTTTTTCTTCAAATTTTCATTGATACATCAGTTGAACTTTAATGGGTACTGCCAAAAATTCTGTATCACACAATTAAGAACCCATTAAAAGTAAATTTCAATGAAAATCTACAATTAAATTGATTAATAATTTTTAAATATTCAATGTATACACTTCAATCTGATCATTGACATCCAAACCATTGAGCTTGGCATATACACCCATGAATGGATTGTCCTATTCATTGATCAGAGCTGTGTCCTAGTTTCCAGAAACTGGTGCTGCTACCACTGCTACTACCTAAAAGCTAGTACTAACCACCCAGCCTTATCACAGAGTACAAAAAATGAATGAAGAATCACTTCTTTACACACTTACACACTCACAAAATTCAAAAATATTAAATGAAAACCTATGCTGAAATTATTCTCTTCTTACTTCCCTACTATTAACTTGATCTTTGAACTTTTCTGGGTAAACTGATGTTTACTATTAATCAAGACTGCTGAATGAATGCCCTGTTCATTTACAGAAGCATGCCCCAATTATCTTCAAGTTTTTTTCACAATGATAAACTCACATAGTACAAGATGTATTTCTTGGTTTGTTTTTTTATGAAAAATAGTAGTTTTTAACAATTTATTTAATTGTGAACAATTGAAAGGTCATTTAATATGTTGAAAAAATTTTGGTGACAAAATTTTTCTTATATATTATCTTATCCTGAATGAAAATTATTTCAAATGCAGAAATAAATTGAGCGTCTTCTCCCTGTATCTACGTACTAAGAAAAAAATCAAAAATTAAAGCTTTAAGATAAATGCAAATGCCTTATCAGGTTTCATGAACTCTTATCAACAAATAAATACTCTTGATAAAATCTAATGAATGAAGTGTTGTGTTCATTAAGAAAGAAAAAATTATTGAAATTATATAATTTCTTCATCACAATCACTAGTTTGAATTTTCTCTATTGATTTAATAAAATCTCACTTTTATCAAATATATTTGAAGATGAATCATTTTTTAAAATTATTTTTTTTTACAGTGGTGACTATTTGGTAAGGGTCAGGGCACAGGTGATGACACGCGATGACAGCACAGGAGGTTGGTTACCTCTAAGCGGGGGAGGCTTAGCCATTGTTTCTGTAAGACGGAGACCAGTAGCAATAAATGTATTAAATGGTAGCGAAAATAATACAAGTGAAAAAATTCAAAATACAAACAATGGCCCTACATCAACAGCACCAACAATAACACCAACACACATGCCTAAAAAGAGACATGAGTATCTAATTCATGGCAAAAGAATTACAGATCAATCGGTAAGTTATTAGCTCATAATATTTTTAATCTTTTCATCAGTCTCTTCTATTTTTAATTTGAATTATCATTTTTTTCATTGACTCACAGGTGGTCCTCAGTTGTACAATAAAAAGAGATTTTGAATACAATAAAGTAATGCCAACGTTTCATCACTGGAGGACTGGCGAAAAGAAGTTTGGTCTGACGTTTCAAACCGCTGCAGATGCGCGAGCTTTTGACAAAGGCGTTCGTACTGCGGTGGACGAATTATTAGAAGGTAAAAGATCATGTTATAATATTCGATTCTTCTTGATAAGCATTTAAATCAAATTTTAAAACTCTTCTCTTCATTATTATATTAAACAATCATAAATAAACGCGAACTGAACAATTATACCTTGAAATGTATTATAAAAAATTAATAAGATTGCTCTTATTCATATTTTTATTGCTTCTCTTGCTCTTGGATGCTCTGTCCTTGGTAAGAATCATTTATCGCCAAAAAATACAATAGAAAATCAAATTAAAGATCAAATAATTTTTAAATGTAAACATAATTATTGAATTTTTTTTAGGCCTTGTAATTACGTATCCGGCCAATGAAACTACTGATTCAGACGGCGGAGACGATGTGTTTATGGTTCGTGAAAAGTTTGAATTTTGTCAAATTTAAGAATGTTTTGATAATTACCTCTCAGTTTTAATCAATTTTTTTTCATCTCATCTCATTAGACGCTGAATTTACCGGCAGAAGCCCCAGACCCCTCGAGAGTACCGATCAGCGAAACTTCGGCAGTGGCGAATCGAGCACAGGCGGTGCACAACGCGCCACCGGCCGGCCAGCGGCACACGGATCACTGCTTGTCCACGGATAACACTTCCCAGAGACCGATTCACTACATAAGCAGTCCATCGATGGGCAAGCCACTGCCGCCGGCACCTCCTCTTTCCTCCGATCATCATCGTCACAATCCGGCCGATCTGACCGGCGACAATTATCCTTACGTGCAGCTGACGACGCTCAATCATCACGAGTACCTGTATCCGCATCCCGTCATCGACGATCAACAGCAGCATCATCACAAGCCCACGAGCGAAAAACTCGATCGCTCGAACTCGCAGGGCTCGCTAAAGAAACCTGATATATTGGTGAACCAGGTCAGTCCACGGCTTTAGAGAGCTACTTGCTATAAAATTTCGATGTAGAGATTTCGAAAGAGGTTGCTCATTTTATTTTCTCATGAAATCAGCCATCGACAAAAGGCAACGATTCATTCACTGGTAAGGGTTCGATCACGAGAGGATCCGATCAGTTTAGTCCGAGAACATTTTGCCAACACTGCCGCAAACATTATTTGGAGGCAGAGAACCGAAGGGGTGCGTGCGCCGTAGCACCCGATCCGGTTAAACGAGGAGTAGAAATTATATCGTGCATACCCTGCGCCAAGGGTATGTTTTATCATTGTGTGAAGGGCTCTGAAGATGATTCCGAAGATGAATTCGAACAGAGTTTCGAGCAAATAGTTTGTAGGTAAGAATCCAATACTTTCATACTCTCAAGTTTTTATCATGCTTACATTATCCATTATTCATTTGTCTAGTAAAGTTGTGAGAAAATGTACGTGTTCAAGAACATATTATTCATTATTATATTTATATTCACACTGTCGACGCTTTCACTTGGTTGAAACCGTGAGACATTTATTCTTCTATCCTCATAGATTTTTTTTTTGGAAAAATTTTTCCGGTCTTTCTATCAACGCTCAATTTTTTTTATTGTTTGAAAAACAAAGTGAATGGTTGCAAGAGTTTCTATATTTTGCAAGCATTATTACGAGCAATTAATCATGAAATCGTAGAATGAAAATGAAATCACTTCATTGATGTTCCATCATTTTTCAGTTGCGAAAGAGACGACAAGTGCGGACGGCGTTGGTTTGGCTTAGCTTTTCTATCGTTATTCGTTCCATGCCTATGGCTGTATCCACCACTGCGAGCCACGCACTGGTGCGGTACTTCCTGCGGTCTTTGGGGTGGCAAGCACTCGTATGCTTAGCGGGAGGAACCCTTTGATATATCTGCATCGTACAACGCTCTTGCTTCGTCGAAATGGAAGCAGCCACAAGGAGCGCAGCAGTCCAAGTCAGTGCAGCAACAGCCTCAGCAGCAACATCTGCATCACCAGGCTAAGGCAGTCGCCAACGTTTACGAATGCCATGAACTGACGATGGGACGATGTCAGAGATATCAAAGGGGCAGGCAGCTACCGGTACATTCGCTATTCCACCAAGGACACTTATGAATGAGCTAAAAGAAATTAAACGTGCATTTCTTAATAATCGTTTTATTTTGCGAAAATCATTAAGCGTATTGATGGTAATAAAGACTTTTTCATTGTACTAGCTTTTTATATCGTGCAAGTGAATATGCGAAAAAATGAATGTGGAAAGTGCGCTTAAATCTCGCGAACATGTCGAGTGTGTAAAATTCGTTATAAGAAGCTTGATTTATTGTGATGGATTTGAATCTTCTGCGAAAGAAGCTCGTTTGTTAAATTGTGTTGTGTGCCCGTGTGAATGATTTTACGTTACGAATATTTATGTGTTCAAAAATCATTATTTTAATTTTTTATAACAATATGCTTGGAAATCAGAGGGACGCCTTTTTAACAGGAGTGTGCAGTTAATGACGTTTAGGGCTTTGAAAATAATATATTTATTATTATATGAAAAAAGCTCTTTTGTAATAACAGTAAAATCATATATAACTTATGATTGTAACGGCGAATTAAACTGTGGAGAACTTGCAATGTTTACCTCATCTATAACTCGTCATTATTTTGAATAATAATTGAAGAGTACAAGTGAACTTTATTTTAATAAAGTTGAAATGTTTCCTTATCATGAGCACAAAAAACTTATCTAACAAATACAAAATAACTATTACGTAACGATAAATAAGAAAAAACGCAAAACGTAAATTGCATTTGATTACCGAAAGATTTTTTTGAAAATATTGTACATTTCATAAAATTTTATATATTTTGTTAATGATACAACTACCAGTACATCATGAAAATGATTAAAATATTAAATATTTTTATGATTTTCATAATTATGCTGAACAATTTTTCGTCACGTAGCTTTCATGGCAATCCATTAACAAATGTATTAAAATTTCAGTGTAGTATTTAAAATGATAATGTAAAAATTGAACACAACTTTACGATTAAAACCAAAATTGATATAAATTAGGATTTTCAAGTTATTACTATGAAAAGGATGTTCGATACTTTTCTGTTACGCCTCATTCTTCACTATTTTATATTTAGGATTAGAAATTTTTTAAGAAAATTTTATTTGTATCTCTAATATTCTTATAGTTTTATTGAAAATTGAACCAAAAAAGTGAAGTAAATTGTAAAAAATGCAGAAAAGTAACGAATATTAGTGTTAGAGATAGGCATAGTTAAGAAATTAATTATAAATTTGTTGATTGTATAAAATTCATGTTCATAAACACTAGTTAATATTTTTATCATTTCATACAACTTCACTATAATTAAGCGTTTTCATTGAGTCTGATGACTTTGAAATAAAGATATATTGTATAACTTCGATCAATTTACCATTGCTTTTTACATAGTATTGTTTTTCATGAATATTACAAAATTTTGTTAGATCAATAGCGAAAAACTCGTGTATATCGCAGCATGTACGTTGACTTAATTTTAAAATCTGTATAAGCGATAAATTTATTCTTTTCGGTAACGATTCATTATTATAATTTAAATTATAATAATAATCTGAAAATAATTATAATGACAATCCTTTTACAAAGATTAACATTATAATTATTTGGAAAAAAATTAGACCATCGCTTTTGTTGACAATTTTATTTTTGGTAAAATTACATTTTTTGGATTTAAAAAGTTGATTTTACTGAATTCAAACTAGTTTGGTAAAAATTAAAAATTCGGAAAACTGTAATGAACCTTGCTGTGTTTAAAGCAATTAAATTCAAATCTTATTCGATTTAAATCTTCAATGTACTTTACGCGTATCTACGTGTATTCGCCCACGCACCATTTAAGATATTATATTATATTGTGTTATAATTTTGTAAACATTTGCGCCGAAGCACTTTAACTATGCCTCGATGCTTCTGTATACCTACTCGTATTCGTTCACCATAAATGCAAAGTCGTGTGTAAATCTAATTTAGGCTGCAGAAGCAAAACGCTGCTCTTGCCACTCAGTTAGCAAATCTCATATCACTATATTCATCCCCGGTTCATTATTATCACGATCATTTGCGGCCTTTTATTATAAGTTTTTTTCTTTTCTCACACTACCTATCTTTTATCATTTTGTAAATAATATACAATATTTTATTTCATAATTAAAGCGTAAACAAATTTTAATTCAGTATTTTTTTTCATTTCACTTTCTTTTGAATACATGTTGGAAATGAATGCAATTATGTTGGTGTGATTCTTAACTCGAAATACTAATCACTAAAATGAATGAGACATTATTAATAATACTCAAAGCGAAAATATAGATAGAAGTATATAACTGCATAATAGTGACAACGAATTTCGTTATATCAACGCATAAATGTTAAATATAAGTCAAGTTACAATCGTTTCACCATCAGCTGTTTTGGTGTATAAAAAAAAAATTAACTAATTTTGGAGTTTATTAAAAATAATTTTTTATAATTTGGTATTCGATGTTGAATGACATTTCATCCAATACTGATGTATGAATTTTCATTTGTAATCACACCGGATCGTCATCATCGGAAAGATATTTCAAACTCGTGACTACTTTCTAAAAAATATATCATAATGATCCAAGAGAAAATCATACGATTAACGTAAAAATGTCATAAACTTTTCATAATTTAAATTTAAGTTCCGGTATGTTTAAACGCCACAATTAATTCTGCATTTTAACAGAACCTATTGCAGTAACGATACTCAAAAAAAATGTAAGAACATTCAGTGTCTATGATAAAAGAGAACGAAAGGAGCCCCTTAAGTCTCAAACGTAGTAATTATGAATATCGACCAATTAATTAAATTTTGAAGCTAAAAACTGAATAAAAAAATATTCGGTCTTTCGTAAACATTGAAAAATTTGAAGTTCATACTAAAATAACAAACAAACAATATAATCGTAAATCAAATGTTTCGTTGTCCAAAATATGATGTAACACCAGTTCAAGACTAAATGTTCCAAGTCTGATTTTTCTTAAGTAATAATACAAATTAGGTGTAAATGATAAATAATAGCGAAAATGAGATACATACTGTTAAATTTCAACGACAAAATGCAATGATTAAATTTTTTGTTTGATCGCTTATTGATCGCGCTGCAGATTTATGCCTAATAAGTCACTTCAACCTTATTTTTTCAACTTGATCCCGCTAGCTACACTTTTTATCGTGGTCTATTTTATGATCGTTTTTATTTATATATTCTTTTTACAACTGAAATTGTATAAATACTCGTAGTAAGAATATAGATATTTTACCGAAATACCGTCGAACATCGTACGAATCCGTGAACGACGCGTACGAAACAAAACAAAAGGAAATAACTGAGCTCCGATTAATTTCCATCAGATATGCGCAAGTGCTGTTTCCAAAAATTATTTACAATCGAAACAAGGAATTATATGCAAAAAATACATCAGATGTAATATTTTCATTCAATTAATTAGTTGCTACTCCGATATGTGCTTGTAGTGCAGCTGCAATGTAACAATTTTCAAATGGCATACAAAAGCTGTAGGTAAATGTATATTTTTTAATGTGAACTAATAGCTTGATTTTTCATTGTTGTACAACAAGAGATAACAATAAGAAACGCTTAAAATTGCATGATTATGATGATTGAAAGCGATATTTTTCTCGTCTGTACATAATAAATGATTAACGATTTTGTGATATTCTATAAAAAAACAAGTAAATAAATAAAAAACGAAAATATGTCAACTCAAGAATTGACATTCACGACGCGAGACTGGATTCTCACGTTATACACTATGTATTTACCCATTAAATAATAATGTTACATACTGATTTTAAGCAAAAAATTACAGAAATTATATATGACTAACGCAGGCGAGCTGCGAAACCTTAATATAGTATAAAAAAAAATTAATTATGTAAACAAGTGTGATATACGAATTATATACTGTGTACGTGTCTAACTGCCGTATATATTATAAACATGCATACAGTCCGTATATTTCAATCATTTTAGTAATTAATTAAAATTTTGGCATACTCTTACTTTTCAATTTCGAAAATTTTTCAAAAAGTTGAATCCAGACAGAAACGAATTAAAAAATCAATAAATCAGTAGATTAATTTTAAACATACTAATGAATGGCGAGTTTCCGAACGGAATGGCTTTTTATGTTTTTTACAAAGTTTCATTTAACTTTAATTTGATGTAACGATCGATCCAAGAAAATTTTTTATAATTTGCCTTTATCAATATAAAACCGCTGTGTATTAAAAGTCTTAGAAAAGAGTACAAATTTAATTTTTAAACATGAACGCGAATGTTAAGAAATACACTAAAGAAATAAGTAAAATACTTAAATTAAAAAAAGTTGAAGAATTATTATAATAAATGAGTGGACAGATAAACATACAAGAACAATATTATATATATGATTTAAAAGGTATATCTTCTGTCTCACAAAAAAATTTTCAAAAAAGTATAAAATATCAATGGATATTGATAAATGTCTAAAAAAGGAAAACTGAGTAATCACTAACTCATTGCATAAATTTTATGGGAAAGAGTACCAGCTATGAACAAATAATTGTATTATAGAATATTCTGATGTATGAAAAACAAAATAAATATATTGTATTGCCATACACATATATCTATATACAGAGTTTGATCAATTTTAACAACAATATACAATCACAATGGCTCTTCATTGTTAAGCTTTTAGTTAGATTCATCCATACTATTTACAATTTTTTTACTAACAAGTTTTTTAATGGGGTGCAGGTGTGTGACCATCAACATAAAAGTTTCTTGTTATCTTGGGCAGTTGTAATTCCATTCCCTCTAGATCTTTTGTCAAAGTTATCTGACATCCTATTGAAATGAAAAATTTATTCACAAGCTATTAATCAAAATTAAATTTCAGTTATTAGTCTATCTATGAGAATAGATTAATTTTTACCAAGACGAGAGTTTTCCTTCAAAAATGGGGCCAAGTCTAGCAGATCTTCTTCTTTCTCTTCAGCTTCTGACAGTTTATCCAAGTAATCATGATGTACATAAACGTGACAGGTAGTACAAGCCAAGGATGCTTCGCAAGCTCCTTCCATTTCTATATTGTACCGATGAGCCAAGTAGAGCACATTATCACCCACTTTCCCTCTAACGGGTGTTTTTTTTCCATGTTTATCAATATATGTTATGTTGACACTAAAAAAAAAGTTGATTATGTTTGAAGCTTTTACACAATGCTTAAGTTACACAATAATGCAAAATAAAACTTACACTTCGTCTTCAGATTTTGGATCTTGGAATTCATATTCACCATGAAGTAATCCTAAAAAAAATGTTTGTTCATCATCTACTTTCACATGGTGGTTATCAAAATAAAATATAAAAAAAAAACAAAAATGTTAATAACTGCTGATAAAAAGCATGGACTTACCGGCACTCGTGTGTAACGCTTTCCTCGTTTGATTCTTGTGACAACTCGCTCTAAGAGCACTATTAAAACGACAAGTCAGTGACCTGATTGTTCCGAGGATAAATGTCATCTTATTATTCCCATGCAATGAATTATCATATTACTATTTTGATTGAGTGAACCACTTATCCGAATTTCACTTTTTTCCTAGTCTGCAGAGTTGTGTAAAATCGAAGAAGGAGATGGCGCGGTCATCGAAAAATAAGAACTACACCGGTTGTTGCCAACTATGAGACAAGAAACCATGAATGCATAATTTTAAAATGCACATTATAAATATTTTCATATTAGAGAAATAATTTTCTAATTTCATAATGATACGAATAGTCCTAAATTATTCGACAAAAAATATTAAAATAAAGAATGAACTTACTCATTCTTACTCTTACTTAAAATTATAATTGTTCAGACTTCAAATGTATCTTCATTTGAGTATTTAAAACCGCGCGATTTATCTCGTAGTTGGCAAAAAGCCTATGTTTTTTGACAACTCGACTACAGCGCCGTGTGGAAGAGGAGCGCCCTAAATACACAGATATAGGTATATTAGTATATAAGATTACTCAGTGACTGTTCACTCAGTTCACTGTAGTGAGCATAAAAATTTGCGATTTGGACGTAAGTAGCTCAGTGCAGTGTTGATCTAAATAGTGTTTCAAGTTATAAAGTTCAAAATCAATAAGCAAAGATGGCTATGTCCAAAGGAACAAGCACGTACAATCGTCAGAACTGGGAAGATGCTGTAAGTAGAATGTCCATTTATTCAATCTTTAATTGTCATTATAAAAGCTTACAATTTTTAACCTCAATCTTTGTTGATTTGTTTTCAGGAGTTTCCAATTTTATGTCAAACATGTTTGGGCGATAATCCATATTTACGAATGACGAAAGAGAAATATGGGAAAGAATGTAAAATTTGCATTCGACCCTTCACCGTGTTTAGATGGTGCCCGGGTGCGAAAATGCGTTTCAAAAAGACAGAAGTATGTCAAACATGCAGCAGACTGAAGAACGTGTGTCAGACTTGCTTATTAGATTTGGAGTATGGGCTACCAATCCAGGTAAGGGATGCCGCCCTAAAAATAAAAGACGACATCCCTCGATCCGAGGTCAATAAAGAATACTATGTCCAAAATTTGGACAATTCATTGAGCGCAGCTGATCCTACTGTACCTGCTGGCTCAGTGGGCAAATCAGCTGCAGCTAGTGATTTGTTGATGAAGTTAGCCAGAACCACGCCATTTTATAAAAGGAACAGACCCCATATTTGTTCGTTCTGGGTCAAAGGAGAGTGTAAAAGAGGCGAAGAGTGCCCGTACAGACATGAAAAGCCTAATGATCCAGATGATCCTTTGGCAGATCAGAACATCAAAGACCGATACTATGGCGTTAACGATCCTGTGGCAGATAAGCTCATGAGAAGAGCAGCAGCCATGCCTAAATTGGAGCCACCGGAAGACAAAGGAATTACAACACTTTATGTGGGCAATCTTGGTGAAGTTTTCACTGAGAAGATCCTTAGGGATCATTTTTATCAATACGGAGAAATTCGAAATATCACAATGGTTCCAAGGCAGCAGTGTGCTTTTGTTCAGTACACTGAAAGATCTGCTGCAGAATTAGCTGCTGAAAAAACTTTCAATAAGTTGATATTAGGCGGACGACGTCTGAATATCAAATGGGGCAGATCTCAAGGAAAGCAAGCACCTTCGATCGAGGCCGCAAGAGAGATGTTAGAGCCAGTGCCAGGTTTACCTGGTGCTTTGCCATTGCCACCAGCAGGTGTAGGCAATAACTTTTTCAATCTACCAGGGGTTGTTCCACCACCACCTATGCCACCAGTGTTAATGCCTCCAGTGTTTCCACCAATGGGTACAGTCCCAATGAATTTCCCGCCAGGTACTGCACCTATCCATTATCCCAGTCAAGATCCTTCTAGGATGGGTACTTCGCAAGGTATTGGCAAACCTTGGCCAGAAGAAAATGAGTAATAAGGCTTACATAAAGGTTCATTAATCTAAGTTAGATTTAAGTTTTTTCAACAAGTATCATGTTTATTTGTTATCAACACTATCGGCTAAATTCACTTCACGTTGTTTCATTTCGACAACTATGTAAATATGTAAATTAATTTAAGTAACTTTATTATTCTAATTGAATAAATATTTTTAATTGCATCAGATATTGTTGTTTAAGTCAAAGCCCTCACAGTTCGCCTAAATCCTCTGATCCTATACAAGGCTTATACATTTAATACTCGTGACGTGATTGAGCTTTCATTTAGCCCGCGGACTGCCGACTGCCGCCTATCATTTAATCAGCCCTTACCTCACCGCTCATGCGCTCGCTGCGCAGTGCGCTGGACTGGGATCGCTGATTTAGAGTTTGGAGTTTGGACGGTCTCTTGGAGGTTAAAAACGCCGCCAGTTTCATTGGCCCTGCCTCTCACAGAGCTGTACACACAGCCGCACATAAGTACGCCGAACGCGTTCGATTGATCAGCACATATATAGTGCATTTAACGCATATAAACAATTGATGTCATTAATCGTAACTTGTAGTGGACAAAGTGTGCAAGTGAACTGAGTGTGTTTAGACGCATAAAAATCTTGGACAAAAACGTTGAGCTTCGTACTCATTCGAATTATCGATATCCGCAGGTGAGTCTGCCCTGGCAAATAAGGGTTGTGCCTCTTTTTTCTCTCTCTTTCTCTCTCACTTCCCTCGACTCTTGAGTTGGCCCGGCTTACAGACAGGCGTGTATATCCGTGTAGAGCATTGAAGTGCGTGTGTGCGAGTGTATTCTCGGACAACAATCGATCTAGGCAGCGATTCTGCAAGAGGCAAGAGTCAATGGCACTTATAGAATAATGACGGGCTGTTTATTGGTCTAATGAGATTAACTTGGTTTTTTTATCTCCGCTGTTGTTTTGTTTCTCTACTTCCACTTGAAGTGCTATTAAATTTGCTTATCAGCCCTATTGATCGATGCTCTCGTGGTAGTTAATGAAGCTGTAAGTACTTCGAGCAAATACGATGAATACACACACAGCGGGCTAATTTAAGTTTCGCTATTCGAGGGGGGTATGCTTTTCATGGCTTTGCAAAAGGTATGCGATGGGATCGCTCGCAAGACCATTATTCTTGAAACTGAATTCTGCTTCGAGCAGAATTTCATCCTCGATCCTTTTACGTATTCCATTGCGAATTTTACCGAGTGACTGCCGAATTTTTCGAAAATAAAAATTTTCTTTAACTGACGAGGTTCGATTTTTTTTTCTCCACAGAGTTCGATACACCAGACAGAATGGTGGTTTTGGGCGAATTTTTGACCCCAGAAGAGGGTATACTTCACGAAGAAAAAGACACGACTGTTTACGTTAACCAGAAAGAAGTCGGCAAAGGAACACTATACATTACGGAAAAGTAAAGTATCTCCTTTGTTCTAATTGATCTTTTGTAACAAGCAAACATTTTAATTGATTCAATTATTTTTACCAGTGTATTGTCATGGGTGAATACTGATACGAGACAAGGCTTTTCATTGGAATATCCTCATATATCAATTCACGCGATCTCGAGAGACGAAAGAGCTCATCCTAGACAGTGTCTTTACATTATGGTCGATGCCAAAGTACACTTCCCAGGTACGTGTTTTTTTCTTTTCGCTTTGACCAATTTTTATAAATTTATTGTCTATCGAAATCGATGATTTATCATATTATTTTGATTTTTTTTAAAGAATCCTTAGGTTTAGATTTTAATAACGATAATAATAGAAGCAACAATACAACCGGTTCTAACGACGAAGACGACGATGATGATGATGACGACGATGAGGATTCGGAAGCTCCAATTACCGAAATGAGATTTGCGCCTGATAACACGAATAATTTGGATGCCATGTTTCAAGCTATGAATCAGTGTCAAGCACTGCATCCCGATCCACAAGATAGTTTTTCAGATGGTTTGTAAAGAAACATGTTCAAATTTTTACTATTAATAATTAGTGCATTTGGAATTTACTTAATTTTTATTTTATCAGCTGAAGATGATATCTACGAAGATGCTGAAGCAGATGATTTTGAATATTATGATGGCGGTGCTCTACCATACATTGTCCCTGGAGGTAAATTTTTTTATTTAATTAAGAAAGAATATTGGATTTCAATTTTATTCATATAACGCTCTTAATTCAGGAGAACAAGTGGAAGCGAGTCATAATGGTGGAACAGAAGGAGGCGAGGCAATGGATATTGAAGCTGGCCAATTTGAAGATGCAGAAGAAGATCCATGAAGACATGAACAAAATTCCAATTTGCTTGTATTTAATTGCATTTAGTTTTTAATCCTATTTTGCGTTACTTGTTTCACGCATAGTCATGTAGAAGTGGCAAAATTCAATATTATACAGGCACAAAAGATGTAACAAGTTTTTATTTTAGAATCATTAACATTTATTTATAATTTATTTTGTACATGATTATCTTAATAAGATAAAGTAACCAAAAAAAGAAATGTTGTTTTTTTCTTTTTTCTTTTTGAATGAAAATCGTACATTTTTTACCTCTTAAATAGATGATTATCACTATTTGTGACTATTACCAAAAGGTTAAAAAATCACATGAATTTGATTCAGAATTTGATTAATAATTTTGAAAGATCATCAACATAATAGGTAATGTCATACTCATCTGTATCTTACAAATGTTTTACATAAATATTTATCACAAATAAAATTGTTTTATTAAAATGCGGTTACCATATAAATTTATACATGCCTACTACTTCTTTATTACTTACTGTTTGTTATCAACTATTTTGAGCTAATAATTACATTTTATACAGGATCGCTTATAAAATAATTATAATTTTGTACTAAATTATTGTTAACAAAAGTTTTGACTGAAGATTTGACTCTGTTCTGGTTCAACAAAGGTATGAAAACTATCTAATTTTTTTAGGTCCAAAAATTAAATCTGCATCTGGTGCTCCTTTGGGGTGATTATATTTAGGCCTTCTTTCTCTGTTTAAATTTGCAGTGACTGGCCTAGTTCCTTGACTAATTGCTTCTTGGTAGTCTTCTTCTTCTTGCCTTTCAGTGATATTAAGAGTTAATCTTTTGACTTTTTCTTTTTCTTCTTTAAGTTCTTGTTCTCTATTTTTGAGATTTTTAGCCAATTCTGAATTCACTGGTACAGCAACATTTTTATATTGTGGTTTATTACCCTTACGAACCATCAATACAAAGTCAACAGTTGAAGTATCAGCAGTAGTAGTGTCTTGCAATTGTTCATAAGTTTTTTTGGTGTTTTTTACATTTAAAGGAACTGATATGTCAACTTGTTGAGGCTTGGAAGTTTCGCGCATTCTGTCTTGTATATTATCAGATACCATTTTATCCAAAGCTGAGAGAAAATCTTCGTCTTCTTGGCAAGATACTAGTTTAGGTGCTACTGGTAAAGCTACCTCATTTTCAGAGTTATCAATTGGAGCACTAGGATCAGAATCATCTGGTGAAATTTGTCCTTGGGTGTTATTCGGAGTATTATTTTCAGTATTGTCTCGAGTACTTTGAGTTGCGGTAACTTCATTTGTTTCTTCAGAATTTTCTTCTGATGGTTGAGATTTTACATCTTCGTTTTCAGGTAAAATATCCAAATCTTCTTCTGGTATAGCCTCCAAATCATTAACATTTTCTTTTTTTTCTTGCATCTCGGCTAAATTTGGAAATAGTGCTTTTTGAACTTCAATGACAGCTTCAAGAGATTCTTGATAGCTTTGGTATAACGTCAGATTTGGTCTAACTTTTCTTATTGCATCCTGATAAATGGATGTGATGCTCCAAGGAAACGGGTTTTCCGTTGTCCATACAAAGCTTGCAAATTTAGACCAATAATAATGTTGAAAAAAAACCAGATAATAATCTAATTTCTTTTTGCCTGAACCACTATCAATATATGATGCACAAGTATCCATTAATGTACAGACTAATCTTATTCGAAACAAGTTATCTGGTGGATCAAGAGGGCATATCACAGAAAGATCCGTGCTACTTGCAAAAGTAATTAGCAAATAAAATACTTGAAATAAATCATCGTGATCAATTAAACGATAGTTGAACAATTCACCTAAAAATTTTATCATAGCTATACGTCGTTGATTGAACTTTATTTGATTTATTTCTAAATTAATTCTTATATCTTCTAGAACTCCATCAATAACAGGAGGTGCTATCCAATCACAGATAGAAGCTAGTCCTTGCAAGACATATGCAACTTGACGTATATTCAAATACTTCACATTGTGAGCAGCAATAAAACATCGTATAGCATAATCAGATACTTCTTTGTTATGCCAATCAAGTTTAATCATTAACTGTAACACTTTATCTATAGTATTTCTTCCCAAATCTTGATATAAAAGTTTACGAATGAATTCATGTAAAGGTGGACGTTCTTTTTTTACTATAGTTACAGATTCAGGTGGATTGATAGAGTAATAAGCATTTTCAATGAGGGTAACATATCTTGGATCTAGAGATGTTACTTGTCTCTTTCTCATCATTTGCTCTAAATACACTTTGGTTCGATGATGAGAATCTGGTGAACAAAATAAAAATTTGCCACAAGTCTCCAGAAGATTGCAAGCCATGTCAACATGATGATGTGTAAAGTCATATAATAAAACTTTTAAGCAATAAAGAGCTTCTGCTTTAGAATAAAGCTTAAATTTAACAAGTTCACCAATATATCTGACAACTTTGATTTTAGATTCTATATTAATCTGATCTTTTTTATGAACATGATATTTAAAATCTTGCTTGAGCATTTGGCATAAATCATTTCCTACTTCAGGCATTACTGGATACAAAATTGCAGCTAGACGTGAATAAAATGGCAAAAGATCAAGTCGAATTCGCGAAACTCCAAAAAGGGTTTTTATAAGTTTCTTCTTGTTATTTTTAGTATTGAGAGTCATTACAAAGTCAACTGCGGCATTGTCAATCATTTCTCTGTTGACACAATTTGGTAAGTGATTTAGAAAAGCATCCAGTAAAATCTTGTTACTAACATTCTGAGTTTGAGCTTCTTCTGTGTCTTCCACTTCTACTTCTCTCTCCATTGCTTCTGCCTCTAATTTATCCAATTCCTCTGGAGATAACACAGTCAAATCTTCTTCTTGATCATCATTTATTTCTAATGACTGTTTTTCTTGTTCTGTGCTTTGCACTTCTTTTTTAGGAGATACTTTCTTATAAGAGCCAGGTAGAAAGACTGTAAGATCTGTAAGGCTCTCATAAAAACGACAAGTTTCTTCATCTCCCCACAAATCTTCTAAGATGCTACTATCTGAACTTTCGCTGAGTTTTTTCACACCATTTTCTGATTCAGTTTTAGCTTCTATTTCAACTGGAAGTTCTGGCATTGGTTCATCAAGAATTTCAGAGAAAAGTTGAGCATTATTTAAAAGACGATCATAGGAAATTTGAAAAGCTTCAAGTTTTTCTTTCCTTTCTGAACTTAGTTCACCTCTGGTTTGTAAAATTTTTCGATTTTGCTTTTCAAATGCTTGTAGTGCTTTATGATCCTTGTAAAGATGTTTACACAAAGAATTGTAGTAATCACGAAGTAAAGTTTTGACATTTTGCTTCTTTTCTGTGGGTAAAAAATTGCTTGTAGGCAACGGCACATTCATTTTTTCAGATAATTCTCTGATTTTTTTTGAAACTAAACCAGCATAATCTTCCCCACAATGTTTACAAAAGCTTAATATAATATTAGTATTATTGTGTTCCTCTTTGTCCATGTTTATTAAAAAAGTAAGAACAGATCCCAGTAATGGGAGTCCTTGTTTTGGCGTAAATATACCTGAAGCTACGAGCTCTGAATAAAGTCTCAAATCCACTCTGAGTTTACTGGGATTAGCTATTTTATCTCCATTTTTGAAAATTAAGGTCTTTTGCCAATTTTCAAAAAAATGATTTGAAAAATCTGCGTATTTCTGATGTAAATAACTGCATATTTTGAGAACTGATGGTATATCTGTCATCTTCAGTTTTGCCTCTACCAACGCTGAAGCAACTTCACTGATGTATTTTGTCAAGTTCAAAGTGGTCACATCCTTCATCACATTATCTAACTGACTCGCTGCAAAAGTCTTGAGCTTTTTAACAAAAGTGGTATTTTTTTTCAAATTCGAGTCAAGCTTACTAAAATAAGAGTCCGGCGGTCTCGTAAAATTAGTATTAGATGCACGCATTTCTTCTTTGTTGGCTAGTCTAGCTTCTGCCTCTTTCACATAATCACTTAAAATTTTTTTGTCTTCATCGCTAACGTCACCACTCGCACTCACTGTTTCTAAACTCTCACTGTTGATTGACTCAGCCATGGCTTTTAACTTTTTTTAAATAAAAAAATCAAATGTTTTAAATGAACTTCGAAAGCGGTTGCTCGGGTGTGTGCACTATTATCAAACAATTTTTAAGGTTATGTAAGGAGCTACGATGCAGCCAGCAACGTGGGCATAGTCACCGTACAAAGGTCCAAAACAAACTGATGAGTCCCCGAGCTCGTAACACTCGCGCCGGCTATTATAAGGCTTCTATGAGGCATCATCTACTTTCACTTATTTTTTGACTTACAAAAAAACACACATGGTGCGCGCACTGCGCAGACCCCGATGCGCAGAAAAGAGCGGCATCTTAATTTCAAATTTGAATAAAAAAAAGAAATAGCAAATTTTTTAGAGAAACTGCAATAGATTCAATGCATATTATTTACTTTACTTTTTAATTAAAAAAACTAGCAAACCCTTAGATGCTGTTAGCGTCGGTTTTTAAAAAAATTCATTATTCAATAAAAGGTATCCTTATTTTCCTTACAATTTTTCGGGATCCTGGAATTATTTAAAAAAATCACATTTAGTATGTATGATAAAAAAAAATTTCTGATACCACGTGAAAAAATCAATGGACATTAGTACCGTGACCATTTTAAAATTTGAAAAAAAGTCAAGTAAATTATATTTTTCTCCTCAAGTTAACAGAAAAAAATGTTGTTATTTTTAATTATTTAAAATTTAAATTTAAAGAAAATAAAAATGTGCTTGGTAAACAACTGTCATGGCGGTACGAGCATTGACCGAATCCTGAATAATGAATCTTAGTTCCTTTCTGCATTCGATGGTTTGTTCATGATACGCGAGAAATTGGCGCCAGCAGTCCACCCGTGGACCGGCTTGTTTTGTCAGTGTGCTTCGACCACTGTGTGTAAACTGCAAATATTGCTCGTTGCGTCTTAGATCTCAGCCATCATGTCAGTGGGCTAAAATACGCAGTGCTTTGGATGGTCATCGATCAATTTTTAACTTAAAACGCGAAGATCACAATATTTACGGGGGAAGTCGCACATTTTTTCGTACCCAACTTTCTCCAACGTAAATAACGCGAAGAATTGAAAACCTTTGTTGCGCGCGTGATGCGATCAGGCATCAAACGTTCAAATGTTTGTGTTTTGATTTTGTGTATGGATTGTTGTTCTAAGAATAATCGAAATGGCAATCGAAGCGAGCATTGTCGAGCAGCTTCACAGGCTTCGTCAATGGCAAATCGAGGAACAGGAAAAGCTGCTCCAGCAGCAGCAGGAGCAACGTGAAATGCTCTCGGACGAGCAGAATCGCAGGTATCAAGCACTCAGTCTGTCAGTCGAGGAAATGAGTTTGGATGACGAAGCGTTGAAGGACTTGTTAACGAATCATAAGAGCAATAACAGTAAAAATGAAGAGGATGTATCATTGATTGATTTCGATACTCCCGCCGAGGCATTGACTCCATCTATTCTTGCTAATGGAAATCATTGTTCGCCGTATTCCTCTTTAAACAAAGAAAATGCTAAAGTAAACAGTGCCAATCTTGAAGTGCCTAATATGAAACTAACTGTAAGAAATGCAAAGACTGACGATAAACCAAAAATAGATTGTGATAACTTAATTAATCAAAACAATTACAGTTCTGATTTTTCGCTTGACGAATCTGCATTTTTAAGTGTTTCTAATCCTGGAAGAAAATCTATTTCAATCGATGACACCCCAGTGCCTCCACCTGTGAAAAATTTTCAACAATTGCTAGAAGATAAATTGAAAGATACCGAAGCTGTCAGTATGGAAAATACCCCTGTCAAAAATAAACCAGTAGTTAAACGGCCTTTTCTTAAAAAAGGTGAAGGCCTTGCTCGGTTTATGCCCAATGCTAACAATGGTATTAAAGCACAAAAAAAGTGTGCCGTGAAACCCAAGAGTGCCTCTTTTACGGATGGAACCATTTCTTCTAATTCAAAAATTACTAAAACAAGTAACTTAGGAAGATGTAATTCTATACCTAAATCAAAAATTTCAAATCCTAAAAAATCTATTACTAATAATATACCACCTGTTGCACAAAATAAGTTAAATTTAAAGAATGTAACACCACCAATAAGAAAAGCACGTAGTAAATTTACTGCCACAAAGTCAAATGCTGTTCAAACTCAACCTTCACCATTGGATAAAAAGAAAGTTCTTCAAACAAGTTCTGATGCAAACAGTTCTGATATTGATACCAAAAATAAACGAGAACTGGAAGAAGTAAGGGTATTTGAACTTCTTGAAGACAAAGCAGAAAATTCCAGTTTTTGTTCTACATCAAGTACAGTTATAGCCTTTTTACAGCAATCAACTCCTTTAAAAGCTAAAGCTCTTTTACATAGTGCTTCAAAACATAAAATTTCTTTAGATGATGTCGGAAGTGACACATTGGATGAAATTGTACAAACAACTAAGAAGAACTATCCATGGTTAGAAAGAATACGAAAACCTGTTAATAAACAATTGATTACAGTTGATGGTAATAAGAAATCAAAAATTGATTCTGCAACTCAGTGGGACAATATACCTTTGTCAAAAATAAAAAATGATAAAACTATAGCTGGCACCATATTGCCTTATGGAACTGATGTAGATCTTCATTATGATGATTATTCAATTCAAGAAACATCTAATTTGGTAATGCTAATTATTTCATAATTTTGTACATGGAAAAAAATCCTTACTAATTTTGTGTTAATTTTTTCAGAATGACACAAACATCAGCTTACATGTAAGATTTTCAGAATATAATGAATACAAAACTTTGACCGACACATCTAGCTTATCAAGTGATTCTCAAACTGTAATAAATCATGAAAACGAAAACAGAGCATGGTCTGATTGCTCTGCAACACCAGACACATCCGACGCTGAGAGTGTCATATCGAAATCCAAAAATGACGTCAATAACAGCGAGCACAATGGTTACGCTGAAAACGTTTATACCGATGATGACGAGGACGACGAAACCATTGATGGTAAGTACGAAGAAACTGAAAATAACGAAGATAGCGAAGCGGAAACGGGGACGGGGCTGGTCGACGTCACGTTGCAAACGGAGAAAAAAGAGGAAATTCAGACAATAAAATCGGAATTGCTAAAGCAACGCTTGCAAGAATTGGAACACGAAATCGAGATTTTTCGAAAAGAAAGTGCATCGCTCGCGGCTCAGCGACTCAAACTCGGAGAAGAGCGCACGAAATTGCAAGAAGAGCGAATCGCCATGCAGCGAGGCATTCGAGATAAGGAAGAATCTTTGGAAATCGAGAAAAGGAAGATGGAGGGCATTCTGCTGGAAGAGAAGAAACGATTGTCTCGCGAGAAAGCTGCTTTGGAGAATAGAATGAAGGACGCCCACGACAAAGCTCAAAAGAGCAAGCAAGATCGGATGGAGTTGCAAGCTCTAAAGGACGAGATGGAGGATCTTAAGGAAGACTTTGCTCAGAGGGAGAGCAAGTGGTCGGCCACGAGCGCACGTCAGCGTAGTCAGATTCGCGTGTTGCAAACCGAGAACTCAAAATTGAAGCAGGAAATCGAAAAGTTGCAGCAGAGAAAGGCAAATACAAATAAAATTAAGCGTCCGGTGGCTTCGTCAAATACCAAAGCCATCCACCAAATAAATAAGTATCTGGCCGAACGTAAAAGAACGTCGATCGGCAGGAGTAGCGAACCGGTTTACCAAGAGGAGCAAAAGCCCTGCGAAAGTGTGGACTCTCAAAGCGATCTCGAATTGGAGCACGTCGAACTCGAGATACCTCAAGAGCCGGAAGAGGAGGATCAACAAAAAGTTATGAAAACTGCGGAAAGCATCGCTCGAACTCGTATTCTGTACGAAAATTTGCTGAAAGAAGCCACCGACGGCTTGTCCGAAACTCAGAGCGCGCGTAAAAGTCTGACGACGACGCCGTCGAGTCATCAATTGAATCAGCAAGCAAAACATTCGGATCAAATTCCCGAGGAGAATCGAAGTGCAGAAGATTTAGAGCCGACCGTTCTCGTAACCAACTTACAAAATTCACGAGTCGTCACGGGAGAAGAGAGAGATGAAAATGCGAATAAGACTCATCCTGCAAAATCGAACGGGAAACAGATTGTCCGCGAGGTTCATCATCCCGATGGTCGTGCAGAGTATTGGTATCCGAATGGAAATGTTAAAAAAGTATTTCCCGATACGGGTATAACGAAAATCATTTATTACAATGGAGATGTTCGAGAAGCCGACAGGAATGGCGTCGTCAAGTATTTTTACGCTGCTACGAGGACTTGGCATACAACGCTACCAGATGGTTTGGAAATTTTGGAATTTCCTGAGTAAGTGAAAATTCGATGCTAAGATTGAATGAAGTATTTGTCAATTGCAAACTAATTACTCTTATTTTTTTTTTATCAGTGGCCAGGTTGAAAGGAGATCCAAAGATGGAACGATTGAAGTGTCATTCGCGGATGGTTCCGCGAGAATTGTTCAAGCTGACGGTTCTGAAAAATGGTTATTACGAGATGGTACAGTCGCAGAAACTTCAGCAGATGGTGAAAAAATCCTTACGATGCCTAATGGTCAGCGTGAAATTCATACTAAAGATCACAAGGTTAATATTTATGTTACATAAAGTGATTTAAATAATTTAAACCAGTGTATTTGACGATCTCAATATTTTTTTAGCGACGAGAGTATCCAGATGGTACTGTAAAATTCCTTTATCCAGACGGGGTTCAAGAAACAAGATACGCAAATGGCAGGATCCGTATGAAAGATAAAAATGGAACCCTCATCATGGATACCCATCAATAAAGCTTTATTTTTTTATCAATCAGATTGATGATTTTGCTCAATACAGACGATCTCTTACAATTAAGATAATTTAGTTTCTGTGAAATAACTTCTTGAAATGTAAGTGAATAATCTACAAGTGTAAACTATTTTTGTAATGAAAAAAAAGTATATTTTCTAGTTGCGATGTAGATAAGTGGGAAAAGAAATGTATTAAAAATTATTTGTATTATTATTCCTAGATAAACACAAGATCTATTATTTTCAATAAACGAGCGATTTATATTTTATACCATCCTAAAAGCGTTGATTCTTTTTATTTGAACTTTTGGACGTTTTGAAAAAAACCGCGCAAAACCTTGCGAGATTTCTGCAGTCTGCGATGTAATTTGGCAGTCTTGAAAGATGGCGCTCATCGGTTGTTTACTTGTCAGCTGAGTAGATAATGCATAGTTACAGTTTTTGCTATCAAAATACGCCAAGTCAAGTGTTGAACAATGTAATTAATGTTATTTTTATCAGTGTTTTGTGCTAACATTTTATCCAAAAGTTGTTTTATTAATATTATTTGTAATTAAATTGACAATTAACCAGACCATCATTAAATTATTCATTTATTAATGTACATACGTTCACATATTTTATCAAAAAATTAATGCAAAATATGAAAAATCGTAAATTTACAGAACAGAAAATAGTTAGTTCTAATGTTGTGGACTGTAAAGATTAAATGCGTTCGGCCCTTAGTGTAATATTGTCGAGTCCTGTACCCGACAATAAAATGTCTCATCCTGATTACGAGCAAACAGCTCATGATCATGCCACAATTCTGGTACTTCTCAAACCTGTTGGCACTCAAATTAAACCAAAGACGGTTGATCGTTTATGCGAGCGAATAATCAAATGCGGCAGCAGATTCACTGTCACCGACTCAACGAATAACCAAAGGGAGATTCTTGCCAGATATGTTAGAGATTATCCAGTAGAAAATACAGAATGGGGTGATTTTCAAACCCATAGGAGATTATTAGGTTTGTAATAGTTTTATAATTCAAACAAAATAGTATTGATGAGCATTATATCTTTAATTTAAATATTTTGCAGGATTAATTACTTTTGGAAAATATGAAAACCAAACCGAGCTCAACGAACTCTGCAGGCTTCATGAAACTTTTAAAGTTAAATATGTACAAACATTATATGACTCTAGAACTATTTTAATTGGACCAAATGCATCAGAGAAACTTTCTGAACCACCGCCAGGCTTTACGACACCTTTTAATTTTAAGACAACAGGATTTTTTTATGGTGATGACTTATGTCCAGATTTGGAAGCTCAAATTTTAGAATTTTTAAAAGGTCTTTTTTATGTTTTGGATTACAAGAGATTGGATAGAACAAGAGAGAAATTTGATAAAGTTGCTTTACTCAAAGCCCCATTTGAGGAAAAAGATTTTATTGGATTAGATTTAGAATCTAGAAATAATCGAAAGAGGTGTGTTGGTCGTGCCATAAAACATTTAGGTGATTTAAGTCTACAGGCTGGACTTTACAGCGATGCCTTCAACAATTACACTTCAGCAGTTGTTACTTTACAAGGAGTGAACGATTGGTTATGGCTGGGTGCAGCTTATGAAGGCCAATGTGCTGTATCAGCTATCATGTTATATCCTAATTTGTTCAGAAGTCCTCCTTTACAGAGGAACTCATCGCTACAAGAAAGCAGTCCAGGGAAACAAAGGTAACTATTGATAGAAAATAATTATATTATTTTCTTTTTTTAACGTGATTTTTCTTTAAATTTGAAGACGTGATTCTCAAGCATCAACCCTTCCAATATCACCAACAATTGATACCGTGAGAACAGCAAAATTTCAAGTTTTGGCCCCCGAAGATATCAGTAAAAGGTATCGCGATGCTATTGTACACTACAGCAAATATCAAAATGCAGGGATTATTGAGAATGAAGCTAGTTTTAAGGCATCAAGAATTTCCATTGAACAAAATTGTCCTTTACAAGCTGCAGCATTCCTCAATAATATGTTCAACAGCATACCCATGCCAGAAAAAGAAAAGGTAAAAAACAATAGCATTTGCCCACAAACATACAATAACTATTTTTTCCCCCCCAATAGATCGACAGATTTACCACATTGGCGGAGCTTTACACTGCACTTGGTTTCACGAGAAAAGCGTCGTTTTGCTTAAGACACGCGGCTCTGCATTACGTGTCTCAAAAAAATCAAAATCCCGATTGGCAGCAATGTTATAATTTATTATTACAAACCACGTCGGGTTTCAAATTATCTCTAGATCCGGCTGAAATGTCACCAAGTAAGTAGGATAATTGTCAAATAATCGAGACATCTTTTTCATTGAAATAAAAAATTATTTAAAACAGGTAACAGAAGAGGCTGGCCGTCGATACAAATACAATTGTTGAACGAGCTGGAAACGGCTGCCAATCGCATGGGTAATCCAGCCTTAGCGACGAGACACTTGACGTTCCTTCTGCAAACGATGTACAATTATCTATCTGTCAATCAGCGCAGAGACGCTGCTCTGCAATTGCAAGCTGTCTCTCAGCAATGCGAAGGAGCCCCCGTTCCTCTGGTAATTCATTGTTTCATTCATTCACTCGAATTCTTCCGACACGATAACGATGAACCGATCGGCGCAGGTACTCGATTCGGGAATAGTCATACCGCCGGCCAATCTGACGAACATACCTCGCACGAAATCCTTCGTCCTGAAGAACCTTCAGCCGCATCTGCAGCCGCAAAAGATCGAGCGCGTCAAGGAGGACCACGGGCCGTTCCTCTTCACGCCCATTAATTTCGGCTCGCTCGATCGCAAGACCATCTCCAAGAGCAAGGTCGATTATCTCTGGGTTGACGGGGACATCTGCGAGGTCACCATGCAGCTGGTGAATCCGCTGCCCTTCGAGCTGCACGTGTCGAACATGCGGCTGCTCACGAACGGCGTCGTCTTCGAGTCCATACCCGAGAGCATCACGATACCGGCCGAGAGCGGACCGATCGCCGTCACCCTGGCCGGCACGCCCCGCGAGGCCGGCGAGCTCGAGATCCTGGGCTTCAGCACGCACTGCCTCGGCGTCAAGTCGGACTGCCAGCTGAAGCACGTGGACAGCATGATACACCAGCTGTACACGGTCGAGGTGGTGCCGCAATTGCCAAAGATCAACGTGGAGACGAGCCTGCCGAGGACGGCGAGCTTCAGCTCCGCCGACAACATCGTCACCAGCGCGAGCATCTCGCTTTACGGCGGCGAGAGGTGAATAAATTAGGCGGTGGCTTCGATGCGGAACTGTGATCCGAACGTAAATTGATGTGTACTTGTTATTTCAGCGCTGAGTGTACGATAACGATAACGAACGTGGGACAAGTACCGGTCGAGATGGTCGATATCTCCGTTCAGTCGACTCTGGACAGCCTGACGAAATCAAAAGTCTTCAGGTGGAGCGAGGAGGATCTTCAGACGCAGCTACCTCTGCAGCCTCAAACGAGTGCCAGTATTACCCTGTACATGCACGCGGCCATGGATTTCGTTGTGCCTACATCGCGACACGGTAAGGCCTTGATTATGTTCATCAGCGATCGATCAGCGATCGTCGTCGTTGCATTAAATTCGTCTTTATTGCTCGCAGGCAGCACAGGCGTCTATCCGAGTCAGCCCAACAGTTTGCTGTCGCACTCGGGACCGAGCTCGCTACCGTCGCGCCTGAGCTCGCCGTCGCATCACACGAAGCGCCAGTCGGAGATCACCTCGTCCTTCCGATCGGCCACGAACTCGTCGACGGGCTCGTCGAGCGGCGCCGGCAGCAGCAGCAGACTGTCCAAGCTGGCGGCGCCCCTGCACGCGTCCAACGTCGTCGAGGGACAGCTGCGCATCAAGTATTCGGGCGCGGCGGGCTTCGGCGCCGGCTACTGCCGGGTTTCCTCGGTTTTCATCGCGATCGAGATGCTGCCCAGCGTGCAGATAACCGGTTGGGACGTTTTGCCCGCCGAATTGTAAGAATTTTCATACCACTATATTACGACTTGAGATGAGCGATTAATCGAATCTTGGTATTTTTCACGCTCGTCCCAGGCCCACGCAATTTTATTTAGTTTTGGACGTGACCAACATGACGAATCACGAGATGGAGTTGAATTACGCGACGAACAAACGTATTTACATGGAGGGACGTGAGTCCTGTCGGATACCCATACCCGTCGATCGATGCCCCTTGAACAAGCAAACGTTGGTCAACGGATCCGGCAATGTGGACGACCTGCAGAAAGTTTGCGCCGAGCACATAGCTTCGTTGACGGATCTCAATTGGCAATTGCTCGGCACGGAATCCAAGGGTCAAGCGAATTTGACTGGATTGACGTTGACCCAAAATATGCTAGATCTCGTGAGAATGAGTCCGCTTCAATGGGGTGAGTAAATACGATTTCGACAAAATTGTCAAACGAGTGGCAGGAGATTAATTTTAAAATGTTTCATTTTTTTGCAATAGAAATAACCATCAACGAAAAAGTATTCAAATCTCAAGACGAGCTTAAATGTACATTGGGAGATTGCGTCAGCGTGGGCGTGGGAGTATCCAATGCCTTGGAAAATCCGCTGAAAAATCTTACGTTATCCGTCAATCTTTATCAAGATCATCACAATGGTGTGCATAATTACAGGCTCGATTCTAGGGTATCGATTGCCGGAGCTAATAAAGTCATGCTTCCAACCGTGAGTTATTTTATCGAGATACTCATGAATTTACGTCAAGTGTCTGATCATTTTTTAATAAATGAAATTTCATGAATTTTAGCTACAGGAATCAGGACGAGCGTACTACGAGTGTCGCGTCGTGTTTCTGACGATTGGCCAATACAAGTTTGACATACAATGCACTAGTCGTGAGCCATCGTTAAATCCGTCTGTCACTTTTACAGAGCTGTCGTCGAACGCCGGTCATACATGGCGCTACACGCCGCCCATTGAAATTAAAGTTGTAGATGATTGTTGAAGTGTTAAGTTGTTTTTGTTTATTCCATTATTTAGGTAACTGATAAATACTTATATATTCATTTATTACATCTATAAAGAGAAATAAAGAAAAATTATATATTTTATTCAAAACGATTTTTATTAACTGCATCTTGAATTGTTATTTGATAATAGAACACATTCCATACAAAATGTAAACCTTTTACCTTAACTTATTTTCTTTTGCCATCTTATTACAGCGCTGGCACATTACAAATCAGTCTGAAATTCTAAGAAATTAATACTAATATTCATAGAGCAGCGACCAGCGCTTCAGATTAAGACATTTCCAAAGGTTTACTTTTATTTAAGAAGACAGAAGATCATTAATGATATTTTTACTCAAATTACAAGAAACATACAATTTTGTTACGTTAGGGTATTTTTAAATTTAATAAACAACTTATACTATCTAATAGCCTTAGAAAAACACTAGGTATGTCAAAAGGAGCTAAAATATAACACTGTTGATTGACTTAAAATAATACACAGTGAATAAATATGGATGAATTTATAATACTAACAATTAAAGTATAAACATGAAATAATACTTCACTGTACTATTAGGTAATTTTTTCTATTTTTAAAGTATGATTTAACTTTTCCGTTTTTTCTTTCCTAAAGGAACTATTTCCATTTGTTGCAAATTCATTCTAAATCTTCTATAGAAATTTAATACATCTTTATTTGCCCATACTTGTTGGGAATTAAAATCTAAGACTCTCAAAGTTTTTAAACTTTGGGCTCTTGATAGTGCTACATAAGCTTGCCCAGCATCAAAAACTCTAGTAAGACTCATTTCTACACAATCCAAAGTTAAACCTTGACTTTTGTGGATAGAAAAGGCCCATGCCAGTTTTAGAGGCAATTGTTTCCTATATACTACGGCTCCTCCAGCAGTTTTGATACTCCATTTTTCTATTTTTGCTGTATATGTACCAGCAGTACGAAATTGAATAACTGGAAGATCATTTTCAAATTTAACTACAACACCTCTTGCTCCGTTGACAAGCCCTGCACTTAGACTAATATTTTTCAATAACATTACTTGTGCCCCTACTTTTAATACAAGTTTATTTGGAACTGTCAATTGTTGATCTAGTGATCTTGTCAAGGATTCATCTGAATCTTCTGCCATATATGTCTTAGAGACACCAGATAATTTCTCTAATTGAGTTTCATTGATTTCATTTGCCTCATTCACATGAGAACATAGTCTTGTTGCTAAAATACCTTTTGTTTCAATTGTTTGTCTAGAAGTTTCTTGCAGAATTTTAGTAGTTTCATCTGTAACTTGCCCCATTCTTAGTTGATTCAAAATGCTAATAAATTGAGGATCAGTTTGTCGATGTACTTTTTTAAGTTCAAAATTCATTTGAATACAGCTTGCCCATGCTTTGCTTTGAAAACAAAACTTTGATTGTTCATCTCTTTTGGATACTGGAGGCAATTGGAAAAAATCTCCACACAAAATCAACTGAATACCACCAAATGGTTTTTCACTATTTCTTACAAATCTGGCAATAGCTTCAATTTTATCAAAATAGTCACCATCGACCATAGAAATTTCATCAATAATCAAATGTTTGGTTTTTCTCCAAATAGTACCAGCTGCTGATTTTGCAACCATCTTTTTACATTTTTCCATCGTTCCAGTTCCTAAACCTATACCTGCAAATTGATGTAATGTTATTCCACCAATGTGGCAAGCAGCTACTCCAGTACTAGCAGTGGCTATGGTCACATCAGGTGGTAATGCAGCAATTATTTTTCTCAAAAGAAATGACTTTCCTGTACCAGCACTTCCAGTAAAAAATATACTTTTACCATTTAAAACATATTCTAAAACTTGAGATTGCTCTGCAGTCATTTCTCCAATAGTTGGATTATTGAATAGCCTACCTTTGGCTTTTGGAGTTTTAATAGAATTGGGACTAATGATATTGTCATCTTCGCGTTTCCTTTTTTTTAGTGTTGAAGGTGAAGGTGTTGTCAATGTTGCTCGACTGATACCTGCTTTCTCTTTTGCTCTATTGATTTCTGCAGTTGTAGCTGGACTAATATCTTCAGTTGCTCCAAGATTGCCAATAATTTTTTCTCTAAGAGGATTTTTAATGACTTTTTGATTTTCATCACCACCAGTTGTTTTAATATATATGGTTTTCAAAAAGTTAATTAATTTTGAAGGAGGAGCATTTGAATAATAAATAGTGCAATTATCAAGTTGAAATGATATAGAAGCTTTTCCTTCTGTCATAAATTTGTTAAATACTTTAAACTTTTGCAAATGTAATTTCACTGCACTACTAGCTTTTTCTCCCTTCACTTCAATAAGTAAATGTCTAAGATTATTTCTAACTACACGAGAAGTGGCCAATCGATGATTGATTTTTCTAGTAGTTGATCCCTGTGCGTCCACCCATTCTAATATTGTTGCACACGACAAAGAAGAGTCGTCTTTGTCCATTTTTGGTGGTTATCAAAATCTACTATATCCCCTGAAACATTTATTAAAATTAATGATTTTCTCTGAATTCTCGAAAAAATATGAGACTTATCAAAACTTTTTGACACTGACAAGTAGCGAAGTATCAGTTGGCAAATAAATATAAAATAACAAAAGATCAACAGTATTTCACTACTAATCTTCCAATAATAAAAAAGTGACGATTAGTAAAAAGTGTATCTTTGAAATTACTAATTAAATTTGTAACTTACAAAATATTAAAGCAATGAAATTTGATACTCACGTTATGTTTTTAACACGTCGCTACAGGCACCGCAGGATACAGGCTGTATCATACAGCCGTGGAAGTGACATTGGCCGATTGGCGGGATTTAAAAATACTTCGCCCCCTTCCATACTCTATATCCATTCATTTCCTCACGTGTAGGGAGTAGGATACATATTTGAATTTCAATTTTAATCTACCTTTTTCAGAAACACGTTGATAACTTTTTAGTTACTTTAATTCTATAAATTTATATGCAGTGGCAATTATTTAAAATTTGCTTTCATGTATCATTTACATGAGAAAAATGTATCATTTCCCAAATAATTGTAATACTTATGTCATAATGACAAGAGGTTGATTGAAAATCACAAAACATTGTTTAATTAATGCCAAATAATCAATTATAATTTTATTATAATAATTTTTTTTTCATGTTAAAAAGATAATTATTAAATTAAATATAATTGTGTTACACGAATTAACATTTGAATTTCACAAAAACAGTGTAGAAATAAATTAAATTTAATATAAATGTAAACATAAAAATCTCTATAATGAACTTTTACATAGTCAATTAATGCCCCGATGTTATTTTAATTTTTTTCCGGGAGCGCCTGTACAATACAATTTTATTCCTTTGAAATAATTTCATAAAATTTTATAGATTAATTACATAAAAGAACATAACATTTTATATCACAACGATTTAAAATTGAATATCAGTTTTGAATATGTTTTTAACATACAAGATATAGACACAAAGCCTAATTCACACTTTACCGATTACTAGGCAAGGCGAAAAAACTTGCATTCGTACGAAAATTTTCCATGGTAAAATTACGCATGTTACGTAAGGAATACGATGTAGTACAAATATATATTTTTTCAAAACAATCTGCAAAAATTGTATTTTAGACCCAAGTAAATTTAATTGAGACTGCTTGGGCCATTTGAATAAGAAATCATTTTCATTCGTCATGTAGACTTTTTGAATTTAATTTTACGCTTATTGCTCTAATCATTGTGAACAACAAAATTGAGCTACAATAAACGACTATAGTGAAATACCTTAGACACTAATAGAATATATCGATTTGATGAGAAATAAGCTAAGCATTTTACCTTATAATCTATCCATCAATTTATGGTATAAAAATAATATTCTTAATTTGATTAAGTGTAAATAACTACTAAGATTCTCATTACTACCTGATACCATCGAGCAAATGGTTCAAGAAAGAAATACGTCTATGAATTGAATTTCACTTGACAAAAACCAGTCTGTATGAAAACAAATGGTGATAATTATCATGATCTTTTCGATGTAAATTCTATCGTTATTTTTGTGAGTCTAAAACTTTAAAATTAAAATTGATTGTACTGAAAGTCATGAATTGTGTCAAAAACATTTCAATTCATTATTTTAGATTAATATACTTTTTTTTTTATAAATTATTTAACAATTTTTCTTTAATGCGAGATTACAGGTACGTGTTTGAATTCTCGTATTTAAGACGTTAATAACTGTTTTTAATTTTTTTGGTGACTTCTTCCTCAATATATACTATATAATTGAGTAATGTATACAGAAGACATTTTCATTTAAGGACATGAAAACCTTAACGATTCAAGATTCTTTTGATTACCTAGGTATCAATATGATATTTAAAAGGGTCACACTGCTGTTGTATAGAGAGTTACACTAGCAATATGCTGATTTGCCATAACTTCCACAATAGCATCGCGAATGCCGTAGCAGAAAGTGCAGCCAAATGGATTTGTAGTATTTGTTGAAGATGCTCTATTGAGCACAACAGGACGTGGGCTGGCTTTTAATTGTTCGCTCACTCCATCCCATTTAGTGTAGGCAGTAATCTGTAAAAAAAAGTCATGATTTTGTTCCAAAAACAATAGTGATATCAGTTCATTTTTTATGGAGACAATATTTACAGTTACAGGAGTCGCAGCAACATCAATGAGTTGGCCTGGATCTGATGAGTTAGAGGTTTCAGCAGGTATTGTTAGTGAAAATTCACATCGATGATACATGTTGAAGTTATAATGTCCAGGATAATTGGTGTGTAGCACAAATTTTTTAACACACTGCGTTTTAGCATCAAAAAGAATGTCCTAAAAATGTATAAGCATATTCAGTGGTTTTGTATCAAATTAAGTAACAAAAAAATTTAGATTTTTAAATGAGCTAAAGTTAATCTTACCAAACCCAATGTGAAGTAATTATAAAAAAAATCCGACCGTCTTATTTTATCTCGTTTGTGTGCGTGAGGACTATGAATTCGCATTTTATCTTCTGCCTTGAAAAAAACGCGAGAAGGTGCCCCTAGAGCGCTCAACACATCTTCACATGTATCTCCAAACCAGACCTTGAAAAAATACATTTATCATTGTTAATATTATGCATTAATAACAAGGTAATGGAATACTTTAAAATTTTTATAAACCTCTTTTGTAAGGTTGATTTTTTTTGGTTCTAAAAGGACTCTACTTGATGAACTTCCCTCGGTAAAAAGGTTCATCTTGATGCCTTTAGTTTGCACTTTGTCCCGTACAATTTCTACATTTTCTAAATACAAATTATTGTGATAGCAGACCTGCAATAAACATAATTTTTGATTAACATATGCCAAATAAATAATATTTTTTTAACTCATACCAGTGGTAAAGGTGGAGCAGGTGCTCTTAGACAATGCTCTTCGCTATTAGAACCACCAGATGCCATATTTCCCATATATATAGCAGTTTTTGCTACTAGTGGAGATGTGCCATTAGGAAATTGTAAAGAACCCAAACCATGAGCATATCCTGGTTGGAATTTGGAATCAATGGGAAAGTAAAATGATAAACCTCTAAAATTTAAAACAAAAACCTGCAATAAAACGTATATTAGTAAATTACTTGATGAGATTAGAGAAATAAAAAATAGAGGAATGATTACTTGTTTGTCACTGTCATAGACTCCAGGATGAGTAGCTCCAAAAGAATGTTCGATCTGTTCGATCGATGGTAAAACTTCAGGAGAATTAAAATGCAATCCACAGTATTTGAGTTTAACTAATTTCATGTTATAGATTTCAATAATTTTTAGCCTTTGAACGACTGGATCGAATATTAGTCTAACTCCATCATATGGTAAATTGATCACAAGATCTACTTCTAACGGATTCTGCGACAAATGGAACATTTTAATAAATATTGAATTAAAATTTGACAAAAATTGAAAGCTAAAAAACCATAATAATCATACTTACAATATCACTATACAATACTTGCACTCCTCGTATAATGCCCACTTGTGACTGTATTATGGACACAGACTGAGAAAAATGCATACCTAGAAGCAGACAATATTATTGTTCGTAAAAAAAAATCAATGTCATCATACTTGAAAAAAATTACATCATTTTTATGCAAGAAAAGATCTTGGCATTAGCCACGAAAGCGCGCAGCAGCATTTGTTTACAAGCGCATCAAAGTCAAAATAAACCAAGTGTCCCCTTCCCTCCGCGATCAGCTGCATTCGCAACGCACGGAAAATTACGCGGATATAACGCTAAAATGCATTCCTCGATTCTAAGCGCGGAGATCGTGCGTGTGTGTATGCCGTTGAGGGGGACACAAGGCATTCGCAATACAAAAACAACGTCGCAATTAGAAGAAACTTGCCTAAAATGAATTCCCATTGCTCGCAACCGAGCGAGCGCTCGGGCACGACCTCGAGCTCCAGCATCTTGGACGTCGTTGCACTACTTATTCCTCGCGCTCCTGTTTTTCAATCTCGCTCTCCTGTCTGTCGCGGGTGCGTCGATTTTCAATAACAAACACGCACTGTGCCTCCAAGCAGCTCGTCGCAGCACGCACGCACTCGCTGGCAATTTCTTTGTCTCGGCCACAGTATAAGCTCCGACGATGTATATATATACGTATATATTATAATATCTCTCTCACTCGCGCGATTCTCTCGATGTGTATGTACGACTTTGCCTCGCGCGCACCTCGGGTTCACTCTCGGACTTTCCGTTATGTTCGCATCTACGTCGTGCACCCGAACGCTGGATTTTTCGTAACGGAGTTTTAAAAAGCGTCGTCGTCGTCGAGAGGCCCCAGTGCTCGTCACAGCGCGAGTGAGAGAGACGGAGACAAGACTGACAGTCTTGTTGTCGCTGTCACTGCGTATAATGTTTATATTATTATGCGATGACTGGTTCGCTGCACACTACTATCTCTCTATTGCTCCACTGACAGTACATGACATTGATCGTGTGTTTTGTTGTGATTATTCACCTCCGAGTCAGCTGCGCCTATTATGCGCTTCGAGCGAGCGAGAGAGAGAGAGAGAAAGCTGCTCGAGCAGTGCGACTATTCTTCCACGAGGTGGCGCCTCGCGTCGCTGCGACGTCGAAACTGCAGAACTGCAGCCTGCAGCGGCTGCACCTGAAATAATTAGCTTTGTATATCATATGGAGCAGTGAGCTGCGCGTCTCTTTGTATGTATACACATACAGTGAAATCTCTCTATAGTGGACACCCATAAAACCTGGAAAACTGTCCGCTATTGGGAAGTGTCCGCTATTCGAAAGAATACGAAGCGGGGAAATATGAAAAAAGAAGAACATTTTTGACTATATTTTTTTTTTCATCCCCGACGGAAAAAATTGTTCGAGAAAGAGTATATATCTGTATATATCTACGTTGTTTTAAAACTTTTTCAATGCGTTTTTTTACGTAAAATTCAATTCATTCAAATTTAAGGCCAGTTTTACTTGTCATTGCTGTTTCATGACTGATAAATTATTTCGGAAACTTTTACTATTTAAATTACAAATTTGAAACTGTTGCTGATTCCATCAAACTTCAGATTTGTGTTTTTATTTGACTCGAATTTTAATTATTTAAAACAAATTTCAAATGATAAATAAATATAGTATTTTTGTACATTTTAATATGTTTGGATTTTCAATGATACTTTTTTCAATTTCACCTAATTTAAATATAGGACCATAAATATCGTAATAATGCAAATTGACATCAATAGAAATAAAGAATTGATGATTTTAATTATCGACTTCTGATGTCGTAATATCCAAAAAGCGCATTATATTCATTATTAACTTACTGGTCGATCTCGAAATAGTTTTGAACGATAAATGGTTTGCGATTTCATGTAAATAAAATGTAAAAAGCCTTATTCATTTGTTAGATTACATATGCAAACTTACAAGCATTGTTATATCATTGATCAAATGACTTATGATCATCAAATGATCATCTTCTTGCCCCAAATGCTTTGACATTTAGAAATAGATCACTGCCCCATCAAAAATAAAGGTATGATCATTTCGAATATCTCAATGGGATCGTAATGTCATCCGAAATTATATAAATCTGGGAAATCATGCCTGAAATAATAAAACATATTAAAATACCTTAAAATTTGTAATTATGTCTAGCCATTAATATCGCATGAAAAAATATTTCTTTACTTCTTTTTATAATGCTCAGGGAACTTTTCTGTTCCATAATTTTATATGATATCTCGATTAATATCATTATGTTATTCGTAATGATATGATTATCATATCAATATCTTACATAGGTCATCATATAATTTCGTAAACGATCGCTGACACGCAATCGGATCTATTTTATATACATTTAAATGAACACATCAGAAGAAAGTAAATGAGGATCAACGACAAGAGGTTGTATTTTTCGAATATTTCTTTATATTATAGTTGTAATTACATAATGGTGCATGCTATGGCTCCAATTAGTTTGTTTATTTAAATTTGAACAGTACTTTTCTACGTGTATCCAAGACATGCAAAAGTCCAAGTGCTTTCAATGTGCTTGGACTTGATTTAATAAGAATTGAGTAATCAGGTGATAATGAAGGGGGGTTTTCTACATATAAATCATATTTGAATATTACATGTGGGTTATACTGCTTCCAGGGACCTATAAGATCAAACTAATCCTACTAGGCATGTTTTCTAGGTGTAAAAAGTACCCTGATCACCCTCAACTAAGTTTGGGCTAAATCTATGACCCGGAGCTGGGGTGGTCTCCTTGTTAGTATAATTCAGTACAAGAGTCCAAATGTATAAGTATTTGGCTCCTGGTTCAATCGGCCTTTGCATCGGTCGCAATCACACCCAATCTAAGCAATGCAGCAGCAGCAGTTTAATGTTGCGACGCAGCTGCAGCGTCGCGTCTCTCTCTCTATCTCGAACTTAAACTGCTGGACGCGTGAATTCGTGCGGCATTAATCTCTTATCTGTTCGGCGATGCGCATAAGGTTGTAAATCGTTCGGTAACGATTAAAAAGCACAAGTCCAGCGAAGCAGGAGCCTTGTCTGTGTCTAGAGATGTGCTATTGTTATTATTGCTGCGTATGTGTAACACGCGAGAGGTCCCTACTGGGCTTGCGTTTTCTAATCGTTACCGAAATCGACTCCTATACTGCATAGCGTCTTTTATCTCTTGTAGCTTCAACCGCATGGTTTTAATTCTCTACTGAAGTGTAGGTCGTATAGTGGGTGTACAGTCAGTACACGTTACGACGCCAAAGTGTGAGCATCCATACAGATCACATCGACTCCAGAAATTGATTTTTGTCCTAAATTAAGAAATAAAAAATATCTTAAATTATAAGTGACTGTGATTGTGTGCGAGTACGAAAAACGGTAGACATGTTTTCTAAAGAAAAATTCGCTAAAGAATTCTTTTTCTGCGGAAGTGGCTCAGACGAAAAAATCGACGACAATAATTTAAAAGATGACGAGTTTATCTGTTGGATCAATAAGATCATTTTGTACAATCAAGGACGATGTGATTTACTTGATCAACTTTATCCCTTTATTAGCGATTGGAAGGGCCAACTTCCGAATCTCCGAGACATTTTTCGTGAGAAAGAAATTGAGTTTCTTCTGACGGAATCTGTAAAGTGTATGGGTAAAAAGGCCCATGATAAGCGAGGACAACTGTTCATTGAGTTTGTGGTTCGCTGCGGCTACAAAGACGAGCCTAACTTTGATGAAAACGGCAAGTCAGTATTGCGTCGCAGTACACCACTACATCATGCGGCTAAATTATTAAGCTTTCAAGAGAATACTGTGGTCCGTGAGCTTTTTAAGATTTACAATAGATTTGATGTAAATTACATCAGCCACTGGGGCATGACCCACTTCCACGTGGCCTGCCAATTCGGCTGTAACGAAGTCGTCGAGAAATTTTTCGAGCTTGGTCAGGACCCCAATATCCTCGTGCCAAAAATAGATGATTCGCCACTGCATTTGGCTGTGAAAGAGGGACGAAACCAGGAGGTAATATCGTTGCTGTTGCTGAAAGGGGTAATCCGAATTGTGCCAACAAGGAAGAATTGACACCTCTGCACGTAATTTCCCGGAGAAAAGAAGCTACTGATGTTTTAGAGATATTTTTCAAAATCAACGATGACATGCAGCAGACGGTGCAAGTCGAAGCCGGGGAGAAGGACAAGAAGGTGGCTGAGTCACTGCTGAGAAGAGGCGCCATTGCGAACTTGACCGACTTGGACGATGATACGCCCCTGCGTATTTGCCTTCGAAAAGGATACACTGACTTGGTGACGATATTTTTCGAGATGAACGAAGGAATTCATCAGCCGGTGCAGGTCAAAGAAGGCTTGTGCGAGACACCGCTGCAATGGGCTGTGGCAAATATTTTGCCACATACGGTCGAAGTACTCTTGGATCATGGTGCTGATCAGTCTAGCTTCGTTTTTCTCACTGCGAGTGACTTATCCTGGAGATGGATGCAATGGTTCCACAGCATTTCTCTGGTCTCAGTAGCTTTAATAGTGATTTATTATACGAGAGGTATTGTTTTATTGAGACAAGCTTCTGGTCTGCTGGCCATCGTCGATAGTCTTGAGAAAAGAGGATACGAATTGAAAAGAAGCGACGCCTTGAAGATAATGAAATTTTTTGCTTATAATAAAGTGTTTATGGAGTTTGCGCGCTCGAAAAAAATATTTAAACTTGTAAACGAGTATCACATGGCTATAACTGCCAATCTGTGCGAAAAAATGGCGAGAAGATTTTTCCAGCGATGGGCACTGGACTCTTCTATGGAGCTGTCACGCAACAAACCAAAATTTATATAATATTTGCTTGGCGGCTTCAGGCCAAACCTCGTGGTGGCGAAATATACGCATACTACCGGATACGAATCGTTATTCGGATTTTTTTCACCGTTACTATGTATAGTACCTGTTCGTTTTGGTTGTATTATATGTAGTACAGTTCTTACTAACGACAGAAAGTCTCGTCACAGGTTTTCTCTCAGGGCTAATTATCATTCTTTTGATTCCATTACGAGTTTTTTTTTTGTAGTTAAACAAATTTTGAAGTTTACACATCACCTGAATCTTGCACCAAGTGTCCAAAAACGTAACTTGACACAAAGGCAAAAGAAGAAAATTTAACTCGTTAAGAATATGAAAAAAGCTCTTGAAAGCATCTGTTATGTCTCGCAGTCAAATATTCAAATTTCGAAGTTTCGAAAAGTGCAATGAAAAGGGAGAGAAAAATCATACTAAAAAATTCAGTATAAAAGTTTTTAGTTTAAGATGTATATACAAGCCCTTAAGATTAAGTATTTTTTTAATACATTTTTTTATAATTTTTTTAATTTCAATCTAATAAAATAAAAATCATCTATCAGCACAATTATAAAGCACTGGATTTAATCTTAATCGCTTTGAATTTGAAAAAATATATTTTCTGAAAGAGAAAGTTCAAAGCTTTCGATTAGTATGTTAAAAATTACCCCTTACCGAACTAACTAATGAGTAATTAAACAAAATGTGCGTAAAATCATTGATTTCGAATAGTGCGAGCGGTTGTCTGCCTAATGCGAGAAAGAGACAGACAGACGCCTCACTATACTATTGTTATGATACTGTGTAGAGCCTCCATAAGTCTTGCTAACAAATAATAAATATTTTTCTACAAATTTATCAATAAATTAATTTAAAAAATTTCAAAAATATTCCCAGGCGCGCGAAGCGCGCTAAGATACAAGTAAAAAAAACAGGTATTTGAAAATAGTACCAACTATGGCCATGTCTTCCGGCAGCACGAAGCCACGAGCTAATGGGTTTACTGCGCAACGGCATTTTTGAACTTCTACGGTTTACCTTAGCTAGCCGAGAATCGACTGTGCATCTTCCTCATTCTGTTCCCAGCCTCGACTCGACAACCACCTCAAAAATGGAAAAATTTTACACGGCTTCTAGTTCTAGACCGCTTGTATTCTACAGTCCACGTAGAGTAAGCGACGTTGAACTTGGTTTAGGTAAGCATCTAAATTATCCATGACTATCGCTATTACGGAAAACTAGTATCAATCAATTAAAATCTAAATATTAAATAACCATTTAACTATTATACGTTTTTTTTCATATTTATCGTTTTTATTCAAAATTCGTCCGATTACTTAGACTAACTGCGTTTGGGTATACGCCACGTGCAATCAAAAATAATCGCCGGTCTTGACTCAATGAATGAAATTTCCTTTCATTTTTGCAGAAGTAGCGTGAAAGACTATTTGAAAGTAATATATTTAGTAAAAATTACGATATACATACTGGCTGATTTTCACTTTCGTGCCATTCAAAGATATTAACTTGTGCATTTACTTAACCTTTTTGTGAACACGTGCTCCATGTGCGTTTTTGTATGATGATCACTACATAACCCTTAGTGAAATACCATGATATTTATTCTTCCTTGGATGTCTGATGCTATTCATTAACATTTTTTTCATTTTTACATGCTGTAATTCAGGTTTTATTAAAATCCTTTTCAACTTTACAGATTTTTACCCAGAAACCCAAAGGACATTTTTATTAAGACTTAGAGATGTTGTACACTATTCCTTTCAAAGGCTTGCGGCATTTATTCTATGATGTTTCTGTTTAAACATAAGGTAAATATTGAATCTTCTTATTTTCAACAAATTCTTTATAATTGTTCTATGCTTCAAAATGATGAGCTGTACATGCACCACTCTTACTTGATAACTGGAGATTATGTAATGCTGATTAATTTTAAAGCGTTAATATTTAATTGATATTCTAACCTTCAGTCGATTAATTCATTTTATAATTTTGCAGATACCTCAATGAATTGAATCATGTAATATTTGATAGCTGATTACTTGGTTCACTGGATACTTCAAACTGCAGCTAATCAGGTTAATAAATGTTTAAGAATATATTTAAAATTAACCACAAGTTTAGACATTTTCAATGATGCTAACCAAATATGGTTTATCATAATGACTTTGATGACCCTTTCCCTTGGCTGTCTGATTTTTATTTACATTGTAAAATTAAAATTTGTAAAACTGCCACGAAATATCATATCTTATATTCAAATGTATTTTTAAAGGTCTGTTGCTGAACAAAACTGTTGAGAGTTTATGCTGCAGAGAATGCAGACATCCTGTAAAAACACTAGTCAAGGTAAATTCTACCTCTATATGTATTTTGCTTCTGTAAATTTTTATTGCACTTGTTTGTTTGTAACTTTATTCTTAAATGGTGCTAGAGCCATTATTATGATGTATTTTATCTTAGGACACCTTCAGAAAACAGATTGACACTGTTTTATGAGAATATATAGTTAAACTCTGAATAAATTAATTTAAAAATAAAAATTTATATACTTTTACATTTCTTGAATCTAATCTATAATATATTTTTTGTAAAGATGGGGAATTGGCTTGAAACATGAGGTGGAAAGGTTCAACTAAACCTACTGCTATGCAGAGATTCCCGTGGTTGTTACAGTTATGCTGTATCCATAAAAGGTAAAAATCTATTTTCGTTTTATCGTGTTATCCAGTATGTGATTATTCATACATCAACTACTTTGCCTTTAATTTGTATGACAAAAATATCGTTAAAGCCTTTTAAATGATGTATTTTATCTTAGGACACCTTCAGAAAACAGCTTGACACTGTTTTATGAGAATATATAGTTAAACTCTGAATAATTCCCTTATAAACATATATTTATATTTTTTTTAATTTTCTTGAATCTAATCCATAAAACACTTTTTGAACAGATGCGGAATTGGCTTGGAAATATCAGGTAGAAAGGTTCAACCAAACCAACTGCTATGCGAAGATTTCCTTGGTTCAGTTTCATCAATACTGTTACCACAAAAGGTAAAAATCTCTATTATTACGTAAAATTCTTTTATTGTAATCATTTCACTTTTATGATGATATTTACATGTCAGTTCTGCTACTGAGTAGTATTGAAGAAAATCCTTTTCTGAGATAATAATCTAAATTTTAATTTATAAAGTTTATATGTAGCATGATAGTAATAATTGGTATTTTTTTAAGGTGCAACTAGTGGTGATCATAAAAAAACGGAAAATATTAACCATCTTTTCAACGTGTATTACTTCAAAGGTGTTGATGACACCAGGTTTTTGATTCAGGAATGTTCTTATATCAGGTAAACGCAATATCTAATATAATATTTTATTTTGAATCAAAAAGGAATTTATTACATGATGATATTTACATGTCAGTTCTGCTACTGAGTAGTATTGAAGAAAATCCTTTTCTGAAGTAAAATTATTAAAATCTAACTATGCAGCTACAATTTGGCACAATCTTAATAATTGGTCATTTTTTAAGGTCTGGCTCCGAGGACCACAACAAATGGCAAATGTTCTAAATAATTTTTGCATCAAGTATTGACAAGCTTCATCGATAATTTAAAATAAGGTAAAATTATATTCTAATAATTTTATTTAAACATAAAGAAAAATGCATTATATGATGATATTAATATGTCAGTTCTGCTACTGAGTAATATTGAAGAAAATCCTTTTCTGAGCTTGCAATATAATAATTTTCTTATATGGTGATTTTGATTACTATAAAACTAATTGAATAAAATAATTTTTCAGGCTTGAACTGATATGGATTACGACCCATTGTTACTGCAGATTCAATGTTGGTTGTTTCGATGACATAAGGTAAGATAATGAATTCAATCAATGTTTATTTTTGTTAGAATGAATGATGAATTGAAAAACAAGCTTTTTTTCTATGATCTAATATGTTGATAGCTTTATTCAGATAAAGAATATTGTTTTTAAAATAGTTTGTGGCCTCGAAAATTAACACGTAGTAATAAGTTTTACTAACTTTATTAGTAGATATGTAATTTTTTATTTGAAAATAAAGAAACTTTATATGAAAATATTATGACTTATAATTTAAAAATCCCCAAATAAACCTCGAACTATGTCGAAGAATTAAATGAGTTTTGCAAGAAAAATGTTGTTCATACTGATGAATTGAATGAAAAAAAAAGTGTAGTTAATGGGAACATAATGGAAACCGAAAGAGTTTGTTTCTTCTGACTGTACTCGTGATGAACAAATTAGATTTTGTATTTTACTTTGTTAAACCTAAATGCGAGTCTGCGTAAGTTCACATTATTTTGCAAACGAGTTGGGTCACATTTGAAAAAATTTTGGTCATTACGTAATGCACGGAACAGCACTTAATCTTAAGAAGAAAATGATGATTTTCAGGGAATCGCATAAAACGGATGTAAAATAGTGTATTTTTTAAAATCTTAGAAATCTTTAAAATCGATCACATCGCTTACGATATACTTCAATTACTCATGATTATATTTGTATTAGGATGCATTAGGGGAAATTCAAATGATTGCCAATGAATATTATCAGAAATTTATTCACATTTTTTAAGTTAAACGAAAAATACATTAATTCTATAAGTTTTATTTCAACAATTATTTGATAAAAGAATTTTTAATTCATAAAACAGTCGTTGGTCGAGTTTCAAGGTACACTTTGATATCCTGAAAAGCTCTTATCTTCGAGATAAGTTTCGTTAAACACGGCTTGCCTTCGTTAATATTTTCACCCACAATGTTCGACATGATCTCGACGATGCCAGCGTAATAAATGTCAACCAACGTTAATTTGCCATTGACAAAGTGTCCTCCATTGCAAGCGACTTGATTCTCAAACTTATCCACGTAAAAAGGAATTTTAGCGAGAACTCGATCTTTCAGTACTGGCTTGACTTTGTCGTCAACTTCGTTGTAGTATTTGCCTATTTCTAAAAAATCACGTGCATCAAAATTCAACGTCATTTCATCGAAGTTCGCATTATATAATTTTTATATAAAAATATCGGCTGTAGGACCAAATTCAACACTTGCCCGTACGAATGTCGTTGATGTCGTCGAGCGCAGCGTCGATTCTCATCGCCTCGAGGTCATTATCGCCATAGAGATTGTATTTTTTCGCCAAGTATCGGCAGATCGACAAGTGCTGATGATATTTAACTCCGTCGATCTCGAGTACCGGCACCTGCTCCATCGGCATTACTTTGAACGAACAACATTTTTATTATATTTCACGCGATGACGCATCTCGCGAAGTAACTGATTCCGTACCTTTCTTGTAAACGTTGATCCAATCTTCGTACTCGAAGCGAACATCTTGATAGGGAACTTTACAGTAGTGCAGCAGGTATCTCAGCGGTTCGGCGACTCCGGTCACGTTGAAATAATAAAGTTTCCAATTGCTTTCGGCTGTTGCTGCTGCTGCTTTTGTCGACGACATTTTTAACACTCTCGAGTGGACGAACGTCGTGCACATCGACTCGTGCAAATTCCGCATTGGCCGCAGGCTCGAATTCGCCGTTTTCATGCATCTCGAGACACGCCGAATCATATCTTGTTGAGACAGTTTTCGAGCAAAGTCTGTACATTCGCTCGGTGGGGATATCTTTGTGAATGAGAGACGATTCGGTATACAGTGAAATCTATTCAAAAGTCGAAAGAAGACTGATTTTACTGTTTCGAAGCGTCCGGCTGAGTGTGTAAATAAAGGGTACTTTGTATACCATCATTTTAAATTTACTTTTACAGTAAGCGCCATAGATAAATCCACATTTTCAATTAAAATATGCATAACTAGTTTGTATCCAGGCTTACAAGGAGAGCTTTTCAGGTGCGGGTTATGGATTTGCTCCAAAATTTTTTTGCGGTCTGCTGGTACCCAATACTGAAGCTCCCTGTGCTTAGTTTAATCCGATGGGCCTTAGGGCCCATTTTGTAGAGGATTTTTCACATTATAAAAAAATCTTTGTTATTTTCTATATCGAAATAAAAGTACTTAAACGAAAAAATGGGACGATCAAAAGTTTTTAAATTTTTCAAAGAATCTGCTTGAATTTTTTCAGAATTTTTGGGACCATCTACCACTCCCTTTACGAAGTCCTAAAAGCTACTAAAAAAAGCGTCAAATTTGGGCCTCTTGAATTAAGTGATAGATGGTTCCAAAAATTCTGAAAAAATTCAAGCAGATTCTTTGAAAAATTTTAAAACTTTTGATCGTCCCACTTTTTCGTTTAAGTACTTCTATTTCGATATAGAAAATAATAAAGATTTTTTTATAATGTGGAAAATCCTCTACAAAATGGGCCCTAAGGCCCATTGGATTAAACTAAGCACAGGAAGCTTCAGTATTGGGTACCAGCCGACCGCAAAAAAATTTTGGAGCAAATCCATGACCCGCACCTGAAAAGCTCTCCTTGTTAGTTGAGTTCATTCGATCAAATTTGAGGCCGGAAATAAAAATAAAAATAAAGGATAAAAGTGAAATCGGTAGATTTCAAATAATAATATGTGGTGTAAGAACTTTCAATGAATAACGAATATTATAATATTCCATAATTAAATTGCGTAACTAATGAGTTTTTATAATTAAAATTATGCAATATTTTTAAAAGACTTGACCTTACCAATTGAATATTTTGTATAGGAGAGTTTATAATTTATTTTTTAGTTTTAATTGTCTAAGCGGAAGGAATCGGAGAAAAGCTTACGAGGCTATTGCGGTCAAAAAACAACCAAGATATTTTTAATATATACTTTTTAATCTTACTTGAAATAATTAACATATAAATTGATTATTAGTAAAAATATAATTCGACAGAAACATAAAATTTTGTCCTTTTGTAATATATAAACCAGCTTTTAACAGTTAAATATCAATTTTTTCAAATTTAAACAATTACAAAGACAGATAAAATTACATATTATTCCAGCATAGCATCTTTATTCTATAAACAATAAAAATCAGTCCTTTATAACAACTCAATGATATGAAAATTATCCATCAGGCATATGAAACTATTTTCTATTATAGGTATAAGTTTGCTATTTTTTCAATACTTTTATTATCAAAAAATAGATGCTTCTATATGTTGCAGACATTTTTTTGTGAAACGTCCAATGTAAAATGCTAATAATGTTAAAGTATGTACATCCGAGTCATACGCCGACCAGATGAATTGGAGATTCTTTTTTACTAATATCACTCTCGGCATTGGCTATATATTTCTGATTTAAATCGGTCTCGTTTTTGTTCTTATAACTATTCATACTTCGACAACATTATCAAACATTCGGGTCAATTTATTTACGAGTACAAAGTCATTTCGATCCAATCTTCCATTGAAAATGTTGCTTTGTTAGTATGATGCGGATCTCTTTCTCGGAAGGCATCTGTGTTTGTTGAAACAATAAAAAGCCAAAAAAAAATAGAAAAAAATTACAATTCGTAATAAGCCAAATCTTTGTTCATAATATAAAGGGTAATTAAGTATTGATAGATTGTGAATTAAACTTTCAAAGAGACATATTAGAGCGAATTGTTGGAATTTTTTTACTGTAAATATGAACATGCATTATTAGCGAAAAAAAACAATCGACATCCATTTGAAAGTTTAATTATAAACAGATATAGTTTTTGGAACATGCATATAGCTGTTCTACAGAGCATGAGGATCATAGGGTTCGTCTAAAAAGTCATATTCCGTAATTTCTTTACCGATCATGGTTTTTAATTTGACGGCGCACATAATATAATCGTCAAAAGCAATCATTCCTTCTTTTGTACCGTATCTGTGAACCAAAATATTAAGAATATGATTGTTTAATCTATATCCTGCGCTGTTCAGTGCCTGTCTCAGCTCGAAGGCGCTCAGGTATCCAGATCCATCTCTGTCGTAAAGTCGGAAGACCGTCTGCGAAAAAACGAACGGATTAATGTCGCGAGCTCATTATTATATTTTTTATATCAAGTGATGTGAAGCTATGATATACTCACTCTCCAGCTTCTGATGTCGCTCCAAAGCTCTTTGAACTCTTCGAAGCCTAATTTGCCAGAATGATCTTTATCGAGCATGGCAACCATGCTTCGGCATATATCTTTACTGAATCCTTCGCCGTGCATTTCTACAGAAAAATATATGAATAATTGAGTAAAATTATTTCATCTTTACAAAGCAAAGACAAATTCCATTCATTGCTTTATACTTCCGTGATTGCGATTCTTTTTTCTCTTCCGTGGAAGGATTATTATTTTGCTTAGTGAAAAGTTAAACAGTGACAGCGCAGCAAATAGAATTCACGCGTTACATTAAAAAGTTAATTATTGTTTAAATTATTATTTTTCTGTTTAAACGATTTATCATAATATGCAATAGAAGACAGATAATACGTCGAGATGATTAGAGAGATGCAATTTGAGATTATAATGCGTGTACTGATACTGATTTTTGTTGTCGTTGAAAACTGTGCGTGTGCGTTCTACACCGCGGTGTGATATCATTTGTAAAAAATAATTATAATTTACGTTGGATGAGCTCGGATACATTACCTGCTTCCTCGGTCTTAACGGCCTGTTCGTCTTTACAAATAATACCACAGAGCAGGGAGATAAGTGTATCGACGATGTTACCATCCTCAGGCGGGGTTTGGGGGGCACGTGCCTCACTACGGCGAGCCGGCGGCAATTCTACCCGAACAACAACACACACATAGCCACATGTTAGCATTACTCAACGTTTACACAATTCCATTTGGGTCTTGCTTAAATATTCTAATTCGTGTACATAATTGAATCATCGAAGTTTTACTTAATTTCATTTGTTTCATACAATAGTAATTTCGATTCAAATGGTTTTTTTTCCCCCAGATATTTTGACGAGCGATACAAGATGCTTCGTTTGAAAAATGTTCAAGCTTTCAATTCCAATGTTCAGTCGTTTTATCAGAGAGTGCGATTATATACAAATACTGTTGCACGAGAAAAAGTAAAAACTTCATTTGTAAATATGTGAATGTTTAGAAAGAAATTTCATCAAAAACTAAAATACAACACTTAGATGATGACAATGTTTTCTAAAAATCATTCACGTGGAACCATATCTCAAAAGCTTTAAATAATAACTACCAAAGTGTTAAGTGTTAAATACAAACATTCCATAACAATATTGAAAAGGTTGCTCGACTGAAAGAAAAAAAATAATAGACCCAAATGTATTTATGTAACTCTGTGTCACAAGCTGTTAGTTAAGCAATGGATTTGTAGAAAGTATGAGAGCTATCAAGCAAAAGTGTAGAAAAAGTTATTTATGGAAATATGGTTGTAACCAGTTATTACTAAAGCTCTTTGTTAGATCAATTAAGCTACACTTCCACATCGTCCAAATGATTATTGCTGTTAATTCGTTGCAGTTCATTCCAATAATAATGCTGTACAAAAAATTCTATAAAATTAACTTAATTCATTTAAAAAATAAGGACAAAATGTGTGCAGGAAATAAATAACATAAAATGATTCCGATAATATGAATCATGAAATTACTGTATGTACATCACTTGATGGCAATAATTTTACTATAAAATCATTAATCTCAATACTTTTCCGATTGCAAAATGTTGTCTATATAGTCTTCGTAGATGATTCAATGATATGTCTACTATTACTTTTTCAAACAAATGTCTATATTTGTAACGGAGGAGGGGGACAAGAGTAGGTTTACCTTTGCGCATGGCATAATCCAAAATTTCTTTCAATTCTTTCCAGTCGACTTCCATATCATCACCGGCGAGCTTTCTAAAGAACTCGCGCACTTTATCATCGGCGCTCGGGTCAACTGGTTGGGGTTGTACCTAAAGTCAAAAAATTTCATGTTATAATAATTCAGAGAAATTAAATAAACATAATATTTTTTTCGTTACTCGTTAACGACAAAGGAATTTTTGTTAGAGAAGCTTTGCAAACGTCTACTAACCTTATTATCATCGCCATCGTTATTTTGCGTAGGATTTTTCACCTAGAAAGCCAAGCAATTAATCGTGCAAAGTCGGTGTTAATATAGTACAAAGTGTCAATAAGCTGACTCAAGCAGCTGCGGTTAATGTTTTTGTTTTAATATATTCGTCAAGGATAATACACTCTTCACCACTCAACTTGCAAAAAAAAAAATATTACTCTCCAGTGCTTATTACACGTGCCAAGCAACAGTGAGCACAGAAAAATTCAGCACAGAATTTTGCTACTAAACTGTTCAATTACGATTAAAAAGTCTAACTATATTAGTGTAGTGTTGTATCAAGTAGAACTGAATTCAGCGTTATTTATACATACCCTGTCATCTACTTCGCCGATTCCAATTTCATCATCATTTTCTCTGCAAGTTTAAGGTTTTATAAATATATTTGGTAAATAAATCGCAGATATAAAATAGAATTGAGAAACATACACCATGTTGCTCTTGTTTTCAGAGAATATTCTGAGTAAAAATTCTCCTTCCTCATTCGGATCGAATGTGCTAGGAACTATGCAATAAACTCCTGGACGCAATTTAAATCGACAGCTCACTTCGCGCAAGTTGATGAAGGACGGCGAGCGTGCCACCGAGGCGTTGTACTTGAAAAAGTTGTAATCCAACGGTTTGGGTAATCTATCCGGATTTTCCAACTGCAGGATTATCAAAAATGCACGTTAGCCTAAGCCAAGAGGGTGGAATAAGTGATTTTTCATCGAAACTTTTATACGTACGTGATAGATGGCAAAACCGATGGTGAGACAATCGGCGCCCATTCGCCTTTGCGCTCGCCGATTTTTCTGCATGAGCGCCACGATGACGGTACATTTATCGTCGCCCTCGTCAGGGTGCTCCAAAGTGACGCGATATTGTGGATTGTGCCAGAACGTGTCTGCGTTCAATAAATAAAAAAAATGTCATCGTCATTAAACATTGGTTGAATTTCGTTTTTTTTTCTCGTTGTGTTGAAATAATTACCCAAATAATTTCTACATCCTCCGGCGGTGACACCTCGCACCCACTCGCCCTCGTGCACATTCATTTCCCATTTCTTCTTGCCGTGAGCGAGATCGTCCTCGGTCAGGGAATCGGGGTTCAAGTTACAAATTTCCAGGCGCATGAAGTACTTTTTGAAATCTTGGAACGACATCCAGAATTCACCGTCTACGTCGAACGTCAGACCCACGGCTTCCTTCTCGTGATCGGGTATAAATCTCCACTCCGGCGATCTTTTGAAACGTTAACGATTAAAGCCTCGATTATTTTAGGGGAAAAAAGAACAAACTATTTGATTTTTTTTTCGCGTTCAATCGAGACTCACCCGTCGCTCCACGGTCCATTCCATTCGGCCTCGTTTCCCCATGGATTTCTCAATCTCAGCAGGGGAATTTTTCCCGACTGATTGGGCGTCTGAATTTCCACGTGCTTTACGCACGTGATACTGTAGGCGTGTCCTCTTATCAAACCTTGAGGCGTCTCTGCTTCCAATACACTGGGATCGGGCTGAATCAGAAAGAAGTCGTGATCAACATATATATGAATCATTCCGAAGAATCGACCATTTTCACGTTATCCCTACCTCGATGGAGCAGCCCATGAGGGAGTTTCTCTCGTAGGCCTTGAGCAGGATGCCGAAGAGATTCGGCGGCGTCTCGTCCATGTCGTACATCTCGGTTACGCCGCCGGTGAAGTCCTCCATGGCCTCGCAGGTGGTACCGCCTTTAAGCGCCTCGTACGAGCCGTGCAGCTTGGCGTAGGCCTTCTCTAGCAGGGCGCTCCAGAACTCGTTGTCCTCGGCCGAGCGCAGATACAGCAGCTTGCCATGATACGTCGGCAGGCGATCGTCTATCACGACGTCCACCCAGCGTCCGTATTGCCAGAAACTGAGGACCAAAAAAAATAATAATTATAATGAAATCGTCAAGTTTTTTTCCAGAATTTCATTTCAGAAAGATCGACTGTATACCGGAAATGAAATATGCCGGCGTAATTCTCATCGAAGCTCTGATCCTCGGGTACAATTTGGAAGAACAAGTGAGGATGCAGAGTCAGATTGGCGACCGCGGCGAGCAACCAGCAGTCGCCTAGTTCGCCCTGCTGCACGTCGAACCTCGAGTAACCCTCGACAAATAATTGAGGATTGTCGGCGATTTCCTGTCGACGATTACAAAAAAATGTTGGTAAATAACAACGAATATTCACTGCGATCGTTCGTATATTACAAAATTGTGGGACTCGTTTACCATTGGACGTCTCCATTCGATGTATCTGTCCGGCCTCTTCGAGTAAAATATAGAAGAATCGATAGCCGGAAATTCTGGGTCTTCGAAGAGCCTTCCTTGCGAGAGGCATTCCTGTCTCAGCTGATTGAAGTCTTGCGTCGGGCCGGTACTTTTTGAATGAGAGCTTCTGTCGCCGAGCTGAATTCAACATTTTCGTTCGTTAGATTTTTTATTTAAAATTAAAAAATAATACTGTACGAGCGTGACGCGAGTTTTTCATATAGATAAATTGCTATCGCAGCGCGAAATGGAGTAATGGAACGCAATTTGATTGTAAGGACCTTGTATTCCTTTGAGCCTTAAAATTATTATTCCGCTTCAACTTTGATAAACGACCATAAGCACTAAGGTAAATTGGAAAACGAGGCTCGAAGGGGTGTGACCGCTTTAATTCTACAGATGCGCACGATTTGGCCTTAGAAACGTATCGCGAATGAACTTATTAATGTCAACTGAACATTCTTTCATTTCTCAAGTGACATCGTCAAATGATTTGGAACTATTATTATTGATAAAATAGTCATTAGCGAGCAATTTGAAATGAACGAAGGCTTGAATTTTTGAACGAACAACAAGCAATACATAAATTGACTCTGCAAGAGGATGACCTTACAGCAGAGTTATAACTAATTACAGAGTTTCGATGCACGGAAGGTGATGAATTGATCGTTCAATGGCAAAAAAAGCACCGAGTCAACAGTAATAAATGAAATAATTAATAAGAAAATATCACTATGCTGCGCGAGATAAAAATAAGTATATATAAATTACAACTAAGGTGTGTGGATCGGCAATTAAACAGGTTTCAATAATCATAAATTCTCGAGACTAAACAATGCTGCGGCATTAATATAAAATATTCTCTCTCTCTCTCCAAAACACAACATCGCGCGCTAATGGAGGTGCCAGAGAGAAAGAGAGAATGATGCGATACATATTATACGCGAGTCCGATCCGCAGCACAAATAGCATCGATCGACGATGACCACATCGTGTTGTGCGCCGATCTCATCGCCGATCACTATACGTAATGATATATAATGTGGAATCGATTGCGCATACAGCGGCAGGCAATCTCGCGAGCTCGCGTCACGCACGACGCTGCGCAGGACTCGAAGCGATGTTTGAAAAGAAAAAAAAGAAAAAAATTGGTTGTATCATTGTATATCGTTGCGTACCACTTTGATATTGAAGAGCGACGGCAGTATGCGCTTGACCTCGACGGCCTTTTTAATGAAGACGTCGAGGCCCGGCTCGCTCGCGTGCGCGTAGCCCTCGCCCTCGGCCGAGTCGTAGCCACCCTCGTCGTCGCATTTGTACATCGTCGCTCGTAAAGGGCACTCTTTATTTTTTTATACAAATAATATAATATGTATATCGTTTGTCCTGAGTGAAAGTAAATATTGATAAAATCGAGGCCGGCTTCTCGAGTGTTTACGTTCTGTGCATACCCTATACAGTGCATGAACGTATGCGTTTATATTTGTACACGACGGGAGCTAAGAGATAAATAAATTTATATCACGCCCCCATATGGAAAATCGGAAAAAGCCACGTGACGCGCACTTTGAGGTTTAAATCCTTTTAAAGAAATGAGGAAAAAAAGAAAAGCTGCAACTCTATTTTCGCCGCTTGTAACGAGCTCTCTCTCTCTCTCTCTCTCTCTCTCTCAACATACATGCATGTGATTCATTCGTTAATGTATAAAACTCGAGCAATTCAAGGCAACGCACACAAAGTCCAAGTCGCACTACACAGACAACATCACGTATATCGTATACGCACGAGAGATTGAGATCGAGTTTCCGAGAAAACCGACCGTGCACTCAATGGTATTAGATCTCGACGAATGCAGTTTTTAACTCTTATTTATTCTTTTTTTTTCGTCGGAAATTCGATTGAAAGCTCGCGGGGGAGGAGGGGCGTTTGCTTGTTTACAAACAGTGTACGAGAAACATCTGCTGCACGAATGAATTTCCTCGCCCTGCTCCCAACATCGTGTACCAAATATAACGTTTGCACTGTACTAGGTATGCACGCAGAAAACGTCGACACCGAGACCACAGCCCGAAGTTGTACTGTCACGTATCGCGATTCGTATACCTATTCGTTGTATATCACGTACTACTACTACTGCACTGTAAGAGCTCAATAACTTGTTGCACTGGCTAAAAACTGTACACGTTACACATATATCTGCGGCGAGTTTATTCGACGGGACGCGACGACGATCCGCAGTTCAGAGCGGATCCACATAGACTGACCGAAGATCGATGTATATATATATGTAGGATTATGCATGCAATAAGGTGTATATATATCGCGCGCATTGCTAGATACGTGCCTGGTGAGCTCATCCGTGAGCACGAGCGTGTCGAGCTTCTCCTCTTCCGTCATAATGTAATTGTGTTGCAAAGAGCCACAATGCTATATCTATATAGTATTTTCGCATAGGATCGTATTATGATCGACGAAAGAGAACGGGAGAAGGTTACGAATGCCTCGAGGCGGAATTGACATCGACCGGCTGCTTATGTATAGACGGCATTCGACGTCATGTTGTTGTTCTTTTTAATTGTTTGGTAGGCGCCGCAAAAGTATAAGACGTGTACTCGTACGAGCGAGCGATACCAAGCATATAATAATATAGCTTGGAGGTTATAGAAGTACACTTGTCACAGATTGTTCATTGACAAGAGAGAAAAAAAAAGTAAATATGTGGATCAAAAAAGGGAGAAAATGTGCGCATCTACGCGAGAAATCCGTTTTAAGCGGGCAGTTATAGCGCAATTTACTTTCCGGTAAAACGACGAATTTTACGGGAAGATTAACTCGACGAAAGACGCGTGATACGCGATTCGTTTATATATTATATCGAGATACACAAAGGTAAACAAAAACAAATGGAACGGTTTCATCGCGGCGCGAGAATCAATATTGATAAATGCCCGCGAGGCTGCGTGTGCGGGGGTGTGTGCGCGCGCGCGTGTGTCAAAGCTGAATCGACACGTTTCGCATCTGTGTGCAGCGAGACTTATCGAATGCGGGGTGTGTATCGAGAACAAATCGTATTATAATCGTAGCTGCCACAGGCTATTATTTTCTTAATCATCGGATGATTATTCAGTTTTGCTTGTTGCGGAACGATCGGACATCGATAAAGAAGAGTCTCGTGTGTTGATACGAAAGATTGTAAAGCGATTCAAACTACACGAGTGCAGCTTCTTTTTCCCGTCTCTCTCTCTCTTTGACTCTCTAAGAAAATATTGCTACGGCTCGTGCCAAATGCAATTGCAGCAAATGCATAATAACTGCGACAGGCCATTTGTGAAGCGTGAAAAATGAGACTATAAAATTTCGCGAGATGAAAGACACAATGCTCCATAAAATCGCTGCAGGTGCATTAATATTGCCCCTCGACCTCGTTAAGCACGAAATAATGTGTAATTTTTAGTGCGGAGGTTGTTCTTTTTTTGTAATGTTTATTGCCTCGGAAGCTGACTTTTTTTGTATACTGCACAAAGCGTGAGATGAGCCATTAAAAATGTATCGAAATTTAAGTTTTTACGATACGTATAAGCACCGAAACGAAAGGAAAAAAATGTGCTAACACTTGCTAATTGAATATACTTACATATTCGACTTTTTTCGCCTGCTTTCGCTCGAAGGTTGGCTCTTCGATGACATGCTGGCTCCAACCGTAATTCATACCCGGGCCAGAATTTTGGTAATACATCTTCTACGTAAATATCAACTGTTCTCTCTTCGTTTTATAAAGTTATGTATCGCTTATAAATAATTTGATTTTCTGAAAATTCCTCGTATCTGTCATAAGCTATCACTGTTTATTCATTGTAATATGTTCCTATAACGATTCCTAAAAACGACAAAAATCAAAAAGAATTAGAACAAACTCGGAGCAAAAAGGTCTAACCGCCTCGAATTCTACGTCGGGTCTTTTGTTCGACGACTCGTGTGCATGCGTCAACGAATTATATACATTTGCGTCTGCTGCATAGGCCCGTAAGTGTCGCGTGTTAAAGTTATAACTCATCACCCGCGTGCGTGTACCATTATAAACGCGTATACGAGGATGAAACAGCAGCAGCAGCAGCAGCAGCAGCGGTACACTTTGGAGCTATGCTGCTGCGCTGCTGCGACAGCGGCGGTGGGTGCGAATTATGATGGGTTTAATTTTAAACTATCGCGAGCTCTATGCATAGAACCGATTGTACATATATATTACGTCTGTGTGTACGATTTCGCGATCTGTTTGTTGTTTTTGTCTATTGGTACTATATACACGAGGCGAGTCACTGCAACCGTTCGTTCATCGTTACACTATGTTATTTTTTTCGCGTTTGTTTTACAAACATTATCCCGTTTTTAACGACTGCAAACATCGTCCGAGAGTTGCATAAATGTCGTGTAATGCATTTTACATAGAAGGCTTTGCCTGTATATTATTATCAACATTGACCTTGTGGGGGGCTCGACGTGCTCGCTCGCGTATAGTACCACTACTGGCACATGCATCGCGACGATCGATGATTGTGCGTCTCCGGCGTTCTGCAGAGTTATAAGCATTTTCAGAGGTAATATTAAAATTCCTCTCATGCGAACTACGGAAAGAGACCGAGAGACGCGTTATTCTTCCGCGAATTCTTTAAGTAGTTAAATTCCATGTGATCCCCATCGGAGTGACTTATTTTTAAGTAATGTAGTGTTTTCGAAAATCTCAACTTCGGTTCGTGAGTTATATTTAAAGAAGAGAGAAAAAAATAATGAAAACACGAGCGAACGACAGACGCAATTTCGGACAAATTACTTTGCGTGTTACGCGCGGTTTCGAATCTCGGGCTGTATCGCGATAATAAAGATTCTGACCCACAGAGCATATGCTCTCAAACGTTTCCATAATAATAACAAATCAGCTGTTGACGAAAGTATCGGTGTAAGTAGAAAGTTATACAAGAAAATACGATCGCCGCTTCCGTGAGCGTTCGAGAATATTTGTCAATACAGTTATCCCTCACGAATTAATTATTTTTTTCAAAATATTTTTTTCCATTCATTATCATTGATTCGTTTTCTCGCGAGCTGTTCGTATGTGGTGACGAATTCCTTCGATTCGCGAACCTGCGCGCGTCCTGATTCTTGTCCTACTATCCTCGTCACCTCGATAACACGAGATATCCAGCAGACGCATTCGAAACGATCATGCACTTTTTGCATTGAAAACACGCGCGCACACACATGCACACACAAGTCGAATTCACTGCCCAAAACTCGTCAGCTTGAATTAAACATGCGAGATAAACTTTATGTTACTAGATATTTGCACGCGCATCGCTTGCATTATATCGATGCCGTAACGTTTAACCTTTTGATGCCACAGCGGCACTGCACAAAGTAACTTTGATACACAGCAATATAAGGCGCGCAACGTTTTGCGCTTATACGACGATACTAATCGGACGGCGTAAAGTTTACAACTGAGGCATCGGCTGCGTTGACCGAGAGCCTTGCCGAGTTTTTTTCTGGAGCACTCGGCAGCATGTGTCGTGTGCCCCGAACGCGCGGAACGTTTATACAGGCGACGCACAGAAAAGCAGCAGCAGTAGTATACCTTACATGCCGGCAGTCAGACAGAGCCACGATAATTGGGGTATATAATGTTCTGTGCATATACCTATATAAAGTGTGCGCGAATATACTGTATACCGTAATTGTACGTGGCCTGAATCGCGCGCCGGCGCAAGCGTCTTTTTAGCGTCAGTCAAGCCGCATATGAGAGACTTTCAGCTAAAGGTTACACTACAATCGCACAGTTATTGTATTACGCCGCGCGGCACGGAACTTTGCGTTTCAATTTCAGTTACCTGTAAAAGACGAGGATCAAAGTGCAGCACGTCTTCTCCCCGAGGAAATCTCGTATCATCATCGAGACAATTCGAGCCTCGGTTTTGATTATCGCCGCATCGCGTCTGGTATATTAATATGCGATACGCGTTACGCAATCGTACACGCATAGCAATTGACCAAGACGCAATATTAATTAGCCTTAATTGACATAAAACGTTGTTTCTAAAGCTATTCGGATCTTTATCGGGAATAAACGTCGTGGCTTGCACGCTTAACATGTAAAACAATTGCGCTAATTAAACATTGTCTTTTATGTCGGAATCGATTAGTTAAAAATGTGAAATTTAATTATAATTATAAAACGCTATGATGTATTTCATAGAAAAGAAATTTATTCGTAGAGATCTCGAAATCCTTAACCGGTCGTGAAAATATTAAAAAGTACAAGTAATAATTTAAGTGTAAAGTACAGATTGGCATAAACCTTCTGGCTTCGGTATTATTATTATTATTACTAGGGTCCACTATTCAGGGTTTACAAACATGGTGTTCACAAATATATAAGTTGACACTACATAATTCAAAGTGGCAGTGAACATTTCCATATTGACAATCACATTTGGCGTATATTTTATTTTCAAACTAAGTCCGCATCGCGCACTCATGATTTCGAGATCTTTCAAATACTGTCGATTTGACGCGTGCGCGATGTAATTATACAAAACTATTCCAGCGCCTATTTGAGATGTTAATTCTTGTATAAGGTCACCAATTAAACACATCAAAAATAGGGTAGACGAGCATGCGGCAAATGTAATTACATTTTTTATAGCCAAAGCTCCATGAGTCTTCCAGCTAATCTGAAAATATTTATTATTTATTAGTGTTGAATTACAAAAAAAATTATTAAACGTTTCATTTCCCAAATAATTGATTATATTAGCTTTTTTCTACATGACATGAGAAGTAAAAATATTTATACCATCTATTCATTCATTAAAAAAGTGACCATTACCTTTTCTATAATAATTGTTCCGAATATTAAATAAGCACCGTAACAGCAATTAATCACGAAGAAAGTGCAATGCACGATTATGCGCATCTTCTTGCCATACTCCAAGGCTCTATTGTGCCGCCGAATGATAGCGTGCAAGGTGGCTATATTCTTGCCCCGCAAATCTTGCACTGCAGTGTGAATAATTTCGAACTCTTTGCAGATTTGGCACAAAAATGTGCACAGATAAATATCAAAGGACATCCATGCTGGCACCATGATGGCAGTCGCTATGATCTGTATGATAGCTATCGTGGCAAACCTATAAAAAAAAGGTTAATCTTATTTACACGAGGCATGATCAATTTTTTTTTATAACTACTGTGGTTGAATCGTGAGTTTGTGGAAAAATTTATATTTTATATCGCTTTATTTTATTTTCACTTTTCGGGTTCCTTTCTCTTAAACGAAATTTTACCATCTGCGAAATAAGTAAAATAATTAACATTTCGAATAAAGTAAATGGTTTTCCTTTGAAAAAATATTATCGAATTCTTAGCATGAAATATTACTTTGAGTCAAGATATTCTGACTTATGATAACCAGGAAAGGGAATTTCCCCGAAATATAAAGGAGGAATTAAATAAAACAGCGCCCCGCTTGAATAGCCAAAAGCCACAATCTTTATCAGTAAATCCCGAATGAATCTCCACCTATTGATTATTTTCAATTCCTCCACGCTCAATGATTGGATTGGTCCCGTTTTTTCCATTACGATTGCCTGATTTATTAAACCGTAGATTTGAGGCCTCAAAAAATATTTACACCAACAATTATTAAATCAAGTAAATGTTCAAAATAATGGTAAGTCTTTGTAATGTTTACCTACCTTAAAAATAAGAACAGATAAATTCTTACCGATGCTGTTATGAAACCAACTAAAATACTGATGAGCCTTAAAATATAATTTGCATGCTTTCATTTCATTGATTAATTTTCAATAAAAGTACCTCCTCAAATTGACATTTTGAAAACGTCAAGGAGATACCTAAAAAATAATATAAATTTATATACTCTATAAAGTCTTCCGTAGAATTTGATGTTAAAAATCCGCTAATTACGTAAAATGATAATCCCGTTATACAAATGCTTGGCAGCACTTGATGGACTTTCTTCATCACATAATTAGGATAGTTTGATTGGTTGAACGGCCAAGTTCCGCCAAATATGTGTATAAATTCAAAAGAATGAAAAAGATCATAATTTTCAAAATTATCGTCATATACTTTTGTAAACTTTTCAGTTAGTCTTTGGATCATTTTAAAGGACAGTAAAAGACAAGGACTTCAAAAAGACAGCCTCTACTAGATATAAAAATTCAAACTGCGGGTGAAATACCTCATGCATTTTTATCGATCAGGACAAATCATAGTATTATGCTGTACAAAAGAAATAATTGAAACTATAGCATACTGTGTAATGCAATAGAAATGTGAATTGAAATTGGACAATGAATTCATTGATTGTATATATTTAATAACTGATAATTACAAGTAATTATTTTGCTTTACAGAGCTTGCTCAATTAAAATTCAACCAATACTTTATAAATTTTTTAATGAGCCTCCAAGTCTAACGGTCATAAAAACCCCAGAGTATCGGAAAACAGTCGAAAAGACACCTTGAATAGCCTTTTTTTATTACTCTTGGGTTTTTGTGGGCGTTAAAAATTTCATCACAAACCTCGATAAGTAACAACTTCAAGAAAAGATTATACCAAGAACCAAAAAATTTATGAATTCGTAAAAAGATATTTGAAAATGTTTCAAAATTCTCGTACAGTTTCTGTTGAAAATATAGGGGTTTCGTTTCTGGAACTTAAAGCACTATCAGAAAAAATCTGAAAAAACCATGTATTGTATGTAGGTAAAAAAAATATTTTTCCGAGTACATTTATTTCTGGGCCGTTCCTTCCTTGAAAAATCGATTTTCGTAAAAAATAAGTATTTTTATCTTCATCGATTTTGCCGGCGGATTTATGAAGAAGTAAGTAAAAAAAAAGTAGAGATAGAGATTTTATTTTAAGTTGATAAATAATAATATACACACCCATGAAACAAAAAAAGAAAGCCTCAAAGCTGATCTTCCTCGGCTTCGTCTTGGATAACAAAGGCACGTGACTTGACTCTAGTTTTATTTACTCTCTTCGCCTTATTTTATTAACACTATTCATTTATCATTTCCTGTGTAAAGATTCCAAAAAAATTCTGAATGAATTAAAAAAAATAAAAATAAAAATTAAAATACAAAAAATTTTAATCTGACTGTATGAAAGAATTTATTTTATTTTTATTTGTTTATATGAAAATTATACAACATTAACACTGGACATAATAAAACTATAAATGTGGTTATTGACATAAGGCGCTTTGTTCTTCAGCTGCCATGCAAATACGCTGCAAATCTTCGTTCTTCAGCTTCTCTATGATAATTTGACAGCAAAGAATTGGTAATCGATAGCGCGTCAGTTCCATGAAAGAATTCAGTGCCCATCGCTGAAAAAATCCTCGTAATAGTATCTCGCATAAGTAAGTATTACACGTCAGGCGAGATTCTTCGGGGAGCACCCACTGTTCTTCTGAGTTTGCAAACTTCAAGTAATCCTTGTATTTGATTAATTTCACTGCCTCTTCGAATCGTAACTGGATTAGGTCATAAAACGTCAGATTCGAATGTATCATAATCTTTTTCATATTCATCGCAGAGTATAAATCGATTTGAAAAAATTCTTCAGGTTCCACCGACTTCTCCAACAATCCGTTCTTAGCGAACAAGTTCGTGATAATCAGAGCGCCACTAAGATCCAGTTCGTATCCTTTTTTCTCTAGAATCTCGATGACAGGCAGTACGCCGATCGCTCGTTGTATTTTATAAGAATACCTTCCGATTCCTAACACTTCAAATCCCTCAACGAAGTGATCCTCAGTTGGAAAAACGAATTCGGCTCCACGATCCAACAGTGCAGTAACGGCATTCGGCAAAAATCTCGCTACGGCCCACTGCAGCGGTGTTCGGTTCAATTTGTCCTTCGCGTCGACCTGCACTGTCTGATTGACTTTGTCGATAATCTTGAAGAATGATTCCACTAGGTTATCGTCGTATTCTCGCCGGCAAATAATATGCAGAGGAGTAGATCCCTCTGTGTTAGCTACATTGGAATTGGCGCCTCTTCTCAACAAAAACTCGATCATTGCGTCCTTTTTGTATCCGTTTTTTAGAGTAAGATGCAATGGTGTATTACCGAACTTGTCCGGGATGTCGACCGGCACCGCCTGTTGAATTTCTTCATTAATTTTAAAAAATAGCTCCGCTAGGTCTACTTCGCCTCTCGTGCAAATAATATGCACAGGAGTCAGTCCCTCTGCATTGGCCAAGTTCGGATTTGCGCCGTTTCTAAGCAGTATTTCGGCCTTGATCTTGAAGCCGTAGCCCAGAGCCAAGTGCAATGGTGTATTTCCTAACTTGTTTTGAGCATCGACTTGCACTGGATGATGTATGTCGTCGCTGATCTCGAATAACGTCTTCACCAAGACATCGTTGTGACACTGGGAAATAATGTGCAGAAGTGTCGATCCGTAGTTATTGACTGAATTCGGATTTCGCCATTTTTCAATAGTAAATGTGCCAAATTTCTCTGATCATTTGACAGAGCACAGTATAAGGGGGTAAAACCATAACTGTTCTGGGCATCGACCTGCACTCGATGATCGGTGTCGTTGCAGATCTTGAAAAATATATCTACAAAGTCATGAACATTGTGGGTTGAGTCGCAAATAATGTTTAGTGGTGTACATCCGTAATAGTTAGTCAAATTCGGATCAGCGTCGTGTCTTAACAACAATTCCATCAAGTTTTTGCACTTAACAGAGAAAGCTACGTGTAATGGTGTATTACTGAATTTGTCTTGTGCATTAACTTGCACCAGCTGATTTTTTTCGTCGCTGATCTTGAACAAGATTTCCCCTAAGTCATCGTAATCGTCGCCTTTCTGACAAATTAAGTGCAGAGCAGTTGTTCCATGCTCATCGGTCAAGTTCGGATTGGCACCTCTTTTCAGCAGCGCTTCTGCAGCCTTTTTCCTGTCAAATCTCAGGGCCACGTGTAATGGTGTCCGACCCCACTTATCCCGAACGTCGACATTCATCGTCTGTTGGACGTCGTGGCAGATCTCAAAGAATACTTCCTCCAAATCATCATCGCGAAAACTCTGGAAAATCATGTGCAGTGAAGGTAATCCTTCTGCATTGGCCAAATTCGGATTCGCGCCGTTTCTGAGCAGTATTTCAGCTGTGATCTTTAAGCGTTTATACAAAGCCAAGTGTAGTGGTGTATTATCCGATTTGTCTCGGGCATCGAGTTGCACGGGCTGGTTGATGTCGTTGCAGATCCTAAAGAACGTCTTCGCTATTCGCATGTACGAATTATCATTGTACCAACTGCAAATGGCATGCAGAGGAGTCATTCCGTTCTTGTTAGCCAAATTCGGATCTGCGCCATTCCTCAACAACAACGCAACCACCTCGTCGCGCTTGTATGTTATAGCGCAGTGCAGCGGCGAATCACCTAATATTGGCCAGATGCAATTGGGATCCTGGCCGAGCTCCAGGAATTTTTCGACGATATCGTCACATCCTGACATACAGAACACATGAAAGTGTGTGAAGCCGTACTCGTCGGTGTAATTAACATCGAATCTGTCATATATTTTCAAAAGTTCATAAATGTGCCTGTAACCAATCGCATCGTGAATTGGTGTGGAACGACATAAAAGTGGCTTGCCGTCTTCATCAACGTCGGGCACGTCTTTGTAGCCACTCAGAGCCACGAAGCTAATGAATCGTTTTCCTGGGGTTTCGTTATCTCCACATGTTACATCTTTTATTATGGACTCGGAGAGAAGCCAATCAATTTCTTCGGGACGAAAAATGTCTCGAAAATTTGGAAGTTGTCCCTTCCAACATTTGATTAAAGGGTCAAGTCGACGCAGAAAATTAACTCGTTCTTCTTCGATCTCCCAATCAAACTCTTCTCGCATAGTTTTTAATGTTGTTAAACAATCTTGATAACTTTGGTCCATCATTCCGAGCACTCACACACAAAACACTATCGATCAGAATTCAAGATATTTTTCACTTTTTTCGCGAGAATCACTCTAGTCCAGGCCCCAGCTTCGCAATGGTCAAAAAAATTTTTTTAGTCGAGTTTTTTACACATTCTCATGTAAAATTGCCCGCTGAATCCGAATTTACATGTTGCCAGGCCCAAAAACGTGCCCAAAATTGTTTAAACAAATTTTGTTTAAACAAATGGTCAAAATTTATGTTTTTTGACCTGGCAGTACATTTTTTAAGTTAATTGGATCATTTTAAAGAGAAAAGGTCTCTTGACATTTTTCTCTAAAGTTGATAGATTTCGAGTTATTCAACATTTTATGTTGCAAAAAAATCGAAAATGTCCAACTTTGACATTAAAAAAATATGTGAAAAACGTAAAATTTAGATGTTGCCATAGCGTTTTCTTATACTTCAAACATCCCTTTATAAAGTCCCGAAGCGTTTTAGGCGATAAAATTGATGAAAATTTCAAGCGCATGTTGCGGGAGCAATGCGTATGGCTAACCATACCGTCAAACTCGCTGATTTAAAAGTTGATAACAAACAGGTTTTCAAAAATTTTATCGTCTAAAACGCTTCGGGACTTTATAAAGGGATGTTTGAAGCGTAAGAAAACGCTATGGCAACATCAAAATTTTACGTTTTTCACATATTTTTTTAGTGTCAAAGTTGGACATTTTCGAGTTTTTTGCAACATAAAATGTTGAATAACTCGAAATCTATCAACTTTAGAGAAAAATGTCAAGAGACCTTTTCTCTTTAAAATGATCCAATTAACTTAAAAAATGTACTGCCAGGTCAAAAAACATAAATTTTGACCATTTGTTTAAACAAAATTTGTTTAAACAATTTTGGGCACGTTTTTGGGCCTGGCAACATGTAAATTCGGATTCAGCGGGCAATTTTACATGGGAATGTGTAAAAAACTCGACTAAAAAAATTTTTTTGACCATTGCGAAGCTGGGGCCTGGACTACTCACTGCGGCGGTTGCGACGGCGATCTCTCTTTGTTCACGCTGCGGCGTCGTAACGTGTACTGACTGGACTGGACGAAGTCTTATGTTTGTCGTTCCAAACTCCAAAGCAAGCGAGCACAAGAGAGACGTTAGACGAAAGCGATGCTGCTGCCTATTAGGCATTGTCCCGATATGAGTTGACCGCGAGGTGGCGCACTTGTGTTATCCGACTTGTTACTATTATTATTATTTCTACACAGTGTAACGTCCGTAAAGCAGACGACGAACTTCTTTTCGCTATATAAATTTTCGCGAAAAACGTACCGTGCGCATGACGTCGCATAACACAAGTGCGCCACCTCGCGGTTAACTCATATCGGGACAATGCCTAATACCTATAACCGTTACAATGTCTCATTGAATGCGGCCAAGCAAAAGTGGCGGCAACATGAGCAGTGAGCAGAAGCGAGTCGAAGTCTACACTCAAGAACGCCAACTAAAACGCGCCAAATTTTCTGAGTATAGTGAGAAGTCTATATTTCTATGATTACACTTATGCTCTCTCGTTTTTCATGGATTAATTTCTTGATATCCAACTTGCGTAAAGAAGTTTCACTTTAATAGAAGTAGAATAAAAAAATAGTACAATTATAATAATCATTCGCAAAATTCCTCCATCGAGTAAAAATGATAAAATATAAGTCCATATTCCGGATGTGCAGCGTCTTTTGTTCGATTCATGCGACGAGTTTAATGATCTCTTCATACTTTGTATTCAACCGATCGAGTTAAAGGTCAAACTTGAAAGAAAAAAAAATGACACCGATGTGTATAATTAATAATTCGACGCGTTCGTTGGCCCTTGCGTCGTGATCACCTTGCGCGACCTTATTTGGGCGTCCTCGAACGCGCTCGCGAGAGACAGTAAAACAAAAAAAGTTACGAACGTTCGTCCGCGCGATACGTGAATCGAATCGTTTCGCGCGTAAATTTTTTTTTTATCATCGTCGAGAATTGAGAAAGGCATCGACAGTATATCGGAGAATTGATTGCAGAGAATCTGCGTGCGCAATGCAGATCCCGTGGGCGTGGGAGCTGAATATTATAAATTTCTGACGATAATGCGCGTAAATACGTATCCGGTGACGTACGGGTTTTGCAAGTCTTTTTTTCCACGTTTAAATCAAGATTCATGAAGACTCTATTTTTGTGAACTTTTGCGTGGAAAACAACGCAGAGCGAGAGAAGCGCGCGAAACAACAACAAAAAAATCCAAATTTCACGTGTTGTACGCAATACTTCTGTTTACGTATGTGCGAGTTTCACGCGGCAAGGCTATTTTCGTACACTACCTGCATTTACGAGTTTTTTGCCCGAATGAGAGCTTGTGTACGGGCGTAAAGATATGTTAAAAATATACATACGTGTGTGTACTCTCGCGTGGTTTAATGAGTTTAAAAAATTCAAGATCTTTTTTTTTTGAAAATCATTATTAACGTTGTAATGAATAGGTTGCATTTTTTCGCTGGTTATTGGCTACAAATCGATTGGCAAATCTGCTTTTACATATGAAGACAGGAAAAAAATGTCTTTGGGTACTTTAAATCAAAATGAAAGGTTTAAATGGCTCTCTGAACAAAGTGGCTTATGAGTCATGATGCATACAATGATTCGTATTCATTTGTCAGTTTCCGGGTGCAGATTACATTCTCGAAAATGGATGTATTGCTTTCCATGAAATTATAAGCATCAATAATTTACTTTTTTGTAATATGCTCGGTACGTTCATTGATCAGCTGAACATTATTTATATAATTGGTGAATGAAAAATTAATCTTTCTCCATAAACCTTCGAAATTTTTTGAGTCCTTAATTTTTTTTCTCTCGAATCGATTCTCGTTCGATTGATAAAATATTTCAAAAAGACACGTACGAGGTCAAGATCCAAATTCTTTGACGTGTGAACATTCGCAACTGAATATAATAATACGATTAACGTCAATGCGAAAATGTTTACAAGCTTTTACGCGAAATGATAAATGTATTAATCATCGGTGCGTAATTTTGGAAGCCTTGTTAATTCCGATACAAATTGGATTTACTCATGGTGTATGCATTGATGGGTAACCTACATGCACCAAAATTCGGTTCAGTGAATTAAATCAATATTGAAAACATCTGTGATTCGGCTTAAAATCATCATGATTCAACTAATAAGCAGTAGGTCAAATTTGCAGTTCAAGTGCGTCGTCGACCGCGGTTACAAGTATGGGAAAAGTCATGCATGACGCGCGCGCGCATATAACAAATATTCGGGTGAGTAAATAATAAAAAGTCGTAGTCACGATTGACTGATAACTTTATTTTTAATGGTTTTGACATCATACATGTAAGTCGCATCTTCATTCGTTTCGTGCGTCTCGTCTCGCGAGGTGTGCACTTTCGGAGACGTTCGATACATAGCGTTTATCATGCTAAAAATCATACAGCCTAATATTTTTTTCGTCTCTCCCACAAAGAATTTTAGTATTATATATGTCCATGTATATTATTATTAACGTACGTTTACGTAATAAAAAATAAAAAAGAGTCGTTTGTATTTTTCTCACTCTCCCATTATTCGGGTGTTTCGTTTGCTTGGCACCTTCGAATGAGTGTATTTTTTTTATAATATTAGGCATTGTGTCTTACGTTTCGGTTGAAAAAATCATCCAGTTCGAGACTAATGGCACATATTGTATTTTCTCATCTGGTTTATAAAATTGATGAAATCAAATTACATTCTCTCGTGAGTCGTCGATGTATATGCGCTTATTAAATAATAAGAAAACATAAATGACCGTGAACACTACACCATAAAAAATGCAAAGTGTACAAAACTTTTTTTCTTTTTCAAACATATTATCGATACAGAAAAATGGTGTTGTTTTTTCATAATCAAACTGTAAAGTGTAATTTTTCATATTAAATTTATATATTTAATTCGTTGCTGAAGAATCCATCAGAAATTTTTTTCACCGTATTTTTCCACATCGGCAATTTGTACAATTTTATCATATAATTAATAATGATAAAAAAAACTAAAAAAAAAAAAAATAACCATCCCTTTATTTGCAAAAAAGAAGTAATTTGAAAGACAGCGAAACTCACGTTACATGCTGTACACACAATTGTTATCAGCTACATAAAAATTGTGCTTTAAAGGTTCATTATATAATTAAATGTCTTTCGAATCAATACTACAATTTTTTAATATGAATCCCATTAATCATGTTTTATTGCACTAGCCCAATTATTTTTTATATACCTTTCAATCAATTTAACCAGCATATAGCATTTTACGCTCATTTATATTGTGTTCATCTACCGTGAAAATAAATCTGAAAAAATATTAAAAATGAGAGTACTCTCAATATATATTTTTATCACTTATGAATATTTTGTAATCAATAATGATCTATGTTCTTACATACGTATTTGTATCTTAGGCCTGAATACACGTAACAGCGAATTTTCACAACATCGGTAACACATATACATTCTCTGTATTTTTTTATACGACATAGCTTTCTTTATCGTTAACAACCAATTAAAATGCGTATATCAAATTTCGTTCTTACTTTCTACTTGTCTCGCATTATCAGGACATTATGCTTTCGACTATAATTTCTTGCTGAAACGTGTTTACATCTCTATTTAGAAAAATCTCTGGATTTCTAGATCAATTTTTCATCTTTCGAGATGGATTTTGGACCTTGAACATCCAGTGATTTTTTTCAACAGAGTTATCTTGTGAGTATTTTCAATAATTATTCGTTATTTACTATTGAATGGTTTCTTTATATTATACTGCTGTTGGGTGAGGATTGGACGAGCTCAATGATTAGCTCGTAAATGATGGATTATTTTAATCGAATATAAATATAGATCACGAGACATAAATTTACAGTCATTATGATAAGCATCTTTTTTTGTTCAAACGATCGTTATTCGGTTTAACTTCTGAAAACGTTTAAAAATTATAATCTCGTGGGGTTTTTTTTATTATTCATACTTTTTTGAAATTCAATACAAAAGTGCGTCTATTCTTAATTTTCAAAAATCACTTCGTTGAAAAATCATTGCGACGTACACCTCGTAAGACATATAAAATTATTTATTCATCGGCGCTGCACTTTTTATTTATTCGTAAATATTATTCTACCCTAAAAAGCTGTATATAAATACTGGAAATGGGTTGCATTTTATTTTGTTAAAAAAATCAATGTTTACAGACTTTGTTTGACATTGACTGTAATATATAAACGATGCAAACGAGTGAATTTACGCGAAAAATGATCATCAATTCGTTTCGGCTTGTGACAAGCAATTCCGATCTGACTCGAGGATAGAAAGGTTCAAAGTATCACTTTTATTATATTTTATAAAAGACGCGTGGACCAATCGTACACGAGACATTAAAGTACTTATATTTTCATCGCAAATCATATGTATTGTTGCACAATACGTATCTAAAAAACTATTTTTTTCTTGCATATTTATTTTGAGCATCGCCTCGTGCTTCAATTTTTTCCATTCTATGTTATATACAAAATAATTCTTATTTCCTATATTCGTTACACATATTACACTCTTTTAGCAGAACACTTCCTTGTCACGACTAATCAACCACTTATTAATAATACGTTACTGACTAATTATGCTGTACGAATGATCATTTCTGACGGCTATTCGAATACGTGCTTGAAATCGTTTTCGCGAGGATGTCTACTTTTTAAGCCGACTGGAAAATTTCTTATAAGATTATCACACAGATTAAAATAAAACCGGGAGACATTCATTGTATGTTGACAGATAAAGATGCACTTGAGTATATTTCTTTGCAAGGGTTGGTTGCCAATACACTTATAAAGAACTTTCCATTATAATGTATAAATAAGTTTCGTCGATTTTCATTTATTTTTTCATGTTTCCTTAGTTATTCATATTGATTATCGGACAATGCTAAAAGACTTTCTCTGATTCGCGTATTATATATTATAAAAAACGACTACGTTAAAATGTTGTGTTCGATTTTAATCCAATGAGAAATGGGAAATTTCTATAATCGAGTGCGCATATAGGAACAGTCTGTCAGTTGTTTTTTGTCGATTGTTTGTAGAATATCAGTCATAAATAAAATCGGTTTACTATTATGTACAGTATGAATTTTCGTTTTGCGAAAAATTTAGCTTTATAATATGCACGCATAAAAACCGAACGAAAGAAGTGCTTTTTTTACCCGTTTCCTATTTCAGGCTCTTACCTATAACATTCCCTTTGCAAATGGAAAAGGAATTTTTACATACGAGAATTTGACACGTAATCCTACGAATTACAAAACCCTGTTTTTCCTAATCAAACACAACTCGAGCGTATCATAAACACGTAAAACTTATATATGTTATATGAATTAAAAAACGGAGAGTCAACTTATGAAAATACATATCCTAAAAGTCTTCTCGCTTATGTCTCAATATAGCCTCCAACCAGCAGATGGCATTTGTACTTGAACGTATAACTTTTTATTATATCGATTTTGTTATATATCGGTTTCTCACACTACACGCCAAATTCAATCATTTAAAATTCGCCAAATTTAATGGAAAAACGAAACGCATATTCGATAAAATCAAACTTAACGCGCGTAATTTTGGTTCACACTACGATGCATAATCTGCATGAATATATCCTTAACTCTAACGAATTATTCTGCAAACACGTAAAAAACGTTAATTTCGTTGTTTATAGTACAACACTTGTCGTTCATAATGATGGTATTAATATGCCGCGCGACATATCACGTGTATTATATGTAAGTGCACACCCGTTCCGCACTGTGGCGCGCATCGCACCTTGTTTACACGAGCACTTAACTCATGTCGTAATTATCACTTGGCCGTGTCAACCCCCGCCTAAGCTTTCGTGCATACACTCCCGCGTGCACGGGTCAGGTATGTGTAAGCTCTCTCGTTGCAGCTCTCGTCGCGCATTATCGCGCCTATATCATAGTGACTCCTTTAATCGCAATTACAGTCACTCATAGCTCGTATTTTTTTCTCCTATAGTAATTTAATCTCGCGCGTAACACCAATATAAGTTATGTGATAATATAAAGAGACGCAACTTTTCGTCGTCCCTAAATGAGCGTCTCCTCGGAGGACTGCTCGGAGCGTCTCAAGCACGGCGACGTTCTCGTCTTGCTCGTCTGCGTCACTATCGTCGAGTAGCGTATCGACGGCATGGTGGCCGATCTGCGGGGCCCGCTCGGCTCGTAACTGCCCGGCCCGTACAGAAAGCTGCTGCCGCCGGCGCAGTCGTCGTCGCTCGCGAAGCCGTAAGCCGCGGGCGGCACGTAGCGCATATCGTCGGACAATAATCGGGAGCTGAGTCATGATCGCTGTCAGCCCCCGGACTGCTGGTCTCAGCAGGAGATCTCCTCCGTGTCGACCGCCGGTTTCTTTCTCTGTGGCTGGCCGTCGGACTTGTTGTCGGGATCGTGAGTCGCTGCCGTCGCCGTCGCCGAGCTGCTTTTGCAGAGTATACTCGGATCGAGGCTCATCGTGGTCTTGAGGGTGCTGCGCTTGATCAGGCCGTTGACATTGTCCAGGGTGGCGATCTCGTTGCCGTTGTCCGGCTGCACCGGTGGATTGCGATCGACCGGGGTCGCCAGCACCCCGGTGTCGGGTCCCGAAGAGGCCTCCTCACCCGGCGACGTTGTTGTCTCGGTACAGCTGTCGTTGCCATTCTTGGCAGCGGATTTGGCGATGTCTAGGCCCCCGGGCGCCACTGGTGCGTTGGCGTTTGGCTCCTTCGAGTGAAGAGGAAACATAATTAACGATCGAATTCGGTTAAAAAATTTAAGTTAATTTAATAAACAACTGGATTTGGTGTGGATTTCACCGGTTCCATGTGAATTTTCACGATGATTCACATTTGTTCACTTCTAGATTTTGGCACTGATTTTGAGGGGTACTAGTATGGTTTTATGTATCAATGTTAATGAAATTCTCAAATTTTATGCAGATTTAATGTAAAATTAGACATTAAAGTGAATGATAATGAATTTTATTTAAGATACTTTTCTATAAAATCTTTATGGACATTTAATGTAAAATTACAATTTTTTTTTTACATAAAGAGCACAGAAAATGCATGAAAATGCAAATGTATTCATTATTTTCAATGCAAAATTGAACAAAACTAATTAAACATTTTGATGGAAAATAAATGTTACAATAGATTTTTTTTTCGTTCAACGCTTATTAATGCCAGCCTTCACCACTAGATGGCAAATATCTTTATCTTTAAATCTGCAAGTGGTAAAGTGAAAATAATTCTATAAGTCAAAGCGCAGGTAAAGTGAAAATACACTAATTTCACGAAGATGGTTAACGAAAAAATTGACTCCATTTTCATATTAATTTTAATGCTAGTATTTTGTCGTGAATTTTCACGCTGAAATCCAGCCGCATATTTGAAACCGGATCACGATCGAGATCTCGGCTCCGGTCTCTTACCTGATTATCGAGTTGAGAGTCGCGATAATCCGACTCTTGAGCTGGCGACGGGTCATTGCAATTCTCCTGGTCGGGGTTCGTCGCCCCGTGCTTCAGCGACGAGTACACGATCTCGGGTTGAGTCGATATGCGATACGTCGTGGGTCGGAAGCGTGGCTGCATGTAGCCGCAACCGTCCAGCTGTTGGCACGATATTTTTTACGTGATTTTTATAAGATCAAAAAAAAAAAAAAAAAAAAACGAATGCACGCATAAAAAAATTCGTCAACCTACCCCCGGATGGACGTTTATGCACTCGGTCTCGGGATCGGGCCTGACCACCGTGATCTCCCTATCGCCGATCGGCAGCAGATCGAAATTCGGCGTCGGCATGTTGACCACGTCCGGGTCCTGCAGGCAGTAATCGATCCTCTCGACGATCGTGGTGAAGCTCGGCCGCTTGTCGGGCGCCGAGTGCCAGCACTGGGCCATCACGGCGTACACGGGATCCGGACAGCCGGCGGGCTTCTCCAGCCGACTGCCGTTGGTCACCATGGACATGACCTCGAGATTGGAGCAGCCCGTGTAGGGCATGTAGCCGAACGACATGATCTCCCAGCAGGTGACGCCGAACGCCCAGACGTCGGTCTTGGTGGTGAATATGCCGTCGAGGAAGCTCTCGGGCGGCATCCACTTGATGGGCAGCATGGCTTTGCCGCCCTTGCGATAGTAGTCGCTGCGATAGATGTCGCGCGCCATGCCGAAGTCGGCGATCTTGACGCAGCGGCCCGGCCCCTTGCAGGTGAGGAGGCAGTTGCGCGCCGCTATGTCGCGATGTATGAAGCGCGCGTCCTCCATGTACTTGCAGCCCTTCGCCACGTCGTAGGCGCAATTGATGAGGTCGCGCATCGTCAGGCTGGTGGGCCGGTCCTGGCGCGGTCGCTCCTCGCGCAGGAAGAACTTGAGATCGCCGCCGCCCAGGAGCTCGAGCACGATGAAGCGCGGATGCTTGTCGAACGAGACCCCGATGAAGTGCACGACGTTCGGGTGGTCGAACTTGCTCATGATCAGGGCCTCCATCATGAAGTCGGCCTCGGCCGAGGGGCTCGACGCCACGGGCAGGGTCTTGACGGCGACCGGGTGCTCCTCGCCCCGGCGGTACTTGTAGATGCCCTGGAACACCTCACCGAAGGCGCCTTGGCCTAATGGTCTGAGCGATCGTCAATGACGGGCGTTAATTCAATTTCATAGTTCGTCGATCCGATAGGCTGTATAATATAATGCACTTCGAGTTTCTATATGACGAACTTACTTGACCAGCGTGATGTTGTCGCGCGGTATCTGCGGCAGATCCTTGAAGCTGTACAAGTTGCCGGCGAACTCGTAGTTGGGATTGAACTCGGTCATCATGTTGTCCGAGACGACGCGCAGGGCCGTGAGCTCGGTGCCGAACATGCCCTGGCGTCGGCGCTGCATCGCTTTCCGATTCTGATAGCGGTGGTCTGTAATGCGATATATATCATCACGTCCGTAATGGGAAAAGTTAGGTCAAACTCGGAGAGAGAGCTCGGAACGCATTTATCAGAGCTCTGTACATAGCTGGGGGCGTATATATAAGGCTACTTACAGAGTAGGAAAAACAGTCCGCTGCAAGCCAGGACCGAGCCGATGCTGACGACTATCAGAATGATGAAGATGGTCGTGTGCACCGAGTCCGCCTCGCTCATCACTAATTAAAATTCTTTCGTTACTTTTTTCACTGGCAAAATTGTCATATTGTCATTTATAAATATCTGGTACGCACCGACGCAGGCCTTGCCGTCGCTCGCCAACTGCCAGCCGAACGGGCAGAGGCAGCGCGTCTCGCTGAGATGCTGATCGACGACGACGCAGCGAAAGTCGCAGCCGCAGCCGCTTATCGCCGGTATCACGTAGGCCCGGCCGGGGCCCGGATTGAATCGCTCCTCGTAGACGGCGTGCAGCAGCTCGGGACTGGCGTACGAGTAGCCGCCCACGCCGTTGCCCGAGCTCAGCGCGCCCGTGTCGCCGCCTGCGTGCAGCAATTTCAATGGATCGTTTAAAGATCTATTCATTTTGGCGTAATCGGTGTAGCGGGATTAAATCGTTCGTCTATTTTCGAATTCGACGAGTAGAATATTGTGATGTTTGATTTGAAAATTCCTCGTGTTTATCGGGATAATATTATGCGAATAATTCGATGACCGCACGACACATGTCAAAAAGTCAGAGTTGACGTGAAATGCAACGAGCAAAGTCGGACAAATATTTTCCCGATAAACCAAAGGACTTATAATACATTAAAGTATATAAATACAAAATGTGCGTACAGAGAGCAATGCATCGCGTTTTATATAACACGATACGGTACATACACAGTGGGTGCGGGATGTGCACCTGAGGATCGACTCTCGCGCGCGCGCGCGCGTGTCGATGGAAAAACAACGAGCTCGATAAAACTTTGTGTATATACATTATACGCTGCAAGCACCGCACGCGGAGCTTTTCGAGCGCGTCCCGCTTCTCTGTGTGTAGGTGTTTATGTGTTTTTTTTTTTTTTTTTTTTTTTTTTTTTTTTTTTTTCCCCCNGTGTGTGTGTGTGTGTGTGTGTGTGTGTGTGTGTGTGTGTGTGTGTGTGTGTGTGTGTGTGTGTGTGTGTGTGTGTGTGTGTGTGTGTGTGTGTGTGTGTGTGTGTGTGTGTGTGTGTGTGTGTGTGTGTGTGTGTGTGTGTGTGTGTGTGTGTGTGTGTGTGTGTGTGTGTGTGTGTGTGTGTGTGTGTGTGTGTGTGTGTGTGTGTGTGTGTGTGTGTGTGTGTGTGTGTGTGTGTGTGTGTGTGTGTGTGTGTGTGTGTGTGTGTGTGTGTGTGTGTGTGTGTGTGTGTGTGTGTGTGTGTGTGTGTGTGTGTGTGTGTGTGTGTGTGTGTGTGTGTGTGTGTGTGTGTGTGTGTGTGTGTGTGTGTGTGTGTGTGTGTGTGTGTGTGTGTGTGTGTGTGTGTGTGTGTGTGTGTGTGTGTGTGTGTGTGTGTGTGTGTGTGTGTGTGTGTGTGTGTGTGTGTGTGTGTGTGTGTGTGTGTGTGTGTGTGTGTGTGTGTGTGTGTGTGTGTGTGTGTGTGTGTGTGTGTGTGTGTGTGTGTGTGTGTGTGTGTGTGTGTGTGTGTGTGTGTGTGTGTGTGTGTGTGTGTGTGTGTGTGTGTGTGTGTGTGTGTGTGTGTGTGTGTGTGTGTGTGTGTGTGTGTGTGTGTGTGTGTGTGTGTGTGTGTGTGTGTGTGTGTGTGTGTGTGTGTGTGTGTGTGTGTGTGTGTGTGTGTGTGTGTGTGTGTGTGTGTGTGTGTGTGTGTGTGTGTGTGTGTGTGTGTGTGTGTGTGTGTGTGTGTGTGTGTGTGTGTGTGTGTGTGTGTGTGTGTGTGTGTGTGTGTGTGTGTGTGTGTGTGTGTGTGTGTCTATATAATACAGAGAGATACTCGTGAGAGAGGCAATTTGTCGGAAACGATATAACGTGTATACGTTGTTGATGCTGCTGCTGCTGTATACATTCGAGACGAATAAGCTCCACGCGCGTCCACGTGCGCACGAGAGCGTGAAAAAGTTTTGACGAATCATCGGCTTTTATATACATGTATCGTATACGAGAGGTTTTCAGCGATAGATATCAACGATACCTCCTCTTCCTCCTGCTCCTTCTCTCGTCGTTCTCTCATGATATAGCAATCTCGTGTGTATGTGCTCGCATCGGAATCAATCGTTCGTCGCAACTTTCGTACGCTTTTACACGGATCGCGTGACTCTCTCGATCGATCCCGCGCGTAAATAAAGTTCTGGGATTAACAAGAGGGGCGATTTCGCTCGACTACGTCCGTCGCGCGAAAATCGTATATGATATATGCTGTAAATTAATTAGCATCGTATAAAGTAGGTTCATGTGCGCGCGGACGGGTATTCTCGAATGCCGGGCACGTCGTGTCGTACCTGTATACACAAATGTATTATGCAAGCCTGTACGCGCGCACTTACCTCTGTAACCGCCGCCACCGCCGCCCGACAGACATCCGCCACCTCCGCCGCCGTAGCCGCCGTTTCCGTGGCCCTTGTGATTGTTGCCGCAGCCGAGGCCGCCCACGCCGCCCCGCGTCAGGGCCATGCCGAAAGCCACTCGATTGCTCGCGTTCGACGACGACGTCGTCGTGTCCTCGTCCAGTAATCCGCCGCCGCCACCTGTGTGTGCATATACATACGTCAGATACGAACATATTGGCAATTGAGACATCGTGAAAATTCAATTATTATATATGGTCATTGGAAAATGATAGATGGGCCTTTCATTGTTGCTTGATTAATCTTCTTAACTTATTCGTAGGTAAAGCAGCTTTTACGGGTAAATGAAAGTTTCCAAGATATATGTGCGGAATACGTCGTCGACTAGGCGCGCGCAACTTTCAGCTCCTCAAACTTCATTTTTGCATGCGTACCCTTGGAAAAATAGTTGGCCATAACTTTTTTAAAACTGTGAATATGCCACGTATATATATCATGAGCACATCGACGTTTGAACTTTTACGTTTTCTTCCGTCGTTCGTTCTGCGCGCCAAGTTTTCAAAAGCTTGTCACGCGCAAAAACGACCGTAAAAAAGCTCACGAGGCAATACCGCGCTCCTCATAGTACGAAGGAAAAGCTTTGGTTTTTTCTTTTTCAAACAGTAATTCCAGAAGACGTCTTTCTTTCTCTCTTTCCGAGACGCGCATCGGGGAGCTTTCAAGCGGACATTTTTCTTAATTAAACATGAGTTTACGCGCATCGTGGAAAAAGTAACTCATCTATATTTATATAAATATAATAATGCACGTGACTTGCGGCTAGCTAGTGGGGTTTTTTTTGACACACGTACGTATGGATAAAGGAAAAATCCCAGACGCGACCAAGAGGCAAACAGATGGAGCTTATTTATTTCGTTTGAGTGTGTACGATATGGGATGTCCCTTATTTTCCAAATTGCACAGAACATCACTGCAATGCTTTTAAAAGTTTAATATGGATTTAAAAAAAAAGAAACCGCAGTTATGACTCTTTATATTATTTCACCGCCCTTGTAATCCAGAAGGCCATGATTATTTTCCAAAAGAACTCCATCAAAATTTTGAAAAAAATTCACTAGTGTTCTTCAACTAATTTTTGAGATTCTTTTTTTCTTTGCCTTTTTTCCCTTAAATTTGTTCATATTTAACAAACCAATGTCTAATATCAGTAACTTTTAGACTTCATCATTAGTTTTTATCATTAATTATTTAGCCATAAATACATTTTTTAAATAAATATATCAAGATTAAAAAATTTTTTATTCACAATTCTGATGCAGCTCGTTACGGAATTAGGCGTGATGCAGGATTTTCTCGCATCAAAGTCACGTGTTTTTTAGTACTTACTAACATATTTTTACATATTTACTTGCGCTGCACATTTCAGCACAAACCATACCGGAGGTAGTCGATATCACCGTATCAGGAATTGAAAAATTGCACTATATGCATCGTCCACGATCTACCCTAATCCAACAATTAATCACAAAACGTTTATTGCAAATATGCAATCAAGCCATCATTTTTTCAGAGCAAAATTAAAATTATATATTATGTAAATTTATCGACGCGACGGTCGCAGTTATTTTACCAACATCTATAGCTCCAATGTCTAATTGAACTTGATTCCTAATATTACAAGTGCTATATACTGTTATGCACTGTATTAGTGTGGGTTCAGAGATATAATTCTCCTTTATGGAAATGCTTTCTCCGCATACCTATCATCTATGTAGGTATCGCACGTTTGTGTAGTAAGCTAATTGTGCGCCTGAATGGATGAAACTTGCATTGCAATTTTGGTATACTTAGTTTTAATGACATGCGAATGCTTCTATATGTATCGCAGTACCTATATACAATATACGTAACTGCGTATGACCAGTCGACTGTACAGAGAGAAAGTATCGCTAAAGAGCTATCACAAACGCGGAGTTACCTCGCTAATAGTAGTAGTAGTGCGTTCGGACTTCGGTCGCTATCAAGGAGCTGAGTTCTTGCAGCCAGCAATATATGTTTACGGATGTTTACTAATTGGTAAAAACGAGGGGCATACTCAAGGCACATAACCTCAAATGTTTCCTAGTCAGTGCACATTTTGAAAATTTACAGTGAATACGTACAATCAAGCGAGCGATGGAAAACAGACAGGACACAGTTAGGTATGTAACATTTTTTGTGCGTGACATGATATTTCTTGAATCATTTTATCAATCATGACTATTATTCAAGGTGAAGGAAGAACCAAATGCTTGGCTGAATACAGATGATGTTTACATTTTAGATAAGTCAAAATCTTGTGAAACCAAAATATTTGAATCATTAACATTTCATAAATCATCGGTGAGTTCATTTATTTGACTTAGGTTCTTTTTTTTCACTATCATAAACGATAATACCATTTTAATTTTAGGCGAATCACACGAATAAGGTTATGGCGTTACACGAAGAGTTGGACGAGAAAATATTCATAGATATCGAATGCAAAGATGTTAAATCAAAATTGACGTCTCATTCGATAAACATTTGCAAATTAGAGCATCAAGAATTTCAACCTATTGTGAAAATTGAAGAACAAATTGAAAGTAATTACTCTAATAAAAATATATCCATTGATTTTGAGTGCAAAGACGTTAAGCTTGAACCGACGCGTCTATCAGCAAACATCTGCAAAACTGTACATCAAAGTTATCCACCAATTGTGAAAGTAGAAAAACGCAATCAGACTTATTTCTCAGATGATAAAAATCCGATAATTTTGATAAAAAAAGCATTCGATTATGATAATAATTGTAAATTTCCACTCGATATCCAATTCAAACGTGGAGAATCCAAGAATGTGACAGTATTTGATAAAGGTACTCGTAACAAATTATTTCGTAATTCAAATCAGAAACGATACGAAGGAGATCTGAATCTCAAAATAAATATCAATGCACAACATAAGAAAATTAAATATGGGTGTGAAATTTGCTACAAATCATTTAGATGTCCGAGTAAGCTTAAACAGTATATTATGAATGTACATAATCGTAACAAACCTTTCAAATGTGAACCATTTGGAATAAAAAGTAACCTCAATGTTCATATAAATGCAGTACATAATAAGAGCCAACTCTTCGAATGTGCGATTTGTCACAAATCATTTGGATTAAAAAGTAACCTCAAAATTCACATCAATACAGTACATAATCGGAACAAACCCTTCGAATGTGAGATTTGTTGCAAATCATTTGGACGAAAAAATCACCTCGAATGTCACATAAATTCAGTACATAATCGTATGAAGCCTTTTGAGTGTGACAATTGCCACAAATTATTTGGATACAAGCATATACTCAAAAGGCATAAAATGACGGTACATGATCTCATCAAACCCTTTGAATGTGACATTTGTCAAAAATTATTTGGACGAAAAGGTGACCTCAAAATTCATGTAAATGTTATACACAACCGAAGTAAACCTTTCGAATGTGAGATTTGTCACAAATCATTTGGATTAAAAAATAGTCTCAAAATTCACATCAATGCAGTACATAATCGGAGCAAACCTTTCGAGTGTGACATTTGTCATAAATCATTTGGGCAAAAATGTACCCTTGACACTCACATTGATGATCACATCAGCAGCAAACCCTTCGAATGTGAGATTTGTCACAAATTATTTGGATACAAGCATATACTCAAAAGGCATAAAATGACGGTACACGATCTCATCAAACTCTTTGAATGTGACGTTTGTCAAAAGTCATTTGGATACAAGGGTAACCTCAAACGTCACATAAATACAGTACATGATCGGAGCAAATCCTTCGAATACGAGATTTGTCACAAATCATTTGGACAAAGATGTTCCCTCAAAACTCACGTTAAGGCACACAATCTTAGAAGCTAAAGATTCTTTGCCAAACATTTCAACCCGATGAAGAATTCTATGCTCACGCGAGTACGATTTGTAACTTTCGAAAATCTCTCGTATGAATATTCTTCAATTTTGTTAAGAGTAATAAAACTTTTTAAACTATAATTCATTTTGTTATAACTGTAAAAAAACCTTTTACTGACATCCTTATTTTGCACGAACTAAAATATATCATCATTTGACTCTTCTCCGTAGCATCTGCGCACTATTAGTATGATAGAAGAAAATCCTTTCCTTGAAGCAAGATTTAAAGAAAAAAATGCAACCAATAAAAGCTCTTAAAAATTAGTTAAAGAATACGTGTGATTTTTTTGAGGAATTTTTCGAGAACTTTTTTTTTAAATGATAATAGCTTTCTGGATTACACGTTTTTCATTCTTTTTTTAGGTCTAAACAAACTTTCATAAGCATTCGAACGAAGTTTTAAGCAAGTTGTAAAAAAAGGGACACCCTAGCTTATACGCCATATATATTCGATAAATGTGAAAACTCTGGAGCATCAGAGCGATAAAAATTTCACGTGTGCGAAGAAAGAAGGGATAGCGCGAGCGGCATTGAAAGTATAGACAACCGCGTAGCTCATTGCTTCCAGCTCTTCTCCTCTGCTTTAGATTATTCTTATTCCCGCGCGTACATGTGCTAGCGCGTCTGTATAATATACGTCAAACGTGGCGTTCGTAATGAATTTTCTCATAATTTCATTGAAGGAAGCTTTGAATACTTGATAAAGCGGCGTATGATTTCAACATCGAAAACGGCAAAGTATATAGTGAAAATTTGGAGTGTATAAGCGTAATACATGTTGCAAAGGAAATGCTTAACGTTTACCACTGTATATGGAGGTAGTAGGTACTTGCGTTGGCGGAAACTGATAAATAAACATCATCTATTTAAGTTGCCTTAGGCGCGGCGCGGCGCGCGCGTGATAAAATATTTACACTCAGCTTCGTTTCGTACACACGCGCATACGTTGTATACCGCGATGATCGAACTTCGCGTTCGCGCATCTTGACGCTATACCTTCGGGCGCTGCTGCTCCGCTTAATTATATATTCGATTAATTATTTAGCTTCAAAGTAGAGAGAGAGAGAGAGAGAAACGAAGTTTCGAGCTTCGCGATCGACTGCCTCTCGCAACTGTCGCGCAGTTTCCGAACGATTCCGCAACTACACAAACGCGTACGTATTCAAGTATATAAGTATATACCCTCGTTGGAAATGTGCGGGGCAAGTTCGCAGAATTGATAAAACTCATATGTATATGTACATGGCAAAATACATGCTAATCGTATGTGCCGTGGCACGTATTACGCAATTAGGCTAATCGAACTGTATCGAGGCGGAAACGGACTCGAGGATTCGAATTACAATTTACGCCTGGCTGTCGGGGACGAAAGAGAATGTCGAACGTATATATCGGAAAATCTAGGTCAACCGTGCACCACTGATAAAAAACACACTTTCAGGTGCGCGTCTGCATGTGGGGAGACATTTTTTCTCCTTTTCTTCTTTCTCGTTAAACTCATCCCTCTGTGTTTTGTTCGATCCCCATCGCGTATACGTAGATGAGGGGAGAGGAATCTCAACGATAGCGATACACTTGGCTCTCGGCTCAACGACCCCTTTCTTTTGGCCGCTCGAATTTTCCATTCGAGGCGTACAAATACATGCAGCAGGACACCGGACGGACACACAACGGATCGTATATTACCCGCGCACAAAGGATATCGCGAGTAATTTCCGCACTCGGGCCAGCAGCTCTTGCAGCCGCGTTCATATTAACATAGTCATTCGGAGCGTAAAATAGACATGTAATTAAAGTCGTGACGCTTAAAGCTCCGCACGCGTACACACTTGTACACACGTATAGGCGCAATGTATGTAAGGTCGGTCGGGTAGCGCGCAGTTCCTCGCAGTTGCCGAGCGCGCACGATGATCGTAATATGGTTTATACCGAAGCTGGTGCAGTGGTGCAGGCGTACTGCAAAACACAAGCTGCCGCGTACATTTAAGCACCAACTATTTTAATGCATATTCAAAGGGCGAGAGATGGCGAGAGGCTGTTATATATATGCACGAGAATATTCTCATTGCTTACATTAGCGCAAAACGGGGGGAGGGTGGGTATTAATTACCCGAAAGTTTTCAAGCTCTTTATATCCTTGGAGGATATTATACCGGAGCGCTCTCGACTCTCTCTTTCTCGCTCGCCGAGCGCCGTTGACTGTATATACATACTTTTGCTTACACTTTAATGGGTAAACAAATCTCCGAGCTTTTTTACGTATCTAATCGTGGCTCGAGACTGTATACCAGTGGCAACGTTGTTGCGCATATGCTGAGCGGTTAGATAGAGAACGATTTAAGGTGTTCTCATAAAAATCGATGCATTTTTTCTATTCACATTTTTCTTGTTTTTTCGCGTTTTCAAAATTTACATTGTGTAACAATCTATAGGTTTGAATCAATAAGTCTAATTTCTAGTCTTTACGTCTACGATTTTCGTTTATCGAAAAAAAAGATCGTTTAAACATTTACCTGAACTACAGTGGTTATTTGATCTCGATATAACGTTGCTTTTTTGAAAAAATGTTCGGTAGTAATAGTTTTCGCGGACAAAATTTGAAAAATAATAGTTTTCGTTGGCATTATTTGTCATTTATTATTATTATTTTTTTGCTGAAAATATTTTGGTGGTGATGGTCTTCGCGGACTCAAAAGAAAAATAATAATTTTTTATGAACTTGTTAAATGGGATTTACAGCGGCGATAGGATGCCTGGGATAATAAATATGCACGAATGAGCTTTTTCTTCTTAAGATGATCAGGCGCTTATCAATAAAAAAATCTAAATTCATTTTTTTCTTATTATATTTATTTGAATGATATCAAACTTATGGAACATTTAATAATCGATCCCCTTCACAAGCTTTGGCCTGTCGCAGCCAAGCAAATATTATATAAATCTCTGTTCGTGAATGAATCATCGATGATCATCTCGCAGCACTCGAATGGCAATCGGTAGTGCGTCAGTTCCATGAAATAATGAACGGCCCAGGATTGGAAGAATCTTCTCGATAGCTGCTCGCACAGACTTATACTTATATACTCCACCAATTTATGGTTAGACGAATGCAAATATTGTATGACACCATCAAATTTCTCGTACGCCAACTCGTCGTAGTCTATATACTCCGCATAGGTGACGAGTTTCTTCGCCTCTTTGGGTCGCGACTCGATCAGATCGTACAGCGACACACTCGGATTTACCGTTATCTTTTTAGCAATTTCTTTTTGGTAAGGTCCACCGTAAGTCGACAATTTATAATGATTCGTCGACGGCTCGATCAATCCGCGTGCGGCAAAAAATTTCATGATCGTAAGGATGTCGCTTGGCTTCGATTCGTAGCCTCTATTCTCGAGGCGCTCGAGGCTGTCCAGGGCACCAGCCGCTAATCTCACTTTCATAGGTCCCAAAAAATTTCTATACCGCGACTCCAATCTCTCGGCGAAGTAGTCCTGGGTGGGAAAACGAAAGTTGGCCAGATCGGCGCCACGATCCAGGAGAACGGTTACCGTGTTCGGCATGAGATTCGCCACGGCCCACTGCAGCGGGGTGCGGCCCTTCTCGTCCCGGGCGTCGACCTGCACCGGCTTCTTCAGTTCCGCGCAGATCTCGAAGAAGAGCTTGGCCGAGCCGTCGTCGTAGCCGTTACGGGCGATTACGTGCAGCGGCGTGAGCCCCTCGTCGTTGGCCAGAGTCGGATCGGCGCCTCGTCGGAGCAGCAGCTCGGCCAGCTCGCGGTTGTCCCGATCCAGGGCCAGGTGCAGCGGCGCGTTGCCGTCCAGCCCGTCGCGAGCGTTCACGCGCACCTGCCGCCGAGCCGCGTCGTTGCACCTGAAAAACACCTCCGCCAAGTCGTCGCGATGGAATCTCTTGCAAAGGACGTGCAGCGGAGTCTGTCCCTTGTTGTTGGCCAAGTTCGGATTGGCGCCTTTTTCCAGCAGCAGCACGGCCGTCTCGACGGCCTCGTGGGCCAGAGCCAGGTGCAGCGGCGAGTCGCCCGTTTTCGTCACCGGCAGGTTGGGATCGATCCGGCCGAGCTCGAGGAATTTCTTGACGACGTCGTGGCAGTCTCGCGCGCACGCCGCATGAAAATGTGTGAATCCATGCTCGTCGATGTAATTCGCGTGAAATCGGTCGTATATTTTGAAAAACTGACGGACCAAGTAGCCGTTGCCGCGCCGATGGGCATGATGCAACGGTGTGGTACGCGACAGCAGTGCTGCGGGCTTACCGTGTTCAACATCGACCTCGGGCTCGTTCTTGTAGCCGGTTCGGATCACAAACTCGACGAAGGGCCTACGGTCACGACAACCTTGTGTGGAATACACGAAATTCGTGAGAAGATGCTCGATTTCATCGGGCCGAAAGATTTCTCGGAGATCGGGAAGTTGGTCCCTCCATGCGTAAGCCAAACTGTCGAGTTTACCGAAGACATTGTAATGGTCATTGACGCAACCGAAAATTGGATCAGTTTCTATGATTTCTCCGCGGTGCAGAAAATGATTCCACAAGCTCCTCAATTTGTCCAAGTTGCTGGACATCGTCGTCGCAGCCACTTACAATTCAAGATTATCAATATCCCTTTTTTTTTCTCACAAGATTCACGCGTTGTTCACACTGCTGCGTCTTAACGTATACTGACTATATAAAATATACCATAATACGATCTTATACAGAAAGATATGGCCCTAGCAGTAGCTGGAAACTAGAATAGATATTACGAGCAGCGCGCGAGATATACTTAGAGCGTGGGTGTCGCTAAAATTGGTAACGAATTTCAACATAGACTTATGGGCTTTTTTTAATCTTTACCCATGCGCCGATTGACGGCAAGGTCAATGCAGACGCTGTAGCACCCACAGCGCGACGCAGAGGGATCGCGATAAAGCTGCTTCTACGTTACCAAATGGCATGTCGTGTGCGGGACTGCGACCGACGCGTTCAACGCACCACATCGCTTTTAAAGTTTATAACAAAAAACTCGGATACTTGCAAAAAAATCTAAAACTAAAAAGCTTTTTCGCCTACTCGCACTACCCTATGAAACGCCTTTTCGAGGCACGGAGGTATATAACAACAAAATATTTGAAGTTGTGCAGAGGAGACTTCAGCAGTAATTGCAATTAGGCATTGAACAATAATGACGAAGATACTCACCGGCATCCTTTTGCGAGGACGAGCCACCCACCGGCTTCAGGTGGGCCGGTATTCGGGTCTGGCCGTGCTGATGATCGTCGCTGAAGCGGGTCGGTCCGAGGCCGCCGCCGCCGCCGGCAATCAGCAGCGGCACTTGCTCGCCGTTGTCCTTCAACTATACATACAGATACATGCGATACGATGAGATAAAAAAAGCGACGAGCAAAAAAATATTTGCGCAAAAAAGGAAGAGAATAGAGAGGATTGCTCGTGTGGTTCGGTTATGATTCACACTATCTATCGTTATATACCCACTCTTTGATTTTCTACGTGCGCGGCAAACGCCGTCCAATCAATCGTCGCCCGGGAGCGAGCAAAAGTTTTTCTTTTCCGCGTATATACATATACGCGATATGTAGGTACGTGCGAATGGTACATATGAAACTCGAATTTTCACAAATTCCGAACTTTCCTTGTTAGCGTAGCGCTTGAATTGCTGCGCGTCTCGGGGGCTTTTTTTTTAAATCCCACTTTTTTTCCCCGTGAACATAATGTTATATATATGCACGAGAGCGAGTGAAAAGCTAGTAGTTTGTGAAAAGATAGTGTTTGCGCGCGGGCGGTTGGGAGCGCGTTTCGAGTTTCCGTGTCCGCCGCCGCGGGATGATGTAATAATTTACTTTCGTGTAACGTTCTCGCCGCGTGCAATCTTAATTGTGAAAAATCACTCCGCGTCCGCGCGCTGCTTTTTGACGTTAAAAAAAAGGGGAAGCGTATAGAAATGAAGAAAAAATTGTGCTTTTCGCGAATGCAGCAGCAGCAGTAGTGGTAGATGATGATGACGAACAAAAGCAGCTCGGGTAAAATGAGATATTCGCGCATAATTGTGCTCGCGAATTACATAACGCGTGTTGGGCTGGGTGTCAACGTTGGTGACTAGGAAAAAAAAGTACACGAGACAGAGTGAAAAATATTGTTTACGGTAAAAATGTAAGTCGCTCCGCCGCCGCCGCCACCGCCGTCCCTGGGCTCGATGTTCTTCACTTGGCGGACCAGCGAGATGTTGTCGGCCAGCGAGCCGTTGAGACCGCCATTATAGATGCACGAGTCGTTGCTCGAGCCGAGCTTCTGCAATGCATAAAAAAAAAGAAAAGAAAATAAAAACGAGGGGGAAAAAAAACACGCGAAAGAAGGAAGCGTTATTCAGATCCAATTTTAAACCACTTTATGCGCGATCGAGACTCTATATATCTATATTATTGAGAATCGATCGCTTGGCTCAATCTATTTGTATATAAGGCGATGCACAGAGTGTGTGTGTGTGTGTGTGTATAGATAAAATGTACCTTGGGGCAAGCATCTGTGCCGGACTGTCCAATCATGAAGTAAATTTGTTGGCCCTTCTCGAGCTCGAGGACGCCGCGCGCCATGGCCCCGAGCGAGCTGCCCATCGACAGCGCGCCGACTCCTCCGCGCGCCCCAACGGCGATCAGTCTGTGGGATCGAGTATGTCCATATAGTATATTGAAGTATATATATAGTATAGTTATGTAATAGGTATGCACACATGCCATCGAATCATGAAATTTTCCGGTCAATTTATCGGATACTCTTTGAGGCAATTAAGCTGCCCGATATGCGTGGGCCGTTTTTTTTTTTTTTTTCGTTGAAAATTAAATTACGCCTCGCGCAACGATGCACGGCATCGGCTGAATGTACAATGTACGTACGTTTATTTTTTGTTTTACAACGATCTCGCGTGTACGCTATAGGCAAGTATATACGGTCGTATAAACGTCGTTATCCCTTTTTTTGCTGCTGTGTTGCTATACAATTTCGTGACTCGCGTTCTCCGAGGCAGAGAGATAAAAAGTACCTCGCGCACGAGGACACACGTGTGCCGTTGCTGCTTCTGCGGTTGCCGACCAACGTCGGATGCCATTTTCAAGGGGAAAGGAAAACCTCTCAGGCTGCTGCGCGCCCTAGTCTAGCTCCGCAGTTTAGTATTTCTTTATCAATAAAACGTCGTCGTAATTGCCATGACGCGAGCAGTAGAGCTTGCGAGTAAAAAACAGAAGCAGCTGCAGGTCAGGCCACGTAACACGATACGCCGCGCTCGACGATGCAATTTTTTTTTAGCATGTTTATAGGAGAGATAGTATACGGTTAATCCGAGAGCTTAGAGAGAGAGAGAGAGAGAGCAAGAAGTCTTACGTGTAGAAGCCGCCGCTCGGCACGGTCCAGCGCTGGATACCCTTGCCCTGAAGCGAGGAGTCGCCGCCCTCGTCGCTCGAGGCCTCGGACAGCACCTCGAGCAGCAGCTCCGTACCCGGCAGCGTCTGTAGGGTCTCGTTGCCGCTGCTGCTGCCGATACTGCTGTAATGCTTGAGACACTGCTCGGGCGTCGGGCCGAAGCGACCCGTCTGGTCGCAGCTCGTCACTTGCATCACTGCAAAAGACACAGGTTGATTCATTGTCTATATGTATGGATCGATAGCTCGCAGGTATTAAGACACTCGCTCGAGAGATTTTAATTATCGACTCGGGGCCGCAAGCTCACGAAAAATACGTTACACGCGCGAGCGCCCGAATAACGTGTTATTTACACGCATCCGATCGCGCGCGATGAATAATAACAATCGCGATGGTTTCTTCTAATTACGACACACAGCCGTATAGAGTTCGCGAGCGCGTGCATACACGTGAAATCAAAATTACACGCTCGGCGCGCATTAAAATTAAATCAATTAACGGAGTCACGCTTGATTTGAGAGTGTATATGGGGCACGCGTGCAGGCAGGCAGGCAGGCAGGCAGGTAGGCGCGCACAAAGTGCGAACGAGCTGCTGCAGTGCAGATTATATGAAAAGCCAATGCGATTTCCCTCGGCTTTTGGGCTCAGGCAGGAGTGAAATAATAATATGTATAAACAAGCCCCGTCGTCGTTATATTATGCTCTGTGTGTGTCAGTTTATACGCAGACGTACCCGTTATGTTGGTGAAATCGGCGTGCTTGGGCGGCACGTCACTCCAGGGTGGTATTTTCTGCTCGTAGTAATTGAAATCGCCCACGACGTCAGCTGGCACACCTATGATAAGCAATATATCATACGCGCTCGTAACGTTTATTATTTAAACAATATAGTATATGAATTAATGGGCAATGACAAATTTTACCGATGCCGAAGCACTCGGGACTGAGGGAGACGTCGTCGATGGCCACGTCGCCCTTCGAGCCGTAGCTCTTGCTCGCCTCGAACTGCAGATAGTAGCGGTAGCGTATGGACGGCAGCACGACCGCCGCGCCGTTCCACAGGTCGCTGTTGTCCTTGAACGACCACCACAGTCGCTCCGTGTGATTCTGATGTGGCTTGAGCTGCACCAGGTACAGGCCCAGCGCCACCGTGTGCGTGCCGTATTGATGATAGAAGAAGCGTACCTGTATAAAATATATTGATCAGGGCGCGATTGAGCTTTTTTCTTTCGTGGAATGTCCCGCGATTCTTCGTAAGAGAGAGAGAAAAAGTTTGCACTCGGCAAAGAGATTTATGATCTTCTTTCGTTAGCGATATGAAAGAGAAAAAAATACTTGGAAGTACGAGATGAAAGAGAAAAAAGGAGGGCTTGGAAGTTCGAAACAATGCACGTGTTTCACTTGGTTTTTTTCATTTAATAATTGGGAATAAGGTGTCTCGTTATATTTCACTAAATATAAGGTTTGCGTCTTCTTCTTCTTCTTTGTCTTCTCCGGTAACGATACAGGCAAAAGTTTTTAATCAATATAATCCTTATGTGCGTATATAGCTCGTAATATACCGCGCTTTCATTACATCATAACGGCGCAAGTACTTCGTAAACTTCTTACGTTCCAGCCCGTAATTGCGAATAAAATGTAAAATAATAAAAGAAAAAAGATAAATAACCTATCGCTTTCTGTGCCCGTTTTAATAGACCAGAGCTTCATGAGTATAAAGACTTCCGAGCGTAATCACTCAAAGCATCGTCGTCGTCGTCGTTGTCGTTGAATAAGACGGAAAAAAGGAAGAAACGTAAGGAGTACTCGTAGCGCTCGAATTTCGAGTAATGCCACTGCAATATACAATCTCCTAAACTATTCTGAATTTATAAATTTGCGCAAAGTGTACGTGTCCGCGCGCGAACGGCGAAAGAGAGAAAATATTCCTGCCGCGCGGCGTAGTATACCCGAGACTTTGCTCTCCCTCGAAAGCTCTCCATGTTATTATGAAAAAGAGCTCGAGAGAGAAAGAGCTCCGCGACGTTTTAACTGCAGGCTGTACCGAGAGAGGGGGAGAGATCGTTAAAGCGAGCGTGTTTTATTACATGAATATTATGTAAAAGGAAAATTTCGAATCGGGCGGAAAATCTTAGGTACCTATAATTCCCGAGGAGAGCACTACTGTTTTAACCATATAATGTTAATCAAACATCGTTAAAGCACTGAGGAGTCCGATTGCTTAATGCATAGTGTAAGGAAGTGGAAAATTCTCACTGCTGTTAGTGGGCAGAAACGTTATATAAAAAGAGGAGTTAAAAGAAAGGGCAATACAACATTTATATACCGTATACCATTTATAAACGTATAAAATCTATATAAATGTAAAAATGTGCAAAGAGAGAAAGAGAGCGAAAAGAAAGTAACGAAGTGGAATCATGAAGGCGCGAGGCTGGAAGAGAAAAAAATCGATGAGTGCAGTAGCAGGCACGACTAGGTGACCCGGGCATTGTTAAAAGCGCAATGAAAATGATGAAAAGTAAAAAGACCGAGAGAAAAAGAGAAAATGAAAAAAGAAAAGGAAGGACTTATATACTACCACTACCCACCTTGCAAGATTTATAGTACGGGCTGCTGGTGTCGTTGTGATACGGCGGCGTCGGATTAAAAATAGGACTCTTAAGAGTTCCTTGACTCCCGTATTCGACCTTCCTCGACATATCGACGTACGCGTAAGTTCCTATAATAATACACACAAAAGTGGGATAAGCACACAAACACGTAAACTCGTGCCATTGTTATATATGTAATATCAACTGCGCAGCGAGTGAGAGCTTATTAATACCAGCACGACTCGAGATTGTCGTCGTCGTCGTCGTCCTGTGTGAGTCAGGACGGAAACGATCGTACATAATTCATTGCGGCCGATCGATTTTTCCTCTTTCGTACGCTCGCGCGCGCGCCAAAGAGCAAAAGAGAAGAGAGCGAGAGAAAGGAAAAGGTACAACAACAAATTGTATACCGGAGCCGACTCGGGAATATCATTTTTCGTTCCGGACAAAAAAAAAGGAGAGGCATCTGTCGAGAAATGAAAGAGAGAGACGGAAAGATAAAACGAGAGGCAAAGACGGACTGTTGCTCGTTTTCGGTCGAATGAAAACCTTTGATTTTGACTCTCCTTTTTCTCTCTGTGTGTACATATAGACTCTCGGTGCGCGCCCGCGTCGATAGAAACGTTCGAATGCCTTATACGCCGACAAAAAAATAAAAAAGATAGAGAGAGAGAGAGAGGGAAAGAAAAACAAGCGAAACTCCGGCGAGGGATATATAGAGAGCAAAATCGACTTTTCGCCGGTTGCTCGAATTTTTCACAATCTTTTTACCGGAGCAGTCTACGCTGCTGCCACTGCTACTGCTGTTGAAAATCGAGCCGACATTTCATGGCTGTCGAGAAATTCCAGGAGCAGAGCATGCAGCAGCTATTTCGAAATCCGTCATACGCGCGCGCTGCACATATGTACTACTGTACGCACGTGGAAAGCCCAAAGTACGCGCGGTATTTTTCATTTCGAACGCGCCTCGCATAATATCGAAAATTGCGCGCTGCGCACAAAAGACAATGATAAACGAATTAATTAACTCGCGATCGACTCGGCCGCGCGCGGAACTGTACAGATATACGACGTGTATCAATCGATTTATATAAGCTCCATTACCGCTGGAGTTGCGATAGGTGTGGTCGGTCTCCGGGCCCATGCGCTCCGTCGGCGTTGGGCCTTGATGCAAGGTCCAGTTGAGGGGGTTCTCGGCGCCGTTCGTCCAGCCGCACCAGCCCCACTCGAAATTGCACTTGGCGTAGGCCGGAACTTTTTCTGTGATATTCAGAAGTAAATAATCGTTAAAAGATTTCTTAATAATCGTCCACGAGGTGTAAAGTTCTTACACACGGACTTCGTTACATAATTTTTTTAATATCGAGCCCGCATGTGTTACATTCGTCCAGCTCGTTCGAGAGCTGAAATTACATTTTTTTATTATCAAGAAAGCGTAAGATAATACCGAGAGGCAAACTGTGCGCGGCACTTTATTTTTTAATTAAAGAATAAAGAAAAAACATTCCCCCGAAGCGCGCGCGTGGATTAGAAAAACGAAATAAGCCAAAGAGCGTGAGAGCGCAGAGAGAAAAAAAGCTCGCTTACCGCACTCGCCCGTCTCGTCCTCGGCGCTGGGACAATCGGCCGTGAGGTCGCAGACGTGATCGCGCTTGAGGCAGGCCGAGCCGTTGTAGCAGCGGAACATGCTGGCGGCCTTGCACTCGCCGTAATTGAAGGCCCGACTGTCCGGGAAACAATTGACCAGGCGTATATTGTCCAGGGCCAGGCTCGAGTTGCCGAACGGCGCCCTGATCTCCAGTATGATGATGAACTTCTGGCTGATCACGCCCAAATTGAACTTTATCGTTTCCCAGCTGCAAAAGTTGATAAAAATAAGTCAAATAATAATTGTTATAAAGTAATATCCATATGTGTCAGCGCCGAGCGATTTGCACGAGAAACCCCGGACCGCCGGAATACAATATAATATAATTGCCATCATTGGACGTGGAATGCGCGGCTGTAATACGCGGGGGCGCAGCAGCTGATGATGATTACAACTGCGGTCATTCGAGGCCGCGATGATGCCAGCAGCTCTATGAAATACGACGTGCATGAGTGACTTCCGATCGAAAATGTCGAGAGATCGAGGTGAATTTAATTTCGGGGGGGGGGGGGCAAAATTCACANGGGCAAAATTCACACGCTCCAATGTACAGAGCAGGCAGCTATACGAAATCGAATTGAGCTTTCATCAATCATATCGCTTCGCAAAAACAACGCTGTAAATCCATTATCTTAGAGCTTTTTTCGAAGAGAGCGATCATTCATTTTTTTTCATGTATAAATGATTACAATGTAGACGTTGTCCTATTTTCTACGTATAAATTTTCAAATGTGCTAGCAATCCCTACGTTTTTTGTTGTACATAAGATAATTTAATTGCTTTTTTTTCATAATAACCCGTATACGCAGTACGCAAATGTTTAAGTGTGCATCGAGATGTAATTTTTTTTTCCAGACACCCACCTCGACATTCGATCAGATCGTAATATGAAAGATATTGTATGTTTATTGATAGTATCTTAAAGTAGATTGCATGAATTAACAAGATAAACGTTTTTATACGGTTGCACGCGTACGAATAAATTTATTATTCGAATATAAATATTTCTCTAATTGATTGGTAGAATTACAATAAAAGCCTTTTCGAATATTTCATCAAATTGGGTCATCAGTTTCAATTAAACCCATCTCGATGGCTGTTTCTTTGTGTTTATTTTTTGTATCTACACAAATATACATACCTATGTATATCTGTAAAAAATGTGTACTATTTATACAATGCCGTATAGAAGCAGTCTATCCTTTGACATTTTAAATTAGGTTGACGTCATAACCCACACGATCGTACAATCAACCGCATGATTATTTATTTTTTAACGTTTTTGATACACAATCTACATTCAAATACGTGTTATATGAGTTAATTAAATGCCTCGTGAATTGAATTTGGTGGCAATAAAAAACAAATAACACCTCGTAGTTTAAAGCAACAGATTAATTTTTTTAATCCGTAGATTCTGAACGATTGACTTGATCTATCAATGCGTTTGAGAGGATACCGCGTTTTTTCACTGTGACCACCAATGAGTGGATCCAGTTATATATACACTAGGTCAAAAAAGAAGAGGCTCGTTGAAGGGCTCATTCGAACCGTTCAATTCGAAGTTATGAGCTGAAATCAGATTAAATGTAGATTTGTCATACACTTGTGGAGGCTGTGACAATGATTGCTGAATATTACGTGGGACGATATAGTCCAATCAATGAAAATCTGTCCCTATGTTAAAAAAAAAAAAATTCGCAACCAGAATTTTACGACGGATTCTTATTTTGGGTACCCTAAACAACTAATTTTCATAAAATGCCACTGTTTTTTGTTCCTGCGTTTTTGTTTATAAGCCTTTAAAAATGCAAAAAAGCATATTATATTTTTTAACTCGTAAAGTATAAGTTTTACGATAAAATGTTTCAAACAAAAGTTGTAGGCATTTTCAAGACCTTTATTCTGGTATTTTTTTCATATTTTTTCGTCCATTTGTTTATTCTCTAGGTCGAAAAAACCTCTAAAAGTGGCCGTTTTTACAATTGTTTATAATTATTTATTAAAACGTGCTACGGCAATGAAATCTTGAGAAAATGTAGCCCTCGTTACGCAGAATCCAATGCATTTTTCAAAATCTCGCTAAGTGCATTATTTATCGAGATATTGCATTTGTTTATTAAAAAACACTCCCCTAGTGATTGTTAAATAACTTTGAGTTGGCTCAACGTACGAAGACCAGACACAGCGCAAATTAAAGGTAGAGACCTCCCAGTCAATTTGCAACAATAAAAACAATAATTTTTTCATAAAGACATGAAAAATAAACACCAGATATAAATGTGTACGAAAATTCTTATAAACAAATTGACTTATCTGCCGAACCAGAAGTCGTAAGTCAAATCGAATTTCGGCATCTTGTTCCTTGCATTTTTACGCAAATTTTAAAAAAAAATTGACCTCTTTAACTATATTGGAAACGAAGTTAGGCTTTTTTTTTTAAAAAATCACCACGCCTTTGTTTATAAACATTAAAAGCTGAAATTTGGTATACATTCGAACGAAATGTTGAACTTTTATATGTAAACGAATGCAACTATCAATCACCGTTATTTTTGCAACGATAATATTATTAACTAACAAAACATTCTGACTCTGTCATACACTCGCATGGGTAGCGGAGTGGGGGAAGGCCGAGGCGAGCTGTTCCGGCCGCTCGAAAAACTTGAAATTGACTTTTCAAAATGAAGCGCACTGGAAAAAATAACGTTATCTCGGCTTCTATTGAACCGAATTGCTTCTTTTTTTTTTTAAATTAAAGCTCTCAACAAATAATTAACAATTACATATGTTTAAAACCATTTGACCAAGTCGAAATCCATCTAAATTAATGTTTTATTTTAAGATGGTATATTCTCGTCGGTTTTGGGCGATATAATAATTTGATTAATTGTTATTTTTACTGTGTATGATTTTTATTGACAACTGTTTATTATAAACAAATTAATTGCATTTAACCTTTTTCATTAATGGTTATGTGCAAGTTGTAACGTTTGTTTTTTTTCGAAATAAACTTAATCGAGAAAATTCTTATTAATAATTTATTATGAACAATTTCGAATCGACATTATCATATAATTTATCAGTTTCGAACCATAATAAAAATATTAACATATCAACAGTTATTCCTTCAGTAATAAAAATCAACGAAGAAGAGATTTATTCTCCTAGGAAAAACGAACGACTATTCAACCCCGATGCGACGGAACTAAACGTTTTTTGGGGTAGCATAACCCAGAGCGAGGCCGAATATTATATTAATAAAACTGATTCGAAATTGTTCATAATAAATTATTAATAAGAATTTTCTCGATTAAGTTTATTTCGAAAAAAAACAAACGTTACAACTTGCACATAACCATTAATGAAAAAGGTTAAATGCAATTAATTTGTTTATAATAAACAGTTGTCAATAAAAATCATACACAGTAAAAATAACAATTAATCAAATTATTATATCGCCCAAAACCGACGAGAATATACCATCTTAAAATAAAACATTAATTTAGATGGATTTCGACTTGGTCAAATGGTTTTAAACATATGTAATTGTTAATTATTTGTTGAGAGCTTTAATTTAAAAAAAAAAAGAAGCAATTCGGTTCAATAGAAGCCGAGATAACGTTATTTTTTCCAGTGCGCTTCATTTTGAAAAGTCAATTTCAAGTTTTTCGAGCGGCCGGAACAGCTCGCCTCGGCCTTCCCCCACTCCGCTACCCATGCGAGTGTATGACAGAGTCAGAATGTTTTGTTAGTTAATAATATTATCGTTGCAAAAATAACGGTGATTGATAGTTGCATTCGTTTACATATAAAAGTTCAACATTTCGTTCGAATGTATACCAAATTTCAGCTTTTAATGTTTATAAACAAAGGCGTGGTGATTTTTTAAAAAAAAAAGCCTAACTTCGTTTCCAATATAGTTAAAGAGGTCAATTTTTTTTTAAAATTTGCGTAAAAATGCAAGGAACAAGATGCCGAAATTCGATTTGACTTACGACTTCTGGTTCGGCAGATAAGTCAATTTGTTTATAAGAATTTTCGTACACATTTATATCTGGTGTTTATTTTTCATGTCTTTATGAAAAAATTATTGTTTTTATTGTTGCAAATTGACTGGGAGGTCTCTACCTTTAATTTGCGCTGTGTCTGGTCTTCGTACGTTGAGCCAACTCAAAGTTATTTAACAATCACTAGGGGAGTGTTTTTTAATAAACAAATGCAATATCTCGATAAATAATGCACTTAGCGAGATTTTGAAAAATGCATTGGATTCTGCGTAACGAGGGCTACATTTTCTCAAGATTTCATTGCCGTAGCACGTTTTAATAAATAATTATAAACAATTGTAAAAACGGCCACTTTTAGAGGTTTTTTCGACCTAGAGAATAAACAAATGGACGAAAAAATATGAAAAAAATACCAGAATAAAGGTCTTGAAAATGCCTAAAACTTTTGTTTGAAACATTTTATCGTAAAACTTATACTTTACGAGTTAAAAAATATAATATGCTTTTTTGCATTTTTAAAGGCTTATAAACAAAAACGCAGGAACAAAAAACAGTGGCATTTTATGAAAATTAGTTGTTTAGGGTATCCAGAATAAGAATCCGTCGTAAAATTCTGGTTGCGAATTTTTTTTTTTCAAAACCTTTATTGATTGGACTAATAAGATAAGTAGGCGCAAGGCGAGGAAAAAAATCAATATTTGTGTCGAAAATTGGCATATCGTCGCGATCGAAACTGGCCATGTGTAATTCCGAAATAAAGTGAGAAAAAGACGTGATCAACGTGCCGACGAACCGATAAAAACAATCGGCATATTGTGGCAACGTTGAAAGTGCATGTGAACCGTGAGAAAGATTTCATATAAATTGAAGAGACGTAGACGAAAAAGTTTGCACAAACGATGTGACTCAGGCTGACACCGTTCATAAATCATTTTTATACATAGTGTCATTTATGTAAAAGCTGCATTTGTTGCAATTTCTTTTTAGATATACAGAATTTTATTAACTTCAATCGCGTCAGTAACGTACGAGACGCTCTCGTGTGATGTTACTCGGCTAAATACTGGATTTTGTGCTTTAAATTATGTAATAAAAGTGATAAGCCTACAGATAGAAACAAAACTAGCAGGTAAATTAATCTATCATAGTTTTTTTTTTAATGTATCAATAAGGGCTTCTGCAATCATGTCTTCAGAACCTTGACATTACAACCCGAAATATCAATTCATTAAGGGGACACACCTGTGTTTATAACTATAAATGAAAAACATGAAAATTAAGGATTACTATTACAATTTTTTGTTTCTGATGTAAAAATATGTTTTTATAGGTCCTTTTACAACAAAAAATATGTCTCTTGTTCCTCTTACCATTAAAAAACATCCATTAAACAAGTATATTGACTTGTGATTTTTAAGTCATTGACCGCATGATTTTGAATGTAATTTTTTACCTATCCGGATCCTTGCTGTCTCAAAAGTTTTGTAATAAAATTCTTTTCCACTTAAGTGTAACAGAATTGAAATGAAAGTCTTGGAAAATTTTTTTCATTCTAAAGTACAAAAAAAAAAAGACAAAAATAGCTATTTTAATAACGCTTATTGCTATATTTGGAGATTTGTAGATTAAAAAAAAAAACTGAATAAAAAATGGGTTACATTTAAGTGAAAAAAATTTTATTACAAAACTTTTGAGACCGCAAGGATCCAGATTGGTGAAAAATTGAATTCAAAATCATGCGGTCAATGACTTAGAAACCACAAGTCAATATACATGCTTGATGAATGATTTTTAATGATAAGAGGAACTACAGACATATTTTTTGTTGTAAAAGGACCGATAAAAACATATTTTTACATCAGAAACAAAAAATTTTAATAGTAATCCTTAATTTTCATGTTTTTCATTTATAGGCATAAACACAGGTGTGTCCCCTTAAGTAAGATTATTTCAGTAGTGGACACTGTACATTTTTAAATTGATAACTGCACAGGTGAGGCCTAGATGCTGGATCAATTTCTTATCTAACACCGCGATTGTTTGAAACTAATACGTATTATTTTGGGAAACTCGCGAAAAGTTATTTTTAATATACCTAATTGAATTGGAGCATCTAAACGATGGTTTTCCATATTCAATCGTAATATTCATTAGTTTTATTATTGTACATGGAACGAAAAATATGCACTCATGCCGTTTTTGTTCGGTGTGCAATAATTAAACTAATAAATATTACGATTGAATATGGAAAATCATCGTTTAGATGCTCCGATTTAATTAGGTATATTAAAAATAACTTTTCGCGAGTTTCCCAGAAGAATACGTATTAGTTTCAAACAATCGCGGTGTTAAATAAAAAATTGATCTAGCATCTAGGCCTCACCTGTGTAGGTATCAATTTAAAAAGGTACTGAACTACTGAAATAATCTTAATGAATGAATTTATTACATTATCCACGATAACAATTCTCTACTTTGTGATTTATTTTCGAGTAATTTAAGTGCGCGAAAAAATATTTGTGAGATAAAAATTTGTAAGCACACAATCTTGATAATATTTAAAAAAAATGTTATTTACGCACTTCGCGCAACAAAAACTCAAGGCTTAATGCGTATAGCGACTTTACTGCTTGATCGATTCATCATAGCTCCCCCATTGACCATTGCAGATTCAAAACTTCCGAAAAAGCCAAAATGAGCTGGGGTAGCTTCGAGCTGCTGATTGGGGTGTGCTTACTGTTGTTGGCGATCTATCACTACTACGTGGCGAATTACAACTTCTGGAGCAGTCAAAAAGTCCCAGGACCGAAGCCTCTACCTTTCTTTGGAAATGTCAAAGACGTGATATTGGGCAAAATGTCGCTGGGCGACTACCTGACCAAAATTTACAACGATTACGTGGACGAGCCGATAATCGGCATCTACGATCGTCGCAAGCCCATCTGCGTGGTCAAGGACCCGGAACTCATCAAGGACGTGCTGATCAAGGACTTCGCGGCGTTCGCCGATCGCGGACTGTCCCGCAACTACAAAGTCGAGCCGCTCCTTAAGACGCTGTTCTTCCTTGAGCCCAACGGCTGGCGTCCGCTCCGTTCGAATCTGTCACCGACCTTCACCTCGGGCAAGCTCAAGGACATGTTCTATCTGCTGATCGAGTGCGCCGATCACCTCGAGCAGTACCTGGCCAAGTGCGTGGAGCGCGACCCGGTGATCGAGTGCTGCGAGCTCACGGCCAAGTTCACCACCGACGTGATCGGCTCGTGCGCCTTCGGCCTCAAGATGAACGCCCTCACGGAGGAGGAGAGCCAGTTTCGTGCCATCGGCCGGAAAGTCTTCCGGACCAACGGTATGAAGTTCGTCAAGTCGCGTATCAAGGAGTACCTGCCCTTTATGCTGAACTGGTTTCCCGCTTTCTTTTACGATCACGAGGTCAACGATTTCTTCATCAACACCATGCGCCAGACCATGGAGTATCGCAAGAAAAATAAAGTGAGGCGAGCGGATTTCGTTGACCTGTTGATGGAGCTCAGGGAAAATCCACAAAAAGTCGGTGATATCGGTAAGCAAGTGTTTGTTGGAATTGTCGAATATCGCAACGTGTGGAAATTTGTGTAGAATCGTTGCCTTGCTTTCAGAATTGGACGATGTGTTGATAACTTCTCAAGCGTTCCTCTTCTTCGTCGCTGGATTTGAGACTTCCTCGTCGACCATTAGCAACGCCCTCTATGAATTGGCACAGCACCAGCCCATACAGGACAAGCTCAGACGAGAAATACACGAGGAGTTGAAAAGATGCGATGGGCAGATCAAATACGACAGCATAAAAAACATGAGCTACATGGACAAAGTATTCAATGGTAAGCTTCAACCCAATTTATGTAATGTATCGATGTATAATCGGCGGTAAATTTTTGTTCTTATTTTATTTTGTTCTTCCAGAAACTTTGAGAAAGTACCCACCACTTACCTCGCTAATGAGGCGGTCTACGAAGCCGTACACTTTTTACGGCACCAAAGTGACGTTACCAGCCCATACGAGGCTCTTGATTCCAGTTTTCGCTATTCACCGCGATCCGCAAATTTATCCCGAACCAGAAATCTTCGATCCCGAGAGATTTAGCAAGGAAAACAAGAATACGAGACATTCATCTCACTACTTGCCGTTCGGCGATGGGCCGAGAAATTGTATTGGTGAGTAAATGCTTGTGTAATAAAAAACTAAAGTGTATAGGTAGTCTCAGGGTTATTGAACTTTTTGCAAGGAGTAATGGAGGAAAGTAATGAGAACCTGAAAAATTGTGAACGAACAATTCTAAATTTCTTTCCAGCAATGCGATTCGCCATCATACAATCCAAAGTGGGCCTCGTGAAAATTCTCAACAATTATCGAGTCGAAGTCTGCGACAAAACTCTCATTCCATACAGGAAAAATCCAAGAGCATTCTTGTTGGCACCCCTCGGAGGCATACACTTGAAGTTTACCAGAATTGAGAGTGACTCGTAACAAATGTGAAAAAAAATAGCGAACATATAAAAGAGCGTGTCAAGAGCGAATCTTTATCGAGAAAAACACGATTCACACGAAGGTGCAGTGTACATACAAGAAAAGAAGATAGGGTAAACCGTCCAGTGAATGATCACCCACCAGTGAATGACCGCTCGATGAATAGCCACTTATAAATTGAATATACGAATGTTAATTTAATTTATAATATTTTTTCAACATTAAGCTATGTTATACGCACAGTTTTAATAAACTTTAGACCCGTACAAATTGTATTATCTACACATAAATAAATTTAGAAAATTTTTTGGCGGTCATGAGGCGTCGATTTACATGCGACCAGTAAATGGCCAATTTTTTAAGATTACAATCATATACAGGTTAGGTTTTCCAATAATCTTCTTGTGCTGATTTTTACATGAAATCAATTTAAACAAAACCATTTGACCAGTACTGAATCAGTAACAATGATTTATGATTAGATTCGATTGTTAAAACGAAAGGCAACGTTCAATTTCGATAAAAACTTGTAAAAAAGTATATTGGTCATTCACTGGTTGTCGCCCGGTCATTCATTGGAGAAAGTGGTCATTCACTAGCATTATCGTGGTGACTCACGAAATTGTCATTTTTAATAATATTAACGATATTGAAATGATTTTTAAATATTTTTAATCCATAGATCATTTAATTAGCTACGTGATGATCAATTCATTTTTTTTAATTGCGACTATTAAATTTTCCTACATATTCAAATATTGAAAAATAACAATTCGGTCATTCACTGGACGATTTACCCTACCAAAATCTACCCAAGCTCTCGCGTCTCCACTTCGACCACAAGCTGTACAAAAGGAGCGCGTCGAGATGTATGTGAGAGCGTGCTCCAGTAATTGATTTTTTTGGAATCGCATTTGTTCGTGACAGCTACCCCGATGCTCGTTTGAGTTTAGAAAAAACATTGTATGCTTATAACAAATATTATCATAAGGTAAATTGTATAAATAAACATGTTGAACTCTAATATAGTGTTGCACATGTACGAATACTTTTAAGAAAAATTTGAACGAAAGCTAAATAAAATTTTTTGTTAAAAAAAATAATTGGAAAAAATTTTATTTCTCAGAATGAAAAGTTCAAAATATAATTCGAATCTCAATAAGCTTTTGATCTCGAATAAAATCTCAACTGCTCTTTTATTAAAATTACTGCTTACTTACTTGTAGAAGAAATTTCTCAATCAATGTTTCAAAAAAATATTCCAATCTTGCAAAGAAGAGGAAAAACTAAAACTTCTGGAAACTTGAAAAGAATCAATATTCATTTTCAGATTGTATGTCTTTTGATAATCTACAAATCCTTTTGCATTCAGTTTTAATTTTCAGTTTAACTATTCATTACTTTTAAACACTGCGCAAATCGAAAACAAATTGATTATAAGTTTTTTGTTTATAAAGTTTCATTATCATAGAGTGTATTATAGTATGGAGTTCATTAGCCTCAAAAATGTGGCCCATCACAAATATTAATAAATGTCACAAACCGAACATCGACCGTTGAACCTGCACGACGGAGACACTTCGTGACCGACCACCATGGACTTAATTACTAAGATATACCGCAAAACAAAGAAAATACTGCATCTAGCGGATTAAGGTATAAAATGAGCACCCCGCGACTAGTCACTTTTACACGTTGCACGTAGACGCATTCACGCACACTTATTCGCACACGAACGCGGCAAACATTGCTAGTATAGTATAGTTCGAGCCGAAATGGCGAATTTTGAAACCGAGTTCTAAATGCACTCGGCAACACTGAACGTAAGACATAGGGCGTCTGTACTCCGTATTGACAAAAATACATCGTAATCGAGTTCGAACTGTATACCGCTCAACGGTCACTGTAACGGCCACGCTCGTCGCTCACCCACAGCTCGGGGGCTCGCGAGTTGATTAGTGTGCGCAGTGTGTTGTATATAGATGATTGAGCGGATATAAATTTCGAACCCGATGTGTTTTTGTCGACACAGACGCCCGGGTCTAACGTTATCAGTATTGCCGAGTGCATGTAGAACTCGGTTTCAAAATTCGCCATCTCGGCTCGAACTGCGAGCGGTGTTCGCCGTGTTTGTGTGTGAATAAGTTTTCGCGAGTGCTTCTACCTGCAACATGTAAGTGGCGAGTCGCGGGGTGCTCATTTCATGTCTCCTGCTGTGTGGTACGTGTGTGCGTGTGTTCAGTTTGTCACGGTGTTTGTTTTGTTCGAAATTACAATGGTCCAGTGGCGCGTCATTGCTGTATGGTTATGTTACTATTTTGCGCTTGCGTCAACTGCAACTTTCAGTTGTCACAAGCAGATTTTCATCTTGGCCCACGAAATTATTCGTTTCATACGAGCCAAGCAAGCCATTCTACTTGATAATGCGTTTTTTTTTCGTGTATTTGTATGTGTCGGTGTTGAGCTACCATCGTTGGTGTCACAACTGCTGAGATGCCGGACCCGAAGATGCTGTCACGCATTCGCTGGACAACTGCCTGGCCTCACCGAATATTAGTAAGTCAGTTGGATTTTTTAAACCTTTCGCATCGATACTGCATTTACAGCCTGAATCCCGATCGACCGTGCGAGTTAGCTGTGCGGTTATCGTGATTACGAGTTACGATAAGATGCAATTAATTAATTAATTATCTTGGGTTAGTTACAAGGATTTAACAATATTGTTTTCCAGTCGTACATGTAAAATGTATGATTCTTTAGTAAGACGTCATGTAACTAACTGGTGTCTTTCAAATAAACCATTAATATTATTATTATTAATTTGTCGGGACTCTAATCAATTTTCCGAAAATTCAAACAAAATTATCGTACTATACCCTGTTCGAATTAGCTCGTTTTTGAGTCTATCATAGTGCTTCCTCCGGCAGGAAATAATTAAGAGCAATGAAGAACCACTCGTGTGCTCGCACACTGTGTACTCACCTTTTAGCATTGTTGCCGCCCTTCTCCGCGGCGACGTAGCTGGTCCTGTTGAAGGTCTCGATAACGAGGCTAATCGAGCCGTACTTCATCTCGACCTGATGCACAGCCAATTCCAGATAGCAGTCCGAGGTGCTGCGCGGTATTTCGCTCGAGTACAACTGGTCGGCCGCGGGTCCCCTCATGTACAGGAATTTGCCTACGATGTACAGAGATAAAAAAATTCTGTAAAACTGTATGTAATCCCATTTGTTTTTTATTGTTAATGATATATTATCCATGGTGTAAAGATTTAAGTAATGTAGCGTTTAAAATGGTCCACGAACAAAAAGGTCTTTGAGATAACTTTTTTCGAGAGCATTTATTGGCTATATGAAAGGGTAGTAGCTGTAAGCTGTGTCATTTTTAGGTTCAAGCAAACTAACAAAAACCAGTCAGTATTTTCCAAATTAAAATTCATTCGTCAACGTTCATTGCAATCAATCCTTGCAATGCGAGTATAGTTAAAGTTCTAACGCTAGATGTCATCGTCAAATCCACAAGTGAAAACCGAATCATTAGAAGTTAAATCTCTAGTGCCTTTTTTGTAACTGTATTTGTAATAGTATATAAATAAAAAAAAAAAAGATTTGGATCATGGATGCGCGAGCTACGGACGTTTATAACCGCGAGTAAGTCCACAAGGATATCTCGCACTCGTCGAGTGTCTATAGGCAGAACAGCAGCAATACAACTCGTTGAAAACTTTTCAAGATGATACGCGAAAGTGAGTAAAAGAGAGTAAGCGAGAGAGTCCCTTGACCTCAAACATCGTCGTCACTTTATATTAACCGGAGACGACAACGACAACGACGACGACGACGACGACGACGACGACTACGAGGCTCGACTTGAAAAGAGTAAATATATAACGACCGTCGACACTTGCTCTTCTCGTACAGCTTATAGTGCTGCAGGTGCTACACATCAAAAATGATTACGAGGTCAGTGGCTGCTGCTACTGAACAGGAGGGGGATAATCTTTGCACAAGTTTTTCTTGAATATTAGCGCTGCCGCTGCTAAGCCCAGGGGGTGTCTGCGCGAGGCATATCGCCGCCGCCGCCGCCGCCCAAAGCACTCGACTTTTTTGTTCTCTCCTGCTAATTCTTCGCTCATTTTCCGCGCGCCAAGCCTCTAACGACCAATTGAATTATAAAGCTAACTTTTTTTCCTTATTTCGCGCGCTCGCGTAAACAATACACTACACATCTGGATCCGCCTTCGTCATATATATAAACTCGGCGGGAAAATAAACGAGAACTGCAGAGTCGATACAGACGTTAGTTAATTGTCACTCGAAGCGTGAAAAAGCTCGCGCGCGTGTCGGCTTTTTGTTTGTGTTTTGTGCTCCACCCGTTAACGTACTGAACTGATTTATTGAATAAACCTGCGCGTAATAAGTCGCGCACGCACGCCACCTGCACACAGGCATTGTTTGTACAACGACATGCGCGCGCGCGAGCGAGCGAGCGATTGCACACGCGTCGTTGTTGATATGTTTTCCATTTGAAAAAAGAAAACAAAGAGAGAAAACCCGTATAATACACACAACAGCTCGTGTACGTCGTCGTGCAATCTGGCCCCGTCGATCGTTCAATTTACTGATATTCGCGCGCTCGCTCACTCACCGTCTTTGTTTTTGCTGGCGTCGCTGGTGGGCGCCGCGAACTCGCCGAGGGGCGGCTTCGCGAGGCGCAGACTGCCGTTGACGCGATTCCAGTGCCAGTCCGTGCAGTGGCGCTCGAAGTCGCAGGAGGCCGGCGCGGGCCTCGGCAGCGCCTGCAGCTGTTGCTGCTGCTGCTGGCTCAGCATCAGCTGGACGTCCTTGAAGCTGCGCGGCTCGCGTCGCTGATCCGAGCGCGTCACCCCGGCCAGCAGCAGGAGCAGCAGCAGCATCCGCTGGATCAGGACGCAGCGAGTCGTGCTCGTGGTAGTCGTCGTCATGATGCGGCTGTTCGGCTGTGTGTATCCTGTAACGAGGACACGAATATTTCAAGCTCGTGCTAAATATCATCGATTGCGTACATGTGTGTGAGTGTGTGTGTACGAAAAGATCAGCGCGCAGCAGCACGTGTTATTGCATATTCATCGAGCAGAAAGATCGAATGTATATGATCGCGTTCGGCCAAAGTGGCATAACGCATGTAAATGGGTCATTTTGAAGCGCGCGCGGCACACATCGCACGGAAAACATATAATGGGCGCGCGGTGCACTTCCATTTCGCAAAAATAAAATATAATACCCTCTACAAATTCGATAGAAAAACAATCGTCACAAAATGTGTCACCCTCGACACGCGCGCACCCCGCTGTCCTCGTTCTTTTCTCTCTGCTTTTTTTTTTATTATCATTTTTTTATGTTTTATTTTCATCCGTTTATAAATGTTAAAAATCTCTCTGTGTGTTTTCAAAAAAGAGTGGTGCACGCGCGACCGGACGAACAAAAAGCTTGCGCGAAGGAGAGAGACAATGTGTGCTTTTTTTAACGCTGAAAGAGTCATAAATGTAAGCTCGTATTTTTTCATGTACTTCGTTACCCTCTCTCTCTCTCTCTCTCTCTCTCTCTCTCTCTCTCTCTCTCGACATCGACGAAAAAGAAAAAAGAAAAAAACAACATCATATCGCACGGCCAGGCACACGGGTGCATCCCGCGTGTGCATTTATGTGCATTATGTACGTCGTAGCCATATGTGTTTATCATGCGTTTATGTGCAACGCGCCCACCCGCCCGGGTGAATAACGTAAATTGTCTTTCGCATTTAATCAACGAGAACTGTTGGCGCGTTCGCGAGCGAGAAAACAACAGGACTTTGCACTAGACGTATAACGCGCTCGCGCGAGATCGGATCGACAAAAAGTAAAGGAGCACTTCTCTCGCTTCGAACGCGAGCGAGCTTGCACGCTTTGGTTCTGCAAAAAAAAGTAAAAGCGTGGAACGCAAAAAAAAGGAAAAGAAAAGCGAACTTTGTGCAACGTGCGAAATTCCATCTAGCTTCTAACGTTTTCTTTACTTGGAAAAAAAAGGATGAAGAAAGAAAAACCGAGTGTGCCGTATAGGTCGGTTATACGTTGTTAGCAAAAGGGGCGCTCGAATCAATTCATCCGCGCGTATTAGAGACTGCACATGCGAGTGTATAGGCGCCGCGCGTATAAAAAAATTTTGCTCCGTCGTTTTTTCTCTCCCACGCGCAAATGCAGTTCGAACTTTGTTTATACGAATCTCGCGCGCATACATAGGTACGTACGTTCCGGTGCAGCAGGCATCGAGTGTGTACATAAATCGGAAAGAAAAAGGAGCAGGAAAAAAAGCTCTTCGCGCGCGCCGAAGCTTTCACCGCCAAGCACGCAGCTCTGGATCTTTGCGTATCTGCGGTGATATATTTTGCAGAAACAGGGAGAAAACTACGCTCCCTCTACTCGAAACCCTCTCTCCCTTTTTGAACACTACACACGCACGCACACTCGCACTTTTTTTCAAAATCCCTTTACGTACGAAAAGTGCACGCGTGATGCACACGTACAGCGAGAGGTAAACATTTTAGCTATATACAAACACCCACGCACGTCGCTTATGTATGTGTGTATATATGCGCCGCAATCTCGGAGGGTAGTAGGCGGCTATTATATTTGCAATCTATAAATACATCGTGTGCGTGTGTGTGTGTATGTCGATAACCACGCCACAAGGCATAAATCAAACTAGCCGCGAGGCGCATCGAGCTCCGCTGCTATACGTATAACGTGTATATAATAAATCTAACTGTATCCTTGTGTGGGTGTCTGTGTGCGTGTGTACGTGAGTATGCGTGTGTGAGCGAGGCACACGTGCGCGACATACCGTATTATATTATGCACCGCCGAGCGAGCTGTTTATGCTTCTACAGCGACGTCGAGCTGCTACTGCACTACTACCACCACTAAACTCCGTTATATACTGCGATGCGTTTGATGTAGCGGCAGCGGCAGAAACGGAGTGCTGCATCAGTGACGATGGAGCCTGTGCAGCTCCGACGACGACGATTGGCGCGACGAACTTATGCCTGGACTGCGGCGGTAGCTACGGTAGCAGCAGCGGCAGCGACGCAAGCAGCCCATCAGAGATTGTTCATTTCCGCCTTTCACTGTTTTAGCCATATTGACGTAGTCTCGTCGTCATCGACGTTATATATGCAGCAGCAGTAGCTCGTCGAATAAATGTTGTGCACATGCGGTTGTATACTCTGCCTCGTGTATATTAGATTCGTGGAAGATGAATTCACCACCTGCTGAGCGAAGTTCGCGCTTTTAATCATCGGCCGTCTACCAAGTTTGCACGCAGCGCACAAACAATGCGCCCTCGGCGATGTCGTCAGGCTTGGGACAATGGCAATCTCTGGAACAACAACAAAAAAACGCACACGATGAGCATTGATATCTTACTCGAGCTGTATACAGGGCTACTTGAGCAAAGACATATTATATGTACATACGAATTATAGCGCGTTCGAAATGAGCCACCGCCGGCATGACCGGCCCAAGACGCGTGCATGTCGGACGACGTACACAATACATAAATTAAACAATGCGTGTAATTTTCTGATTACATGATAGTCGTGCGATTTAAACGAGGCTCGTGGCGTGTACGTCGAGTCAGAACTGAACGAGAACTACAGACCATGCTCGCGTATATGATATCGTGTGTAATATCGCCGTTGTGACTCGCACATCTCGATACTTCGCACATATGATGTATGATGTAGTCAAGAGAATCGTACACATAATCATAGCAGTTGTTGCATCGAATCTCGGTACTCACTGTCAAAAATGACAAATAAGTCGAAATGTATCAATTGGAGAATAAATAGTAAAACTCATTTGCATTAGAGAGAATTCACGAAGTCGTTAAAAATGAATAAAATTAAGAAATCAATTTAAAAAAATTAAAATTTCATCAGATAAACAAATTCCATTGAAAATAAAATTTATTTAAAAAGTAAGTAAATGAGTTAAAAATTTTAACTCGTTCGTTGCTCTTACTAATGAAATGCAAAGTCCAAGCTGTTTGCGAATCTTTAATGACGAAATAATGTTTATAAGTAAAACCGTCCTAAAACTCGAAACTCTTCAAACTTCGCTCGTTGTAATTAATCGTTGCAATACAAGTATAACGAATTCAAAAGTGAAACTCAAATTACCCGAAGTAAAATTTCCGGTACCTTTTCCCTTTTGGTAAGATTATAAGTATATAAATAGAAGGTTTAATATTTCTTCACACTTATTTTCCAACCCTTCCAGTTGATACTTGTCAGCAGTCCGCAAAGTTTAATAATCAAGTAAATTTCTTGATTTTCCACCCTACCAAAACTCGCTCATTTCGACTCTCCGCATTCCGTCACGAGAATCGTACATAATCAGAGCAAGTTCGTTGTATTTAATCGTTACAACACGAGTATAGTTGAAGTTCTAGATGTCACTGTCAAATCCACAAGAGAAAAACAAGTCACCAGAAGTTAAATTTCACGTCTTTTTATAATCATATTCGCGTATTTTTGGACAGTATTATATGTCATTTAGGATCCTCGCCCATCTCGTCTCTTTGCGCATAATACAATGTATTTTCGAGAATCGTAATCATAATCATCTAGTATTATTGGCGCACCGAGATGATAAAACGTCAACGCGAATCTGAGGATAGAATGTCGACATCCCGACGTCGTCAAGAATAGAAGTGAGCTGCAGATAGACAATGATAGACAAGATTTGTACGGAAGGTTCATTAGTGTAATTGCCCCTTCCGGTAGCTCATAATAATATAATAATATTATTACATCGCGAATTCCAATTACATCGAATTATCAATACTCTCAAAATTTCGTTGTCAAAACCAAGCGCGCGAACTTTGGATATTTATCTGCGCATAAAAAGTATCGCATTATATACCCATGCGCATGTGTGTACGGACGTGGAGCGCGTGCGAGCCAGCAATCGATCATTCGTTTACTGCAAGCTCGCGCGCGCGACTCGTATACATATACACATACGTACGCTGCGGAGATCGTAATAAACCTAATTCGAGCTTCATTCATTAAGCGGCAAACGAGAAAAGTTTTCTCCCGATGCACACTAACGCCGCCCCCTCCATCCGGTTGTATACAAGCGCTTGGAAAAATTTACTTTTCCGACTCTGACTCTCTCTCGTTCTCTCTTTCTCTCTCTCTCTCTCTCTCTCTTCTCGTGAGAGTGCACACGCATCGCTGCGCTTATAAGAGAGCTTGCAGCTCACCCTTTGAGCTCATACGCGTATAATGAAGCTTTGTTGTTGTTGCTGTATACATCTACTATATATAATATACGTACTGCAGAGCGAGGGCAGCATTGATAAAAATCAGCTGGATATTTCTTTCTTGATATAAATAAGAGATATATAATATAAAAAGCTCTTCAGAGACGTTCCTTCGCTGGAACGCGCGGAGCCCGCGCGACTTCTACTACTTCGTCTTCGTTTTTTCCCCCTTTCATTTCGTTCGCTTATTTTTCTTCCTCTCTTTTGCCCGTGCTTTTTTGCCTTATTTGCTTTGTTTTTTTAGCGTGGTCAATGTTGTTGTTGTTGTTGTAGCGCCAAGTTATTCGATATGGAATCGAGTTAACATGCGCGCGCGGTCGTGTCACACAAATGACGGTATACGATCAGTTAGAATAGTATTGTGTAATAAAAACTCGCATATCGTCTTCCCTCGACAGATTTCTGCAATTTCAACGATAAATAAAATACGTAATTCTATCGTCAATAACTAAAATGATTTTGCCTGCGATATCGTCGATTCCTGGATAAAAAGGCGCGATGAAACTTTTCATTAATTTTTTTTATCAATTTATCCTTTATTCATCCATCTACGTATTTATTTCTTTTTTTTTTGTCTTGAAATTGGATCATGGCACAGCAGCGTATACGGAATAGTTAGAGTAGTATATTTTGCACCTAGGGAGTGAAAAACTGGAAAGTCTCAGAGCACGTATAATTGTACTCGGCTTCGCCTCGGCTGATAATCACTTGCTCTGAGACTTTCTTTTTTCGCTACATAGGTGCAAATACAATTTTTTGTGAATCCCCCAGCCTAAAGTAATATTTTCATTTCGCTCAGTGGGAGTTGGGGTGGCACAAAAAATAATTAGTTATCGTGCTTTTGTGAAATATTAACTCTGTAAAAAAGCGTATTTTTCCAAACAGAGGGGGAAAAAAATAAATGCGAAAGATGAAAATTAAAAATAACACGTAGAAAAGAGAGTCCCGTCGTTTATAAATCGGCGCTATATCGTTGGCAAGTAGAGAGTTAATAATAAAAAAATTAAATTACTGATTGCATAATGAGAGGAGTAGCGTCGGAGCAGTCTCTCGCTCGCTCGCTAGGCGCTCGCTTGCTCGCGCGCTTAACTCCAAAACTTATTTTCTCTCTCTCACGCGCGTTCACTCACGGATTATAATGTACTAAACTAATCTCAAACTCGTCGTAGTCGCGCGTACACACCGGTGCGGTGTGTTGTGTGTACCTATATAGAATATATCGTAAACAGTCGTGCGCGTCGAGAGCAGTCACGAGCACTCGTACAGTACTTGTTTATATGCGTGTATACACCTATAATGATTAATTCAATTTTCTCGCCATGGATCGTCGCGCATCGAGAAATCAAAACCAAAGCTGGAAAATAGAGGGAGCGATTCGAAGTCTGGGCGCAAATGAAAAATCATATAACGACGTTATCTCGCGCGAGATACGCGCTTCGGTGGATATGGCATTTAATGTCATTGCCGCTTGATCGTCGTCGGTTCTCGCGCACAGTCGACTTCTTCCGATATTCCTTTATTTCCGGACACGGGGTTTGCAACGGTGACGTCGGCTGAACTATATTATACGTATATGGGTAAAACCACGTTAACCGTGAAATGTGAAGTAACAAAATGATAGCCAATTAATGTAATTATCAAGAGTACAATATTTAGTTTTTAACAAATGGCTTCACTAGCTTGTAAATTGGAAGAATGAAAAAGTTTGTTTTCCGTCATATTCACAATTTTTTTTTTGTTTTCACATTCTTCGAATGCTATACTAATGTGTATTTATAAGTCATCTAAAGAAACTATTTTATTAAAAGTTGTATTCTGGTGGTCGAAACTCAAAAGAACATAATAATAGTTATGCATGTAGTATTATTACAATATGATTGATCAAGGCCCACGGCTGAGAATGGACAGAACTTTGGAGGAAAGTCCTTCATTTTTTGATTTCTTACGAGACAAAGTAGCCTGACGCTGCCGCAAATAATTTTACTAATAATGCAATATTGTCCTATCTGGAGGAGATAAACAAGTTTAATTTTGAGCTTTCATTCTATATTTTCATTTTTAGAGGGTATGGAAGTTATAAACATGATTTTTTACTGTAAAATTTTAATTTCTCATAAAATTGTACGTAAAAAAACATTGTTCAAACATTTTTTAATAATAACTCTAGAAAGAGCAGAATAACATTTATTAAAATGAAAATTCAACTTTAAGTCTTTGTAGGTTCACGAGAAATTGACTCAAAAGTCTCGAATTTTGAGGAATTCCATTTGCCAATGTACTCTGTAAAATTACACACTAATTTTTAATTTCGAGCGGAGCATTTCACGGTCTACGTAGCTTTGCCCATATAGTCCGAGAGCACATCTGCACGCTCGGCGCGTATAATAGACGCCGTTTGAGCTTTTATATATAATATCGAAGGAGAGAGAAGAGTGAGAGAGAGACGCCCGAGAGCTAGTATGAATTATAACGAGATCCGTAATTTTGAACGATCAAACGGATGGGTATAATAATTTCCTCTATTTTGTCCCTACCGCGTGCTCGCTTGAACGAGTTCTTCGAGTGCAGGTTACATATACTATAGATATACGTTACAACCGAACTATTGATTTATTTGAGATAAATTACCCGAAAAGTATTTTTAATTGAAGTAAAACGAAAAAACCTTCGATAATTCCGCGACTTTTTCTGGGGTATTGCGCAGCAGTGCACATGCGACGTCGCGCGGGCAATGTCGCTCAGAGCGCGTCAGCTCTTTTGTTGCGTTTTCTGTTTTTTTCTTTTGGGGATCCGATTTTTCATCGCGCACACGTCCGAAATGATTGTTTTTCTTTTCTATTTTTTTTCAACCTCACCGACATTGAACGCGCCCTTCAATACTATAAAAAAGGATGGCATGCCAACGAAGCAAATAAATTGGAATAGTAGCGGATGGTAACGGGCCAGGACTCGAAATTTTTAACTTTCGGTATAAATGGAGTCATCAACGCTCTACTGAAAGATTACATTTTACTTTTTAATGCGATATTGCAAAAATATCTTCCGTGGCC